AATTGGAAGAGTGGCGCACAGGACGAATGACTTTTTGAATTAATTACCACAGCAGATAATTTTGACTATCAGCACTTTAGGTGGTCGTTTTTGCTTTTGGGGGGATTTCTTTTCAATAAGTCAGCCACATGTGAAATTTAAATGGACCACAAATGAAACGAGACCTCCACAGGCAATTAAGAGCACCCAATAGTGGCTAAATTGTGCAAAAGTTGCCCAAATTGTAAGTCAGAATCGATCTTTTAATTGAGCATCAGGCTCATTTGCATTGTGTGCCTACAGATTTGAATATTTGCATAATTTGGTGGCACGATGTGGGATTGGCGGTGTTTCAATTTTGCACGGAAACTTTGCCATCCGGTAACATTGGGAAGAAGAAAAACACTTTGGCGAGTGGAGGGAAAATTTCTCGAAAATTTGGACTATTTCAGAAGGCCCTGGCTCTCTTCTATGTTTTTCTTATTAGCCTTTTATACTGCGCTCACGGGCAGCAATGGCCAAACGCCGTATTAAAGCCAAAAATTTCGATGGACACTAAAGTGAGCAAACCGACAAAAAAGATCAATAAAAGTGAGATAAAAGATTTGATTGACACCATCCACCTCAAAGTAGATTAAGGAATAATTAAAATTCTCACTCTTGGCTCCTCTGAACATCTACCGACAACAAGACAAATTAAAAGGAGAACGCTTTGAATAATATCTGAAGACCAAATTTTATATTGACGATATATATATATATATAGCTATATAGTTGCGTCCAGTGACTGTGTTTGTATAAAAAAGTGCGGCCAAACAAGCTTTTAGTGGTCAATTAACAATTAAGATAAAGAAATACGGCTACCGAATCAACGCTTCAGTTTAAGCGTTTTAACGTTTTCTCTCTTTCACTCTCTGGATGGTTTTTTTCCTCTCCATGAGCTTGAAACATTATACTGATTATTCATCACCGACTATATAGGCGGCATATGTATCTCCCCATAGACCATTTATCGACACTCTACCACTCCTTCGCCTCAATACTTTTAATCGGCACCTCACTCTCTCGGATGTGACATATTTCGGAGGAAGTCTCTCAACATAAAGATGTCTTTCGTGGGGCCACGTATCGCTATAAAAAGTCAGGGTCTTCATCTGAAATTTTTGTATTTTTATTGAATGACTTCTTGAACGATCTCAATTTGTTTTGGTGATTGGAAGAAGAAGAGAAAAATTTTATTAAATAAACTCATGCTCTTTTTAATTTGCAATGCAGGCCTTCGGGATTTCCTCATCATCTTCATCTTCGAGATATTTCTGCTTGAAATCTGTCAAGAGAGCGCCCAAGTAAGAAATTCATTTGATATTCCTTGCTATTTAGATAACACCAAACATACTGGTGAGATTGAGAATCGATGATTTTTATTTGCTCTCTCCGTTTACCTTCTGATAGTTTCATTCGTTAAATAAATATCCATACTAACAACCTATTAACTAAGTGGCATGGTCGGGTTTCAGTGTAAAATAAAACCAGTAGCTGATAGATACATGTTAAATGATTGTATAATTGAGTCGATAGGAGATTCCGAAGAAGGTCAATTCTCACTGACCGGGCGGATTGGGATTTTCGCTGAATAATTTCTCGGATATTAACATAATGCTTGGAATTCAGATAAACACGGCAGCCGGGCGAAGACAGCCAGAGATTCGTCCCAGTGCGACGCAGATAAAATTGTCCGTGCCCAGTGAGTGAAAGACTTTTTCCTTCCACTTAGCATCAATTTATCCATTAAGGCAAATAAGACTACGACAAGTTGAATATTGATCTGTTAACCTTTCGTACAAGATCCACACAATGCACACGGACGGAGTAATGGAGCTCCCAGTCTTTCTGAATTAAACTCTCGGCAAGTCCATTGCCCTTAAGCACACTGAATAAATCGATTGGGCTGACATCAAATAAATATCAGTTGATCGACTGAAACCAATAAATTAATTTCTACCAACATCAGGCGCGGCATGAGTGTGCAGACGATGCATTTAATATCTGTCAATTCGAGCCACTGTTGGACTGTTCAGTGCTTCAAATGGACTCGATAATGATGTCTTCTTCCCAATTTCATCAGCGAATTGTGATTTCCTATCATAATTCACCCATCGCAAAATTGAGCATTCGTCGCGATAATTTACCCGCAGAGCCTGATTTTCGCGCAACAAAGTTTGAGGTAAATTCCGAAACCGTATCAATGCCATTTACGATATTAAACATATCAGACCACTGTCCATATACGCGAGTTATATATATAATTTTTGTGTACATATTGTCAATTTATTGTCGGTGCCTACGTATTATTGTTATGAATATGACAGATGTCAGTCCTGGCAAAACCAATAACCATCTATCCATTGATGAATATCCGTACCACAATGAATTTTGAATACTCGTTCAATTAATCACTCAGAAGAATTGATGATTTATAGTTTTTAAATGTTTGAAATGCATTTATTGACGACGACGTCATTGTCACAACACTGAAATGATTTGTTGATGTTTTATTGTACTATTTCACATTATATGAATATTTATTTATTATTCATGAGAACAATCGTGCAAGTAAAATGTTAAGCGATATTGAGGCTTTTTGTCCCTGGCTCACCATCATCCACTCTCATTGTGTCTGTCAGGTCTTTCGTATTTTATGGTGCCAGAGGACCATTTTAAACTGAATCACTCCACTGCCGAGAAGGAAGCCTGTCACATCAGACAGTCCATTTGGCTCTCTTCTCCTGACCATAAATATACAGCCATTGTCTCCTATCTAACTGAAATCTAGCGGAAAATTTAAAATATTACCGCAATATTTTATTAAAAATGACAGCAAAGTCCAATAGTGCAATTTTGTATTTCATTACTCATGCTTGCCACTGATTTACATACTTTCAGTGTTAATTAATTAAGCATGTTCAGTGTTTTGCATTCTTTCGCTCTTGCTAATTAATCTCAATTTTTAACTTATAACGCCCAAGGTAAGGAGAAAAAAGGGACATTTTCCTCTCCATCCACCCTTAAAATATCCACTTGGCGTAACTTCAATTCTCTCATCCTTGAATTTCCTGCAAAACTATCCCATTAGCTCTAGGAGTTTAGACAATTTGTGGCATCTCTCGACCAATTGGTTTAGTACAAGTTGGCAGAGAATTGAGATATTGGCGCTTGAACAATCATGACTTTAAGGAGTGAAATCCTATCCCAGCCTAACCACACGACACTGTGTATATTTGTGAAGTGCAAGTAGACAAATTCATACGCCGGAGATGCATATAATTATGTAGATTTAATAGTTCAATAAACAGTTTGGCAGGGTTGTGTGCGTGAATTGAGACATTGTATGCGCAAGTGTATGATTCAAGAGGCCTCCCATGGGTCTCCTCCTCTCACCACGGGCGCCCCACTCTCGCTCACGCTCCCCACTCATCTCTTAAGTATCCACATGAGACCCGGCTGGCTATCTCTAATACGTCGCCGTATTTATAGAATGGGTGTATTGAGATGTCCCCCCCCACCCTGTTATTGGACGCCTGTTCAACAATCTTCGGAACTTAATTTACATCATTCCAATGGTTGGGTGACTAATATCAATAATTAATTCATTAAACAGAGCATCTTCGTCTAATTAATTAAATTGTTAATTATAGGAGCGCATATGCGGACCCATGTATTTGCGGAGCAATTCAGCATTAGCGCCGGTGCACAGCAACGTAGTGATCAATTGGGGAAGATGTACAAATTTATAAGCATTTCACAACTTTACACATAATCCGAAATTGAATTTTAATTCCCACTATCTGCCGCAAAAACAAATAAATTTCCACCAAGCGAAATTTCCTCTCTCTCTCTCGCTGGCGCGATGTGAATTTTGGCAAATTTAGCCGCCTATTTGCACACTGGCGATGGAGTGTGCTTTTGTCGTTGATTGGAGATTTATGAGCTTAATTAGTATAACTGATTTCATTGCAACAGGCTGTGTTTGTGGTCGAAAGACACTAACATGGGATACACTGGGCATACATAGGCAGATTTTGCAGTTTAAATGTCTCTATCACATAATAGACTACCCATTTATGTAACACACAGTGTGCATTTTAATCAAAATGATGACGATTAAGCACCAACGAATGCAATTGTTAATACATTTTGCAACATCAGAGATAATATAACCTGAGCATGATAATCAATTATGCAGATGTGCACTGGCCGGGAGAGCACAGAGGCCAAATCTTTGGTGAATTTGATCAAAATGCCAGGCAATAATTGCCATCAGAGACTTTTGAAAATTACCCAAAATTTCCGCCACCACGCAAAACACCACCCCTCAAAGGGGTGGCAAATGGAAGGCTGTACGCTCGCAAATAGCATTGGAAATTATCTAATCAACCCTTTCATGAAATATTCAACCACTAATCTGGGCATCTACATGGTCATGTGTTGTCCTGCACTTATGCTAATTCCCTCATTTCATCCATATATCAATATGAACAATGCTTGAAGCGTCTATATACAATTTCACCATAGGTATAATTGCATGATTTCACCAGCAGCCCCACATGCGCATCACCACATACTGTATAAATGCAAATTCCACTCGAATGATGAGTAAGTGTATCAATTTCTCAGATAGGTAGCCAAATACTGATTTGTGGAGCCATAAATTATATCTGCCACCGACACTGAAGTCAGGAGTAAGGTAACTTTATGCGTACAGAGCATACTTAGTAGTAATCCTCGAAATTCCCATCACATGTTAAGGAAGTGAAGAACACGGAGTATCGATTACACATCGTATGAGTTTCTAGTGCATAATAATTTTAGACGCATCGCCTTAAATTACCGTCCTTTGCTTGGCGCACAATAATGCGAGGATTAAACTTAGCAATTCTATTACATTTGCAATATAGTGAGATTACATGTCATTTTGAATTTTGAATAACTCTCTCACATTATAATAGAAGAGTATTACTCACTTGTGTTTCCGTCACGTTCAACAATTTGGCCATTTCTGCTCTCTCGCTGGAACTCAAATACTTCTTCAGCTCAAATTGTTTCTCCAATTCGAATATTTGTCTGGAAATGTACAGTACACAGAATAGGAAAACTGTGGTTTTCATGGTCAGAGCCAAATGAAAAAGCAATGTTGATTTTACCTTCCAGTGAACGTTGTGCGAGCTTTCTTCTTCCTCCGGGAATCCTGAGAAGACTCCTCGCAAGAGTCCTCACCAACCTCCTGACTCAGGTTGCTTTGCATTGCCGGATCCTTGACCACAGCATCAGTCGGTAGCACAGGTGGAGCATTGTTGGCGAATTGATCACTCACTTCAGTGGATTTTTTCCTCTTGTACGACTTCGATGATGAATCTGCAGAGCCAAAGTAAAGTGCAAATGTGAAGTATTTCCAATTAATTGGCCGTCAAAATGCTATGCAAACCCGAAAGTTTATAATATTGCCAATTGCAAATGAATTTGTGACTCACACATAATATTAGTTTGAAATGGTTTATCGAAATGCATATGAGATATTTGAAAAATTTAGCGCCAACATATCACAGTGGCAAAATGAATGGTTGCTCATTATTGTTGGCATATTCCCATAATCGATGAATTTATTTCATTTTGCACACTTGCCAATAATAAATTAATGTGCAATGTGGTTGTATCGCGAGCAGTCGTCAGAAACATCAGATTCCCCCTTTGCGTTGTGCAGTTTATACATTTGCAATATTGGTTTTGTTACACACAATATAAAGTCGCAAGGTACTTTTGCAAGAACCATTACAGTGCAATTGCAGCGAATAATTGCTGGTTAAATATAGAATCTATATGTTTTTCCACCAATGCGCCTCACCATGAGAAACAAGCTATTCTGCTCTGAGAAAATAACACGCTCAAGAGGATTTTCATGGGGCTACATAGTCAAAAGATTGATATATGCATATCCATGCCAGCTCATGTGTACATATTGGATGGGTAGAGGAAGCGATTTCAGCTATTCCGCTTGTCTTGTCAAGTGATTTCTGTAGCAAATGGTAATTGAACGGAATTCAGCAGGAATTCGTTGAGGAATGTATTTTATAGCGTTCACAGAGCCCGTTGATTTCAATTAGCGTGATGATGATGCGAATATGTCAAGTGAAACATTCTTTGGAGTCCAATAACATAAATCACACATGCTTTATTTTAAATGAAAAATTCATTTATGGATTCCTCCTGCCTCCACTCCGCGGACCGAATATTGCCCATTGTACCAGACGATTGTGTTGTTAAACGAAAAATAAATACAATCAATTCTTCAATTACTCGAGTTCACTTTTTTCATCGCCCCGCATCGTTTTTTGTATTGTGGTACACCTGGATCATAAACCTTTAATAGACAGCATTGCGTTGAGTGATTTCTCAAATTGGTAGAGTCATCGTGATCACCAGAAAAAAGTCAGTCAATGTTGTGTTAAACTCTAGAGAATCACGATAGAATATCATATAAAATATTCAATATAGGAAAAATGTATTCAAACAACAAATGAAATTAACAATAAATGGGCGGACTTTAATCTCTCACTCCCATTCTTCTCTCTCTCCCTCGATTGTCAATGGGAGAGACGATATGGAAAAAGCTTCAATTCACTCTTCGTGTCTTCTCCTAAACTCCTCTCCTCAACATCAATCTCTGGCAGATCTTTATTTGGCAATTAGTAATAGCTCAGCCTGAAAATTGATGTCATTACTAATTTGCATTGGTGTGATTTGATGCGCTCGAGATGTGTGCACTGAATTTATAGACATTTCATTGGCTCTATGATTAGTTTATCACACGTCAAGTGCCTGGCTAAGAGATAAGGATTCAATTTATGTCGTTTGCACTTGGTGCTATCCATTAAAAAAAATCAACAACTATTAATATTATCCATAAAATGGAGTACCGTTTGTGTATAAAATCTCTATTGATTAAGTATGACTTCCTGCAAAGTCGAAACACTCATGCTTATATCGTGTGGAAAGCCTGGCCGAAAGCAACAGTCAAAATAAGTCGTTGTGCTGTTAAATTGATGGATAATGGGTCTATTCATCTCTAGCGTCGAATAAAGTGAGAAGAGGCGATAAAAGAATGTGTGGGAACTTAACAAGGAAATACGTACATACATCTCTTCAATATTTACTAAATAATATTTCTACTTAGACATACGACTCATCATCAAGGCAAAGGAAGATTCAACAATAAAACGCCAGTCGTAGTATTTTCGGGAAGAAATTCCCACCAATGTGAGAAAAGTGTCTGTTTGCGGAGGAAATAGGAAATTAGCTAATCACGTGGCGTGCAATAAATAAGACAATTAACTTGCTTGTATAGATATTAATTACTTAAATGTGTGTCCGATCGCATCCAGCATATCTTGATCCCTCACACACAATACGGAAATATTCTTCGCCTAAGCCCGGTCTCTGCCTGTTTCACAATTCATTCAGCAATAATAATAATAAATGACATAATAGCGAGAGTGCAGGAGGCCCCCTTTCGATGGCATGATGGCTCACAATTCCCGCATATTATCGATATTGTTGATAATGAAGACGGGGAGGCAAATAGACAGGCCGTGCTATACAAATTCATTTTATGTTGAGCTCTTCATATACAGGGCATCATGTACAATGGATTACCATATCCTCTCTCTCTCTCCCTCAGACTGCAAAACACAATCGACAGAATAACATCAAGTGTAGTGAAAACATTTTAATCGACGAAACGAACGCGACGCTGATGGCGATGGCGTTGAGTAGAGCCTTTAATGTTCAACAAATTGAAACGATTTACACAGGGAACAGAGAATGAATGAGGCGAGTGCGCACGATGTCGATTAAATTATTAAATGAAAGTGTGTATCGTGTATGGTTGGGGCGATGGTGATGAGATGATGATGCTCGGGTATATTGCATCAAAGTCATACATTATACACACACGCTCGTCTGCTCCCTGTGACCGACACTCTCTGCTGCCCAAAATGCAATTGATGAAAAAGTCCAATTAATCCAGGGAGGCCACTTGACGCCCAGCAATACCCACGGTGAACCGCAGTCGTCTTTGCATCACTCTGCAACTTCCCTAATTTCCTCCCGGCACACAACATTCGCGGAGATTGCACGGAAGAGATGCTCGCACGATTTCCCGTTTGGAGAATGCGCGCTAAAACAGCACATTCTGCCACTCTTGCTCATTGATTCAAAGTGGTCTATTTGTGTAATGATTTATCTCAATATTTCAGCATATTTACCCACAACAAAATGCGCATGGAAATTGTAATGGGATTTTTCCCCGTGAAATGCAACATTTTATCGTGCCACTCACACCATCGGCAGCGTCACGAGAATCGCACACAGAGAATTGATTTTTCCAATATTAATTTATCCGTGCCAGTGCAGATGCACAAACTGTCGCATTTTATCATGACAAGTGATAATTTGCACATTTGCGATAAATATTTTCGCAGAAAATAATGTCACACACTGTGAAGAAGTAACACAGTATATTTATGCTGAGCCAATTGGTGAGAGATCATGCGGAAAAAAGTATTAGGGAATATGTAAAATTCGTTTGAAAAAGCTGTGCTGCATTCGAAATGGAACAATTCATGGGAATCATGTGAATTGTTGATGTATTTCAGCACTGCTACTAAATTGAATTAAGTGTCATATTTTGAAATGGCACTACAGTGAGTGAGAGAGTAGTGCCCTAATTTTCAATGAGCCATCCATTTGCTGCAACTAATTAGAGGAGTGTATATAAATTCTCTTTGGCTAATCGAAACCGATTACTTTCAGTCCACCATTTATTAAAGCCATTGAAGTCGCAGTGTAAGGCGATGGTCTGAACCAAAAATATTTTCTCGCCTCATTACACGGTCCATTTGGAGGTGTAGATTAAATGTATTTCAAATAAACTACAAAATGGCTTAAGTGTGAGCCTGAAATGCTTCGGCTCTTTCGCATTTCCTCGGCGCTGCATTAGTGGATTCTGAATGGCATGTTTTCACCCGTATTGTGTATGGGGAACGTGATGGAACATGTAAAATATTATGCCTTTGATATGTGCAATATTGTGCGATAAATCTTACCTCTTTTCGCCTTCGGCGCGTGTTTCACATCACCGATCGTCGCCGGCGAGGAGTCCCGAGACTTGCTGATGCTGAGGTTCAGCGGCTGATCGCTGATCCCGCTGTCGTCCTCGCTGATCTCGCTGATGGATTCGCTGCGCGAGATGAAGTTGTGGCCAAAGGATGCGCCCATCTGACCGGGATATGTTTGACTCTCGTCCAGACTGGGTGACTTGAGGACCGAGTGCAGGATCTGGGACATCTGGGGGTAGCTGGGCGACGACTTGTGGGGTCGCTTGGGACTCTTCCAGCCCAGGATGTCGCCTATGGAATGGGGCGTTGGCGCCTTGGGCGGCTTGGCATACACGTGCGGATGCCACGTGTGAATGTTGGGCATTGTGGGAAACTTATCCTCCGCCGAGCACGTATAAGCTGCAGGTGTGTCCAGCAAGGACACGCTGTTCGACTTCAGTGTCACATCACAAATTGACGCTGTTTCTCTGCACATTCTAACACTATCTGGCTCATGTAAGCTATTGCAATTGTTCTCCACTGATGCACTGCCGCGGGATTTGCATGGACTCAAGCACTCCTCGGCGTCGAAGATATCACCATAAGAGCCCAGTGGGGCGGAATTTGTCCTCAACTGGCACTTCCCCGCGACTTCCGGGGGCGCCGTGAAGGGCCTCGTGAGCTCCTTCACCTCCGCACTGTCCTGCGAATTCTGCGTGGCCTCCAGAGCGACACAGTGGCTGGGCAAAACACCTCTGTCCGGCAGTGCGTCGACACTGTAGCCGTCTGGCTCATTTGTCCCAATTAGATTTCCCGCCACTAAATTGGTGGCATCAGTTCGCGGAGTGTACGAGTCAGAGGCCGGAGTCACAGACGACGGTGACGGGATGTACGTTCCAGCTCCGGAAATGGGTGTGTGGGAGCCACTCTCAGGATCAAGGATGTTCTCCTTCTCGATCTCGGGCATTATCGCTGAAAAGACAGAGATCGTCGTCAGTCTATTATTAGACAAAAAGTGTCGATCATTGTTAGGTTCTTGTTTTTTGGCGGGTGGGCGGAAAGTCTCATTAGAACAATAATCGGATGAACTGAAGAAATACTCGATAGCTCTAAAAGTGATGCTGACGAATTAAAATAAACCAAAGAAGTAGAGGAGTTCCTAAATAAAGTAAATAAAATGAATTCTGTCGATTGAACTCGCCTTCGAATCCACACGTGAAGAGAGAAGTATTGTAAAACCTCACAGTCTCTTTTTTTCACGTTCTTATTTTATCTACGCTTGCAACGACAAATTAAAAGTGTTAATTGAATATACAACATTATTCAATTTCATCAGTTCATCCCCTTTCGAAATGCTCTCTTGCAAATCAGGTATAGAGAAGCAGGATCAACCCCTCTTGAGTACATCAGAAAGCGGAGAGGAAATTAAATGATCCATTTACATTCTGTTGCTTCTTCCTCGAAAAATAGACTGTCTGCTGAGCGAGAAAGAGAGAGAGGGACAATATCTCCTATACAAATAAGGGTGCCCTATTTTAAAGTGGTCAAAGATGATCTCAGACGCACAATTGACCCAGCAACTGTTGGTAATTTACATGATTTTAATTAATCATTACGAGAGTGCCTGTAAAAATATTCCTTTCAATCTTCCATGTCCATTCACGTAATAGCGACAAGGGTCCTGAATGAAAGACTCTATTATTTTGCCGAGCAAGTAGATTAAGTGAGGGGTTCGAGATATGTTATACGCAATATCCATTTCTCTGCATACAACTTTGTGTGGTGAACTATGGGGTGTTCTCGGGGCGAATAAATGGGGTCTGCATGCCATGGTGCTAGGTGATGAGAATATACGCAAAATGTAACTCTCAATTGTGCCATAAATGTGAAAGAAGAGACGCGCGAGTACAATTGACAAAGTTATTACCTGCAGCCGCAGGAGTGTATATTATTCGCAATTGAATTTTTGCCATTGGTAAGCATTTGTCAAATAACAGCGGGGTGGCGTAAATGGATGAAAAATTGATGAATAAGATTTTGCTGTTTACGAAGAGTGAGCACTTAATAGCACCATTTTGCTCACATTGTTATAAATTGAATGTATGAGAATGTTAAACGGTGTTTAATTGCATGAAATGGCACCGCAGGAAAGAACATTATGTATATCTCGATACACATTTATCACTCCACATATTTTTCCGTCGTCACTATGGACTAGAGTAAATAATGATGTAACTCCAGCCCTAATAATAATACAAATATAGCAGAAATCTATATATGTATATGTTGCGCCTCAATTCTGTGGGGGGTGAAGACAGATCGATTTAACATTCATTTCAAATCGCTCGAATAGAAGAAAGTGAACTGATAAACGAGAAAAATACGAGGGGCTCGAAGAACCAAGGGTCCCCGAAGTACATTATGTAAACGCATAATAGAGCCACATAGGAGAACTCCTTCACAAATACATATATTCCGGGGAAATGGACCTGTGTTTCCAATAATATCCTCTCTCTCTTGCTCTCTGCGCCTCTGCCTGACAATAAAAGGATGACAGTGACAGTGAAAATTAAAAACTCAACAATATGTGCTCCTTTGTTGCTTCAGCATGGCTTGGCAAATGTCAGGAAGGGTTGCTCTCGCTCCAGCATTAGGCCAGTTATTATTTTTGCAGCACACCGTGTTACCCTTTAGTGTGAGGGTCGGATGAAATTATGCCAAGAACACTGATTCAAATTGACTTTTGACATTACACATTAGTCATACTCTGGATACATTGTCAATCACATTATACCTTTTCTCTGCGACACATCATAAATTGATAATAACCCAATGTGGCCTTTCTCAGCGCAATTGTCGCAAGATAAACTAGCCATAGAATATAATTTTTCCGTGTGGAGAATTTGCGAAATATTCAAGATTCATTTAGTGTCCCATATCGGGCAATATCAATATCATTGTGAAATGGTTATTCACACAAATGCCGGGACTGTGCGAAATTTAACCCCCCAGTGTGGGCACCTAATTGCTTTCGTTGCAGAAACAAAACAATCGCTCGCATTTCATATTCATGGCAATTGCACATTTCCCCATCGTTTTCTGAATATCGCATACATTTGTATTTTTCCAGGCAAAATCCTATCTTGATATAGTGAAAAATTTTTAATTAAAATTAGTTCAATGGCGGAGTTGGGGCGTGAAAAAAGTCAGGATCATATGGCAAGTCACAGTCCTGTGCTGAGGTTTGAGAGGGGAGGGGGTGGCTCTTGTTGGGGTGCGGGTGGAAAAGTTCAACAATTCTCCTACCTTCTGTGATAGCGTGAATCCTTAATTGCCGTCAACAGCAAACTGTATGAGCGCCATTGTTATAAATCCATTATCACGCATCGCCCATTCCACGAGGTCCTCTCAGCTCCCGCTCGAGCGGCACAAAAAAACCATCCACTGGATAAAACACTTTACATGCCGATGTAAATTGTTCCACCATTAATTCTATATACCACTGATAATATAGGCGAGGGCAGGACTCGGGTGGACTTTTTGTGCACCGTCCTATTCTGCTATTGATCCAATCAATTAGGGAAAATTGAGGACGACACTGTCGCTTCAACAGAATGGACCGATCACTCCATATTCGTTCGAATGTTTGCTGTGGGGAGCTCGCGCTGTTTTTTCTGCCTCTGTCCTCCGCGCGTCGAAAATGAAAAACCAACTCCACTTGACTTCACGCGAATGGCACACAATTAACGTTCGCCTCTTTGGTGGTGATGTGACAAATTATCCATATGATGTATCTCCCGACGGCAATCGTTTAAGCGCTCGCCGAGGAGACATCAAGCACTTCACCAGAGTCTCTCTTTCTGCTCAATTTTTGTGATTTGTGTGAATACCCAATGCTGCGGGAATTTGTCACAAAAGACTAAAAATAAAACATCACTTTCACAACAACTCACTCCCCCTCGCAACCCTCGCGCGTTGCTGAGACTTCCCGGATGACCCTTCGTGTGGCAACGGCCTCCCCAGGAGCAGGACGAGGGAAGAGAGAACAAGGATAAGGAGCGCAATTGATGAATGATGTGATTGGAATTGGTATAAATTGGTCGTGGATATTTATCTGTGGAGCGAGCGCTGAGCCAGAGATTCGTCACTCTCGGGGTGGTCTCTCTTAAGCAGTCAGCACGATTTCACTCCAGATGTTTCATTTTATAAATTATGTTTACATTATGATTGGGAATATACAGCATATTTAATGTAGTGCGGAGTCGAGAGTTGAGTGAGTGGATAAAATCCAAGCCGAGCGGCTGTTCGCCACAATTGCCCATACAGTGCGCGCCTCCCCAATTAATATCCAATATTCACTCTAGCACATCATAAATATTCCGACACTTCCCGCCCCACACCCTTCCGTCCTAATTGCCGCAAATCAGACACTTTTACCAACTCAAGTTGATCCATTCAGACGACGGCGGAGAGTGTGTGGCATCTCCGCGAACCCCCGAGCCCGACCGCCCTCGCGCGACACAACCCAGCACGGCCGAGGCGCACGACAGAGTGTGGGCGCACCTCCACCCCCTGGCGTCGCTGGGTGGAAATAAAATGCTCCTTTTTCATGCTGTTGATGCCATTATCGCTACCAATCCACCAAATGGTAAAGTTATAATTCACCTAATTGTTGTTGTTGTTCCGCTTTTGAAAATTTGCGCGCGCGCACAATATGCACCCACTTCACCAGGATGCCTATGATAAATTGCTCCCATACAGCTACCGAAAGCGCCTGTATATGCACCTTGAATGGCCCCGGAATAATGTGTTTATAATGTTACAAAAAACACTAACTAACTCAAACGTCAATTTACAACTGAAACGATTTGCCTCATTCGAGAAGCAAACATGCCAAGTTAATCGACTCCCGCACTCACACACTCGCGCGCGCCAACATCGTATACGTGAAAATTGAATTGAGTTAAGTGACTTCGGGCTCTCTCCCTCTCTGTCTCACACATACACACGGATGGCGGAGAGAGCGTGTTGCCGCCACTACATCATCCCAAATAGCGCGCCCAGAGTCAGTCGGAGAGCCAGGAAGAGTCAGCAGTCCGAGCAACAGCCATCATCAGGGGAGGTTTGTACATAACTGCTGCCGCTGCACGGCTATGAATGGCTTTCCAGCGGCGCACACAATACACACGAGTGCGATAAAATGAGATATTAAATGCCAGTTAATAGGCGGCGAGACTGCGACAGATATACATGAATCATACAGCGCTGCGAGGATATATTTTTGACAATGATAGAGGAGAGCATCCCAACTGGCGAACAGAAGCTCTTTGCCAGCGCACAGAATTCCCTCAGTTCCGGTACTCGAAAGAGCGTCTTGTGTTCGCATCAGTGTGATTTACAGACAGAAGAAGATTTTTGGCATCGGCCATTCCTGATCTATAGTCGCTCCCGATGTGCATTAACCTGCACACGAGTAAATTAGACACTCAGATTTAGTTCACATTGAGCAATCCTTGAAATTATTTCTAGCTAAACTAGACAAATTATTGGATGTTAAACGTTGAAATAAGTATTTTTTTACAGCCTATACCAGTTGATAGCCTGGGAAATAGGTTAGATATTTTTTTAATATCGTTTGTCAAATGTTGTAGAAAAAAAAACTAATTTTTTTTAATCATAATTTAACTGTAGTTAATTTGAAAAATCTGAATTGTGTAATTTCTGCAGAGACGCGCTAGGCGATGCCTGACAGTTGCGCTACTTCTAAGCCAATCCCATTGCTCCGACGGAGACGCGGTCAGCCAGGAAGAGCGCATAAATCCATCAAATGGAGAGTATATATTCAATTTTCACCAAGTGCGCACCACTTTTAATGTGTGCCGAGAGCACGATGGTGAGCAATTGAGCCCATACAGCGAAATTTATTTAAAAGTGTATCTAGATGAATGCTACAATCATGCTACTATGTGCACATGTATGACGTCCTCTGTCGAATGCTCAAGAGTGACGACAATTTTCGAAATGGCATTAGAGGAACAAGAATAGCTCTATTGGCCCCGCTTAAGAGGAGTAAATGAGTAGATTTCAATATTGTGTAAAGTTGCGGTTGAACATGGAGGCAGGACGGATAGCTCCAGCCCAGCGTGAGCGAGAGCGAGCTGGAAGGGAGTGTAGAATTATTTAATTGAAGAGACGGAGAGTGAAGTGCGCTCTGGGGAGAATAAATTGATGAGATAAACGATGTAGGGCTAATCCATTTGCCATTTCATTATATGAGGAGTTTATGTATATTTTATAGGTATATAATGTGCAGTGTTGTCATAAAACTCAATTATCACATCAAATTTTGTGCCAATTATAGTTCCTTTTGCCTACCTCTTTTTCTTCCACTCCACTCATCATTAATTGATGATGTTAATTAATATTTCTCAGAGATAAGCCCCCAATGCAGAAGGTATCGTTTTTCACGTTTAATTGCTCCGTCTCCAGCATCACTCGTCCTACCCCAGTATCATTTCACTAGCACATCAAATATTTATTTCAATTATATTTTTCGGTCGGGAAAATAAAACGCCGAAGCAACTTTGTGCATCCTCACCCAATTGCTCGTTATATTTCACTCCCTCCCCCTCTGAATTGATCGATTACGACTATATATGGAGGAAAAGTCACTCGGTAAACTCTTGTCTCAATTTAGTAATTTAACAACCCTCATGGCACACGGCTTAAGGACGATGTCGGTTCAATACGCGGCAATATGATGATAGGTACCATTTAGCTCTCTCATAATAAGGCACGCACACGATTTGTTTATTTATATGGCATGTCGTCTGCGATGAACTCATTGCAGGGTCGAATTGTGCTCCAGTAAAAATATTATTATGGATATAATTGAAGAGAAAAAAAAAGATTTCGCCCCATAAATTCAAACAATTTGACTGCTGAACATGGGCAAATTGTGGTTGCAAACATTCCCTCCACTTCTCAACTCACTTCATTTGCGATGAGCTGCTGAATAGAGACACTGCCTACAGCCCTGTAAGCGTTTCTATTCATCATATTATTAAAATGGATGGTTGATGCGCTGCCACAAAGACAGATTATACAATGTGTATAGTGTATTTTATGAACATCAAAGGGGTTCCCTTATATACTGCACAGGCAATATTTCTTTAGTGCTTTCACACATTAGGAATGACATTTGAGGAGAAATTATCGCCCGGAACAATGACTTTTCTCTCTCTTTCTCCCATTTGCACAGCATAATTTTATATATGTGATGATTATATTGGCTAAAATATTCTCCTCATCAATTGATGAATTAGCAAGTATTCTATCACTTTCCTCATCAACAATGCAAGAGTCAGCTACAACAACATCAAACAGATGCAGTAATCACAACTCAATCTACTCAATAAATCATTGCAATTGCATATCCACATCGTAACAATACGTAATTGTGCAATGTTCTGAGTGTGTGTGTGCGCGCCAGGGAGAAATTTTCATATTGCCCATAAATGCTAGAGAGATAAATGACGATGGCCGCAGTGCACATCATGTGCATCCCAAAGGTAAGCCTCAAATAGTGTGGAACAATATAAAACGAAATTACTCATTCACGAGTATATCGGAAATGTATTTACTCCGTCATCAGCGCTGAAAATGATGAATTTGCCTTTAATCGTCATTTCCAAAACTAAATAATCAATAACCACCCCCTCAGGGAGTGCGAGAATCCGTGCTGCAGCCGACTGTTGTTGTCTAATCTCAAAATTCAATCCTATTACACATTTCCGTTTGTACTCCAGCACAAACTGTTTATTACTGTATCACGCAAATAACTCTAAATTATTTAATGAATTGTGACTACATACTTACGCTAGAGAACCGACAGACATATGGGTATATTTAAGGAGACCCCTCCATTACGTCGTCACGCTTGGCCCAAATGCAAATAAACACATTAAATACGAACTTTTTTTTGTCACGGCTCCTTTCATACGCAGCCAACAACATCTCTCCTTTGATTCCCTGTCCAGGCGCCACCGCTGAGAAGTGTACTCTGGAATATTAGGACTACTAATTCTGTGCTTAGATCCTGGCAGAGAGACAGGGAGAGAGAGAGAGAGATTCGCCTGCGAAGCCCTACATGTGGGATTGAATCTTCCCCCTGTAGAGCTTCCCTCTCTTAATTTTGCCGAAATTAATAGTTTAGAGATTGTGTGCCACCCCTTGTACATAAGGGACGCATCCATCTTCACTGAATCAATAAAAAGTCCCAGTTCATATTCATACAATCACCTAGACATCAGACTCTGTCCTGAGGGCCAACGCCGTGCCCTTCTAGAATAGCAATTAAACCCAGTGAATATGCGAATCACTCGCAATCCAAACAACCAGGACTACACATTTTGGGAACTTAGGAGAGCACTGAAAATTCTATGCACAGAAGCATGTCAAGAATGGTTTCAAATGACGTGTGAAGCTAATCAACATCATAGGGAGGCATCTTGAAGATGTTCACTCATCTCTCATTAAGTATTTTAAGCCAGAGTTGTAGAATGAATGGCCTTAGGTAAAGCCTCAAATGTGTGACTTTTAGTACTTTTACGCTGATTAGGCAAATTGCTACAGAGACAGCTTTACGACTCCTCACTTTGCCATTTATTTAGGGATGCCGAGGCGTGCATTTGCGAGAAGTGAAAACAATAAAAGACAAATCTAGTTTGAGCCTGTAATTGCGGATTCGTCAATTCATCTGCAACATTGGCAAGTGATCAAAAATCAAGCGGAATTGTCAGTGAATGCGAATAATTTGATGTCTAAATGTGTACCTTAATCTCCTTAACACATGTCTGGCATTTTCGCAATTTCCACACATCAGCCCAGCCGTCTCGCGAATTGTGGGCAAGAGGTTAATTATCTGCGAGTTTGTTATCACAGTAATTAAGTGTTGTCATTCGCTTTTTCGCAGAATTGCATACATTGTACATTTATCGGTCTGCATTGGAGACAATTGGCAGCATTTTTGCCGCAAAATTACTCATCCTGTGCTTGTTTTTTCGCAGGACGCACAGTAATTATTGAATGAAAAAATTTAACAGGTGCATTTTAATACACATTTATGAATTTAATTTGATTACACGCTGAAATATCGTGAAATATGATAGTACGAGGATGAAAATATACCGTCAAAAAGTCATAAATTCAAATGTGTCTCTTTATTTTTCGGGTGGGAAAAAAATCCCTTAATTTATGCATTATAAAAGTTCAGTGATATTAAATATTATTGATATTGTCAGGTATTAATTGAACCCGGTTTTTTCTGCACGCCCGCAGCTGTGAGCGGGCAAGCGGGGGTTGAGCTTCCGAATTACCATATTGAAATGGTGAAATTTCAATTGGAAAATTGCGAACAAACACAAAAGGGTAATAAATAAAAATAATATTCATCAATAAATAATAAATCAAAATGTATTGGGAGATTTTGCGGCTTAAGCGAAACATTTTGATTTTTAGTTGTTGCAAAATAATACTCGAGTTTTGCCCTCAGAGAAATGAAACATTGTGATTGGACTATTACCGCACATCACATACCAAATAGTCATCATCCCCCCATTAATCCGTTTATCATTCACTGCTCTGGCTACGGAAATGGGGTGGGCGGGCGGTCAGGACCATCGAAATATACTGTTTTTATTGATTTACCCCCCAAACCCGTGCAGCACATCCATTCCCTGAGTGATTGTATGGTAGCTACAATATGTAGGAAGCAAATATCAGGCTGTTACGGGGAAAATTGCCAGCTAGTGGTATCATTTTTCATTGGCAAATTATTTAAGCACTCCCATTGAATTATTTTTCACTGCGTTTATATATATTTATTTTAAACATTTTCCATGTGCATACATACATTGGGGCTTTCTGTTTGAATTAAAAATAAGTTTTACCCTCTCTCTGAATAATGTTGTTTTGCATTTTTGTTTCAATTAATGCATTCACTCACCTGTGGTGTTGTGACAAGAGAGCTTAAACGATCATTACTTTAGCATTATCAGTTGTATTTTACATAAATATATATGTCACGGTATTTGTCAGGAATGTTGTATCGGCTTTTAAGATAAGTTGAAGCTCAGCTTTTTACACTGTGTCATGATAAAATGAGCCTGAATGAATGATAAATGGCATTTCAAAGAATCTCTTTAATTGAGAGACACATTAATTTCAAATTAATTAACATTTTATTCTGAGAAACTAAAATCTGACTTCAAATGATAATTATGCCATTCATTTAATGACGATACATTAACAAACATTACATGGGCGATGTGAAGAAACATATTCACCACATATATAAAAGCCACGCAGGCGATATTTTCCATCAGCAGTACTCAATTGATTTCCCTAGTGGACTTGGGTGAATCTGCAGAAGAGCAAATATCACGATGCAAGTGATGCAATTTTCTCAAATGCTGCTCTTGCTTTTGGGAGTAGCACCCAATAAATCAAATCCATCATATTCACCGGTGAAGTGGATTGTGTGGTTTTCAATAGGCATTGTCTGCATTCCGCAAGTGAGGCCAAGTGACCTTATTGGCGCAGTAGATTGGGGGAATTCACTGGCTCTCTTCCAGATCACCTACATGATCACAATTGCCGATAACTTGGTAACCATCATCAGGTCTCTCAGCTACATTGGGAATAATATCCTGACCATCGGCAAAACGTTCAACTTCTTCAGAAATTTGCAATTCATCGAGCAGTTGCTGGACACAATGCGGGACACAGTGAAGGAGGGAAAGGTGGAAGTGTACAAGAGGATTGAGAGGAACATATCACTGTTCAGCAGGATTTATGCGTCGATAACAGTCGTGGCAATTACATCAATTATAATCCCAACTGTTCTCGACATTCTCCATCAGCGCCCATTTCGAAATCCATTTGCCACCGCTTATGGACTTCCAGCGAACTGCCAGGCGTGTCTAAATGTCCTGGCCATCCTGGAATACCTCTGTCACATGTTCATGGGAATTTCCCATGTGGCCGTCGATGTGTTTTACTGGGGCCTCTGTCTCTATATCGCTCAATTCTTCATCGATCTCTCACTCTTTATGGTCTCTTCTGAGCGCGGAGGGAAAATTCATTCGCTGGAAAGAATTTTCCTGCGACATCACAAGTTACTCTGGTAAAACATAACTCTGTGTGTCGCTCAAAATTATGAGTAAATCTGTGTGTATTTCTTTTCTTTTCACCGGCAGGACTACAAAGCTTCTGCAAGAGTCCTACGATCAAATCTTCTTCTCGCAGTTCCTCTTGAGTCTGTACATCATCTGCTCAATAATCTATCGTCTCTCCAAGGAATGGAGTGAACCGGACAAGATGATAACATTAGTGGTCGCCGCGGCTCAGTGTAATGTTCAAATATTTACCATGTGCTGGTTCAGTTCACTGGTGACAAGTCAAGTAATAATTTGCCACTCTCCAGCCACCCACATTCACTTGCTAAACAGCTCCTCTTCCTCCTCCCTTTTGCAGAGCACAGAGATGGCCAATAAGTTCTACCAGCTCAATTGGTATAACTTCGAGTCGAAGGACAAGGAAAGGGTGAGATTTATGATTTATCGCAGTCAAAAATCGATTGAATTCAATGGACTTGGCATATTTAAGTGCAACATGGCAACGTTCACCAGCGTAATTTACAAATGACACACATAGTTGGACTCATTAATGTTTCACCACTGTCATTTTCAGGTGCTCAATTTCACAGCATCGGCTATTACACTCCTCCAATCATTTCATTAGGCGCAAAAGTGGAGCTCTTTTTCACACAAAATTTCATCACTCCGCCTCACCAAAATTTTCAATTAATTGTATTTTCGCGAAGCTTTCACAGTATTTTCAATGATGCAGTAATAAGCTTCCACCAAAAATTATTACCTCAAATAATGTCCTCCTGCTCGAGGCCGAAGCCACCTTTCTCGTTGAGGTTCTGCAGCAGAGCCATCATGGAAAAGGACGCCCTGAGGACCGTCATATAGGACTCCATGGAGCAATTTAGCCAATTGGCAGCTTTAAAGTAGCACGGTTTCTGCGCTCGCTGAATCATGAGGCCGAAGTATCGACGATACCGCGGCGGAAATCGCCACCACGAGGCTCTGTAGGCGGCATCAGCAACAGCCCGGCTCTCCGTGGCAATTTTCTCCCCGAATATGGCAAAGAGGAACAACTCCAGTCCATTGGCCATGAAGAAAACCACACTGTTCAAGAATTCGGCACTCTGAACGTTCTGGAAGAGAAAAGTCGACAGTATAATTGCAGGTTCTTCTGTGTCATTCCCTCAAATCCTCACCAGAGTTGCTTGAAATGCTTGAGTGCAGAAGGACAGAATACTCCCTGCGTATTCGAAGGCAATGATGCCGGAGAGGGCGAGAGTCGCACCCTCAATCCATCGTATTATCTTCGTGTGGAGCTCAAGGCATTGGCTAATGTGACGAAGGAAGATTTCCTCTTCCTGAGGATTTGGATTGGTGGCTATTATCAGAGAACTCCCATCATCTGGCTCATGGAGCAGCTTCTCCTGCTCAATGACAGTCTCAACAATATCACTGATCATCTCCTGGAGATCCTTGAAGCACGCAGCAATGTGCAAGCTGAAGCAGAAGAAGAGACAATTCGACGAGACCATGGAATTGAGAATGGGCAGCAAAAATGTGAAACTGGACACATAAATCAATTCATAATTGGGCGAAATCTTATCATCAATGCCTAATCTGAAAGAAAAGGCAATTAAATGAATTGACACGAATTGATAAGAGAGTCCTTTTTGCTCACTCAAAGTGAAATGGCAATTTGAATACGAAAGGTTCTTCTGGCTTCAGGAGAAATTGCACTAGAATCTGCAGCATTGGATTCAAGGAGTAAAGAAGAGCTGCACAGAGGATCATAACTGCAAAACACTTCGTGAAAACATTTCCTATGCGATCCGCTGATAAATAATGACGACCTTTGCCGCATTTCACCCCTGAAAAACATTGGATTTAGAATCATATCTACATAAGTTGTAAAAAAATGGAAGTACGAGTGTTTATGTGATCTTGAAGCTCAGTTAGGATTGATGCCATTAGATTTGTATAGCTGACGAGCCAATATATTTTCGCCCCCGTAATAACCATCACCATAAGGACGGACAAAACTGCTGTGGATTCTTGTAAATCACTCATATTCAGCACATAGTAAACCGCCTAGAATTGAGAGAGACAGAGAAGAAAAACATTGTCTAGCCACTAAAATCACATCTTAACACTCAATTCTCTCCATCTTAACCTGCGGTGCTGAGAAATAAATCAGCGAAAGCACGGTGAAGGTGCTCATAATGCGCTGCTTCAGGGGCGAACCGACAATCACACCACAGAATTCCATGTGATTCTTCACAACAGACATTATCTTAATATCCGGCTCCATTTCTCTATTGCTCTCACTGGAAAATTCCACCCAGTGCAAAATGTAAAATCACACTGTGATGAAGTGTTGCAGAGGAAAATCCCTTTTATAAGCCAAAAGAACCACAGTTACACTGAAAACTAACTAAACATTCGCTAAAGTCAAACAGTTTTCCAGAAAGTTTGTACAACTTTTCTTTCATGTTGCCTTACCGTCTTTCTTAATTACCTGGGAGAGATCAGAGGAAAATTATAGAAAACAAAAGAAAGTCGTTAAATTAAAGAACAGCGCAAGTTCAACACATTTTACCACAAGGGAAAAACTTCCTATTTTACACTTTTCCAACTGATTTATAATTCACTTTGATTACTCACGAGCATATTCAATGTGCTGCCGCAAAATTGATGATAAAAAGGCCATAGAAAAGACAAGTGAAAAGAAATCACGATGGTCTCATTATCATATTTACAATTTAAAGAAGGAGAGAAAAAAAAGAACAAGAAAATTCCTAGCTTAAATGACATCAAATGGAAAGTGAGAAAAATGCGCAAATTCAATAAAGCTCAACATATTGCAAATAGTGTATTTTAACTGAAAATATACAGGGTAACTCACAAAAACTACATATTTACTTGTCTAAGGGTGTAATAAAATATAGTATAGAAATAAATTGGATTAACTAAAATGTTCTTTAGGTGTTCTATCATGTTTAAATTTGTTTCAAAAAACATTTACAGCCACAGTTTCTATCATGATATTTCTCATTTATTTAATACACAGAGGCAAATATGCCATATCAATATTCACAAAATAGCTACAAATTTCATCTAACGCACTCTCATCATCCACAAGTGCACAAACATGATCGCATCATCGCTCTGGCGACGTGCGTCCTCTTCGGGAAAGAAAACAGGAAAAAACATCATATGAAGGTGGAAAGAATTATGGATCGAATATTTCGAAATCCAGCAGTTGGAAAGTTTAGTTATTTTTTCTTCTTCTTCTTTGTACATTCAAACCTTTCAGGCGCAATTCTAAAGGTATTTTAGAGACATTTTGATAAAGAGGGAGAACAAAATACAACTGATAAATTCGTCTTGTTGAAACACCAAATTCTCTAGGCTTCATTCCAAAATAAATATCTTTTGGGCAACACTGGTAATAAATTGTGGCAAATTGCAATAAATATTATAAATATCATAAGACAACTTACATTTCCTGATAGGTCGACTGTCCCAGGAAGGGCACAATAATGTCAACCATATTTGGGTACACGAGATACTTATACACTTCCTCACACAATTTGCTCTCAATAATATTCGTAACAATACTCCAGTCGAATGTGTGATCGCCCACGGTGGGTTTCGCCGTGATCCACATGCGCGGCGGACCACGGAAGCCAATCCAGATCCTGTCCGACGGCGGCGGTGGTAGATTAATCGTCACCCTGGCCACCAGACCCTTCAATTCTGCCCTCAGTGTCAACTTCGTGCTCATATTCTCCATGGCACGCTGAATGTACGAGATCTCCGTGGCCGATTGGAAGAGATTGGACGCTGTGATTCTGTCCACAATTCGCAGGAACTTCCTGCTGCTCCCCGACGAGAATGACTGCTGCGTGTCTGCGACATTCTCTGGCTTCGCCGGTGGCTGACTCTCAGACTCCGAACTCGAGCCACCTGTGCTCTCAGCGTCACTGTCATAGATTGCACACGACGATCCATTCGTCAGGCCAATTGAGTCCGGCACAATGACACCGAGATCACCTCCTGAGTTCTGCTGCTGTCGCCTGAGCCTCATCAAATTGAGTTTCGTGGTGATGGTCATGTGCATCAGTCCCTCATACGTGATGTCCGCGTCAATCCACGTCCCTCGCTCATCCAGCATCGGCTGAGACACTTTGTGGATCAGTGGCGGCTTGTCGCCCAGGTAGATTTGAGCAATATTCACATCCTCCATGAATCCGGGCAGTTTTATTGCGCTCAGCTTCTTCTGCAGGAACTCCTGGATTTTCTCCTGCAGCACAGCATCGGTGAGACAGCTGAAGAGTATCCTCCCGACCAGCACATTCGCCCACACGACACTTCCTGACGGTCCCAGAAAGAGACTCTGATCAATTCCTCTCCACAATTCATCCTCTTTCCTCTCACGGCGATTCTGAAAACACCAAACAATCCCCATTAAAATAGCAATTCTGCTGTCGCTCAGCGTAAAAAAAATATCACAAGTTTCATGATTGATAGAACAAATAAAGAAAAAACTGATAATAATATCCTACTTTCTTGCTACTTGATTCAGGAGTGGGACGATAATTGGGTGTATTACTTAAAGAACAAGCTTGCTGAAAATAAACAGAAAAAAAACAAAACATTTCAAATAATAAAAATAAATAAACACAATCAACATAATTCTGAAAAGCAATACAATCATTTCGGACGATGTTGAACTACAATAAATTATTAATTCAGTAAAACAGTCAATTCAATATGTGGGTGTCGATGAAACCACTGAAGAAGTAATTAAAGTTCAATAATGTATGTGATTTGTGATTTGATTCTATTGCCTAATGAATTTATCATTAGACGAAATAATAAAATAAAACGGAAATCGAATTATATGTTAAAACCAAATTCATTCATGCTAATAAAAACTTTAAATTACTGAATTTAGTAATATTGGCCAAGTCATTAACACTCACCTGATATTTCGACATGAATTTCAGATAGTCAACAGGTCCTCTTGTTGCACAGGTTGTTATCAAAAGTCCCTCATAAGCAGACGCAATGCTGCTCCTGTGACTTCCAGCGCCTTCAGTCTCCTTGCCATTCTTCTCCGCCATTTTCGCTACATCCGGTCCATTGGTTTTCTCATCAGAATTCTCTCCCGGCTGATTCAGATCCAGACTGCTCGCCAGCTTTATGCTCACCACCTCATCGTCCGTCAGCATCACCATGTCCGGAATGTGACAATCAGAATCCACCACAGACCCACTACTCGCTGCCGAGAAGCGCCTAAACCAATCCTCCTTCTCGCGATCGCACCGGGCGAACAGGAGCAATCTCACATCATCACCACTGGGCGCCTCTTTCAGCGTCGCATCACTCTGCTCCGTCATCTGCGTCACAGAGTCCACATTGAAGTTCATTATCGTGCTTCCGAGATCATTATTGTAGCTGTTGCTTCCAGTCTTCTCACCGCCGCCCTTCTCTTCAGCATCAGCAAAGTGATTCGTCACCAATTCCTCAGTGATTGAGTTCACAATTGCCTTGCTGACTTCATCCGCGCCAAAATTCTCCTGATTCAGCTCCACTTTTGACTGCGAAATTGTCAATTGGATGGGATATTTTCGACTGAAATACCTCTTCCTGGCCAATCCTTTGGGACACATTTCAATGCGACACCCCAAAAGATTGTAAAACCGATGCTTGATGAAGCTTATCGAATTCTTATCAATCGGCTGTTCATTCCACATTGAACGCTTCGGCACACGATCGGCCGCACTGGAAATTCTCAAATTTGACCCATCAAGCTTCACAAAGACACTCCTTGTCATGGAAATGTGATAATTGGCAGGATCGTAGTTGTTAATCTCATTCATCCAACCCTGGAAAAGAGTTGAAAATGAAAGTTCATTACATTATGAGTGAGAAAGTCTCGCAGAAGAAATTATTATTAATTCATTCTCAATGGAGAATGTGTGCTCATGTCCAGACAAATGTTAAATGGTCCCATTAATGAATCACTGTAGCGCGAAAAGAGCAACAGAGTCAAGTGGTCGCGCGCTCATTTTATGCGAAAATTGTAACTTGAAAATTTTATGTGAAGTCTCACGAGAAAGTGAATAAAGAAATATATGACTCAACGCAATTGTGTGTTTTTCTTTGCTATCATAATCTCTCTCTAATGCACTTGTCGAGTGCGAATAATGTGACTTTTGTCGACGCCCCAGACGTGAAATTATGGCAAATGAATATTCAAACTCACCGTGTATGTTTTCAGAGATTTATGCTCCTCAACTGCAGGAACCTGACATATTGGCATGCTCTCAAAGTCAGGAATAGCGAATTCACCCCTCTCGGGACCGCCACTCTTCGCCAGCGACGCACTCACGAGCTCCACGGCGATGTCGTACAGTGTTGTGAGGGAGAGCATGGCGAACAGGCACGCCAAGACGCCCTGCATGAAGGGTGGGATGGGCGCCAGGACGCAGAGCAGCAGCAGACCGCAGGCGATCGTGAAGTTGCGCTGGGCGTAGAGATGCGATAGAAAAGTGCGGAGTAAATCTAACGTTGTGGGCTTCGTTTCCTCTCTCAATGTTGGCACTGGATTGGACTGTGGAGCGACGATGGATGTGTCCTCGTTGGGCGATGTCGATGAATTCGATGCACTCTGTTGACTCTCCACTGGAGGCGGTGGCACTTCTTGCTCAGACGGCAGAATCATGTCCTCCAGCATCTCCACGCCTGACTCAATCTCCACCGGTGGCTTTTCAACCTTTGCGCCGGCCTCCACACGCCGACGCCGCAGGAAGGACAGCGATGCGGCTTCGTCGCTCCTCTTGGTCTTGTTGAACTTCGCCATGAGAGACTTCTTGGCATTGTTGGAAGATGCTTTTGGCGCTGGAGAGCGCTTTCCCGTCACCTTGGCGTCCTGATCGAGATTGAGAATGTCTGAGTCAACGTCATTCTCACTGTCGGAATCATTTGTCTTGCCGACAATGCGCTTCGCCATATCGCGGGAGGTCTGAGCCTCGCAAAACTCCTCGCTAACAGAACTGTTGACGGTCATCGAGTCCAAATCCGACTCCAAATCGTCAACACCAGCGTCACTCGAGGCTACAATGGAGCAGAAAAAAGTGTAAATATGTACATTCTCACAGTACATGCGAAACTAAATCAGTGATAAGGTTTAAAAATACACTGACTGAGAGAAAAGCAGAGGCACACTGAAATTTTTATATCTTCCGCCACTGATTAAATTTAAAACCTAATCATTCCCACCTATTTATCGTGCCATTTTTTCAATAATTCATGGAATTATATACAAGATTGAGAAGTTCTTTATCTGACGATAGAATTACTGTTTACAATACGAACACGACAGAAGAAACTAATTGCGTCAACATGTTTTTGATAAAAAAAAAAAGTGTTTTGCAATTCCTTGAATGAAATCTGTTTGAGTGGCTTTGTACTCACTTTTCGGTGGGATCTCCTGCCTTGGGGCTTTGATGTCCTCCATGGCTTGTGTCACCTTGCCCTTGATGAGCTTCCAGGTGTTGCCCTCGGACGAGGACAGCAGCCCGGACGCCTGGCTGTCCGGACTGCCGGAGCGCTTGCGATTGAAGAAGCCACCTTGCAGAAAGTCACGTCGCCAGCTATTTTCGTCCGTCTGCAAAACAAACCACGCAATTTCACAACGCACTTCCCAAATCAAAGATGCCCTGTCATTACGTTCTGGGGACTCCCCGAGAGACTCTCCGCCCTCTCGGCTGGCTTCATGAACTCGCAGATGCTCTCCTCGTTGGCATTGAAGCGAATCGTGAGCGGAATGCTGCTTCCGGACGCCTTGGAATCTGTTTGGCAATCAAACCATGTGAGCTTGGGTGCTGCAACGGTGCCCCCCAGCCTGGACAGTACTCACTCTTTGTTGGTGTTTTTAGCGGATCCATTTTGCGAATTTCATCACCCAAAGAACACCCGGAAAGAGATCATTCGCTGGAGATCTTCACTCCAATTCCAGCACTAAACTGAACTACGGAAAACTATTCGTTGACTACTTCCGCGATTTCACGCAATTCATTGAAATATGTTCTTGTGAGAATTTTCCTTTTCTTTTTGCTAAAACAAAAACAGCTGATTTTATGGATCCTACGCCATTCAGCGCTACCAGCGGACTGGCGGGATAACTCAGCGAACCCAGTGGCGGCGTGTGAAGCGAAACTCGTCTAATTTGAGGAGGACAAAAAATTTATGGCACCAACGGTCACTTCGGTGTTACTTCACAAAATACTTTTCCTATGCATTTCCATAGGTATTTAAAGCGTGAAAAAATAGAGAGATATATTTGAGAATATTTCCTTTACATGCGCATACAACGATTGATCAAAAACTGCAATTGCAAAGCTCGTTGGACAATCTACTCTTCGGATTTCAGCACCAACTCGAACATATCCGTCCTGCGCATATCGAAGAGCTTAATCTCCTTCCTGGCCTTCTCCACAAGGGAGAAATCTGTGAATAACACGAGATAAATAAACTCAATCTCCCTGATTGTGAATTATCATACCGATTTCAGCAAAAACGGTCTCCTCGCCTTCCTTGGCAGACGCCACAACATTCCCGTAAGGATCAACGATCATCGTGAAACCATGAGACACGTAATTGGCATTCACATTCCTTGCTGGCGAGATCATCGTCACGTAACTCTGCGTGTCAACAGCTCTGGCTCTCAGATACAATTCCCAGTACCGATCGCCATACTTGACTGGGAAAGCAGAGGGGATGATCATAAGGTTGCATCCCTTCTCGCGGTACTTCATCCACATGTCCGGGAATTGAATATCGAAACAGATGCCAAATCCAACACAAGCCGGGTCGATTTTCGCCATGGTGAGAACATCTCCGGGCGTGAGAGCTGAAGACTCCTTGAAGTCGATCACTTCGGGCACGTTCAGATCGAAGAGATGCACTTTGCGATGCTTCACCACGAGATGACCGCGAGGCGACCACAGAGTGCATGTGTTGTAGAGCTTCTCATTGTCAATCTCGGGAATGGATCCGCCCACGATGTGTACGTTGAGTTCCTTCGCCAGAGACGAGAGGAAGTTGCTGGTCGGCCCCTCGGGAATGGGCTCAGCATAGGTGCGGAAGAGATTGGTCTGGTACGGAGCATTGAAGAACTCCGGAAGGCATACAATGTGCGGATCGTACTTCGTCACAGCTTGGCGGATCAAATCTCCGGCGTGCTTCAGATTGGCATTCTTGTCCGCAGAGCCGTGCATCTGCACGAGGGCAAGGCGCAATTCTGTTGAGGAGGAAAGAAAATATTCCAATAGAGCATTGAATCCGTGAAATACCATCAAAGCACTCACTCTTTGCAGAAGACATGTTATTCCGACTGGTTTTGAGGAGCTCCAGAAATAGACTGATGCGACTGAACCGACTGAACGGTTTGGATTTTATCTCTCCCTCTCAATTAATAACCTGACCTCTTTTGGGCATCATTAATTGGATGATTGTCAATTCCACTGATTGTACATTTTTTTCATCAATTATCAAGTGCAGTGTGGCAAAACCACCAAAACACCTTATCGCCTGTTGATAAGGATTATTAAATTACGTAAGAATAATTAGGCTAATCGGAATTACTTGTTTTGGACGAGAATAAATTGTCCAAATAGTGATAAATAAAATCGTGCAAAATGCAAAAAATGTAGAAAGTGTGCTAAAAAATGAAGAATATTCGTGGAAAACTCTTGAAAATACTACAGAAAATACCAAATTCGAATTAAATTTAGATACGTTTCTGTGCCTCTTTTATATAATATTTGAATATTACTCTTTATAATATTAAGAATGAAAGCCTTTCCAACTGTTGATTTACATTGATTTCAAAATATGAGAAGTATAATATGCCGAATGGCGATGGACAAATCGACAAACATTGAATGCGTTGAACATTTCTTGAAGGGTTTGTAGTAAATTTGACAACCGCGAGTGAAATCAAAACATTGTGTATTTCCTCGGTATTTTCATAAATAACTCTTTATTTAACATGGTTTTTCACTAACCAACTTGTTGAATTTTTAACCTGTGCGAAGAAGAATGGAAATCTCTAACAAGGAAGGATTGTATGCTGTGGAGTCATCAATGGTGAAGGAAGAATTCTGTGTTGAAGTTCAAGGATCACAGTTTCACTATGAACATGGGTAAGAAGAGTGCTTATTTCTCCTCTAAAAACATCCTCATTGTCCTGTTATTTCCTTCGAGGTATGATTTCATCAAAGCAGAGGCTGCGGATGTTGCAGATGAAGTCATGATAACGGATGTGGTTGATTTAGGCGCCTATGTAAAGTCAGAGGATTCCCATGAATTCGTTCAGTTCGACGTTACAGAAATCCCTCCGGAAAGGAGCAATGATGTTAGGAAAAGCCACAGGAAGAAGTATTGTTGTCCAGTTTGCAACAAATCCTGCAAAGGCAATGGAGGTCTGAAGAATCACTTGGTAATGCATAAAGACCACCAATTCTACTATTGCGGCTATTGTGCGAAGATATTTGAGCAGAAGTCAGAGATGGAAAAACATCTCGAAAAGCACAAGAGTAAGAAGAGATGCACTTGTAATGAGTGCAATCAGGAAGTGAAGATCTCAAGCGCCGTCCAAGGAGTTACAGAACATGTTGAGGATGTAGAGGAAGAAATTCAGTTTTTGCCAAGCGATTCTCGTCATGCGATAGTGGAATATCATCCAACAAACTCATATAAATGCTGCACTTGTGGAGACACATTTAAACTCTTGCGTGATATTAAAATCCACATGAAAAGCCATCCAATAATACATCAGATAAGACAGGATAAATTCAAGTGTCCTTACTGTGAGGACGGCTTCGTTAAGATTTTAAATCTGGAATTACACATGTCCAAATACCATCGAGGACTTCCGTGTAATGCAACAGGTGTGTTAATGACTTTAGAAGATTTAGGAGGTATTTTGCAAGCCCAAAATTCTTTTCAGATCCTCCTCTGACGTGCACTGTTTGCAAGAAGGCCTTTGAAAGTCTGGATTGTCTGAAGAAACACGTGAAAATTCACAGTATCACGAAGAGCTTTAAATGCGGATATTGCGAGAGGAAATGTGACTCCACCAACAAAATGATAATTCATGTTTCGGATGATCATCCAGGGTATTGAGAGCGATGGTTATTGATTTGCACACTCAATTAATTCTTCCTTTTTCTTGCTTTCCTTAGAAAAAGACTGCCTCGTGGCTTTCCAGACGTCTGGATGTTGTACACTTGTGCGCTCACCGGGAAAACCTTCCCTGCGATTCAACATGCAAAGAGAAGCGCAAAAGAAGTGACAAATTTGAGAAAACGCAACAAAACACGCTACTTACATGCATGTCGTTTCTGTGGTGAAAAATTACTCCGGAAAGATCTTAAAAAGCATGAGAATGAGCATAAATCCGACAAGGGAGTAAAATCATTGTTCTCTTTGCTGAAGAAGGTACCAAAGGTTGCTCAAGTGCTAAAAAATGAAGAATGCTCAGAAAGTACAACTTCTTCTTCTATCACAGAAAGGGGGAATTGAGGAGAATATAGATGAAGTGCCTTCATAAAAGTCTTGTTTTGCTTCTTTCTCTTTCGAGCTACGTTGAATATTTACTCCACTGCAAAGGTTATTCGTACAAAATTGGAAATGAAGAATCGGGACTCGACTGAAGCCAGTTGTCTTCGGAATATTTGACCCCATCCGTCTCGATCACGTGAAAAGTGTAAGCATGTCTCGCTTTGTTCGACTTGTTCTGATCGCTGCGATGCACGACTTGACTGTGGATCAGAACGCACGTTCCTGCAAGAGAGAAAACGAAGACAATTTACACACTATTCATTTGTGATTGAAGATCTTCAGAAAGACCTGCTTCGACGGGAACGGATGTAAAGTTTGAAGCGGGATAAATGGGAGCCGGTCGATCGTAGACCAAGAGTTCATTTGATGACTGATCCTGATTGCGCACGTAGCGACGATGAACGCCACTCTTGTGGGATCCTTTGATGAACTGAAGACAACCGTTCTGAGTCGAGGCGTCGTGCAGGGCGATCCAAAAGCCAACTGTTGAGGCTGGTTCTGTGTGCAGAAATGTTCCATCTTGGTGGGCAATTACTGAAACAGTACGAATTTAATCAGCATCATTTGATGTTCACTTGATAACGCCGCAAAGTACCTTCGCCGCCGATGCCTGGATTCTTGTAGATGTACATGCTCTGCGGCACTGCCGGTCTCTTAAAGCCCAGCTGCCAGCAAGCTTCGCGCACGCGATGTGAGAAGGTGAACTTCTTGAACGTATCGTGGTCAGTATGCAGAGAATGTCCCACTTTGTTCAGGGCATTCTCGGGCTTCACAACCAGATCGCCCTTCTCATCGAGAGCACCTTCCTCGAAAAAGTATCTCACTTTGTCGGCCGACTCAATAAAGTAGCGCTCTTTGTTCTGGTTAGTGTCGCAATTCACTGTGCTGAAGATCGTTCGGCTCTCCTTGGGCGCCTCCAGACAGAGCTCCTGACCAGCTGTTAGCACTTCCTCCACCTCTTCGGGCAGCAAGAAGCCCTCGAGCACCACATATCCGTTCTCGTTGAGCTGAAAATATTCCATTCATGAATTAAAGACTGTTTGGCTCTTCGTCTTGAAGAGTAAAGTCCAAAGGGCAGTTGATTAGGCGAATTTAAATCACTCAGAGCCTCTCAACTGATATGAATTTATTAAATAGACACACTAGAATCACTATAAATCTCTTATTGCTCCCCTGATTTAATAGTAAATCCTTCGTGTTAATAAATTCACAGCGAAATTCTCACATTTTTCTGCCATTTGCACTCCCAACCGTCATTTCCCAATCAAAGAGAATCATGCCTCGAAATAGCATCCAAATTCTAACTTTAGCCACATGCATAATCGCAGAGAAAATGAGTCTCCTACATAAAGAAGCGCGGGATGATTCAGAGGTGGAAAGAAAGTGTTTGCACGCAGTATTTCTCTCACGGGGAAAATTTCACAATTAATGTCGCGTGAAAGAATTTTCTCATAATGTTCATCATTAATTCACATTAATATCGATGAAGTTATGCATCAAAAACACTTTTATCTCTCCCAGATCAATTTGCGAATGGCTCTTGTGTTGAAAGATTTTCCGTCAGACTGATTATCTGGGTTCTGTTTATGTTCGGATGTTAAAGTATATCATGATGGCTTTGTGAGTGGCGCTCTTTATCACTGGATATTCGTAAACATGACCCACGAGTGGCCTTCACTATTCGCACGATTGCACGACGAGCGCCTTTGGAGGGCAAAAGGCAAGGAAATTTGATCAATAGAATCACATTTTTACCTCTTCAAGCAGTGAATTCCTCATTGTGACACTGAAATTCAATCAGAAACACTCCCACAAAATCACACAATAATCACAAATGTTGCCAATCAGCGTCTCAAGAGTCTACACTCGGTCGATTGCACTTTGCCTTCAATTTGTGCACACTTCTTTCGTCGAGAGTCGGAAAGGAAATGACTTCTCAATGAGCTCGAGTCACTCGGCGATGCTGTTCGCGCGCGAGATGTTTATCAACTTATGATGCTCTTCTCAGAGAATTTGAAGCAAACTCAGAGAGTTGTGGTGGGATGAGATGAATACACTTGTAAACTATTCACTGTAATTTCTTTTTACTGACTCTCAACAGAACATCGCATTACAGAGGTGAAAGGGGGAGGATTACATTTACATTTGCCGGCCATATGTTTCCTTGCTTGCCCAGAAATACAATCAGGTTGAGAGAAATGAGGCTAAAAATACGCATTGTGGGTGGAAAAATTCAGAAATTTCTTTCTGCTTTTCAAATATTTCCCTTTCCTCAAGCATTTTCCCGTGAAATTGTTATGTGAAAATGCTGTGAACACAATTTCTAAGAAGCCTAAACTGATGTGAGAGATCGAAGAGATCGGAAATGCGGGTATAAATTACATACACGATTAGCTAATGTGTGATACTTTAATAAATGTTTAATTAATTGGATGACCAACACTAAAAGTGAATTTAATAGACATTCAATTACAAAATATCTTTCATGGAATCTTTGGCACGAGATTTCACCTGTTACAAAAACATGAACGGAAAAGTTGAAAGACAGCATATTGGAATTATTTTTAGCACTCTTGCTCATAAACTTGCGCTATTACGTCGTAGAAGTCACGGGAGATCTTAAAAATGTAGAAGAGGAGTCAAAACCAGAAGAGAAAGAAGACAGTCATTATGCTGAACACGAGGATCAGCTGGCCATTGACGCGTGGCGCGCTGTCCCAGCCGCACTCCAGGTCGGACTTCAGGACCTCCATGAGGCTCTGCGAGCCCTTGTTGGAGCACTCCGCCTCCCTGATGCCATTCTCATTCGCGCACACTTCAGCGGCGCTTGTCTTTCCGTCCAGACGATGAGCCGTGGAAGCTGCGTCGAAGACGTCGCTTGACCAGGAGAGAGCGTTGCACATGTACTGTCGCTTCTTCCTGGACCAGTACTCAATCCAGCCAATGCCACAATCGCAGCTCAGCTGTTGATTGCCCAGCTTCAGATCCAGCAGGAACACCTGATCAGGCAAGTGAGGAGCTCTTCCCGTGTTAGGATTGGGCAGCTTTATCAGATTGTCGTTGTTCTCCGTGAAGTCCATCGTGAGATTGCGAATGCTTCCGTGGCTCTTGAAGAAGTTGTTGGGCAGGGAAGTGATGGAGGTGTTCTGGAGGATAAAATGCAGGACCGGCGATTGAATGCCATTCAGGATACTATTAGCCACTTGTTTGAATCCTGTGCCACGGAGAACGATTGTCCTCAGTCTGGGATGCATTATTCCGTCCATTTCCAGCTTGAGATCGGTTTTGGGATTCGTCTTGGGTCGCATGAATCCCACATCTCCAGCGTAGGCGGCAGGAATTGGCTTTGGAGCCTCAATCTCTAATTGCCTCAGAGTTTCAACTTCCTCAATAGCAACAGGAATATTGAAGTTAATCACATCAGGATAAGGAGAAATTATTAGTGTCTTCAACGATGACAATTTGCTCAAAGCACCCAACTGAAAGACAAAACCATTAAAGCATCTCTCCTTTGATTAGGAAATTTAGTACAATTTCTCACCTCGAAGGAGTTCAAGAAGAGATGAGCGATGTTGAGAACTTCCAGAGTTTCTGCAGCTCCGATGAGACTCGTGTTGGTGAGTGTTGAAATAGGATTTCCGGCCAGATTCAGAGACTTCAGTTGAGGCAGAGAGTGAGTGATCAGTGGCACAGCAGATAGATCGTTATAAGACAAGTCCAGATGTCTAAGGAAGGAAATGTTGTAGGCCAATTCCGGTGGAATTGAAGGCAACTCATTGTGAGCTATGCTCAAGCGCCTAAGGAAGGTGAAAGGAAGGTCAGGAAATGCCATCATGGAGACATTCTCAATCCTTAAATCCATCAAACTATTTTCCAGGCCGACAAACACTCTTCCTGTGATGTCAAGACCTTCGTTATTGGACAAAATGAGTGTGTTGAGTCGAGGAAGAGCGGCAAATGCGCCATCGTCCAGTCTGAATATGTGATTATTCGAGAGATCCAAGTAAGAAAGGCTCTGCAAAGTCAATTCAGGATTATTGAAGACATCATACTCTAGTTTCTCTCATTTCTTACCCTAAACTTCGTGGATAAGTCAACATTGTGAATAGTTCCTATTTGATTGTAGGACAAATCAAGGAAGGAAAGAGTTATGGCTGCAACATTGCTCATTGCATTCACGGGTATTTTAATGAGCCAATTGTGTGACAAATCCAATTTCTCCAGACCGTCATCAAAGAAGAGATTCTCAGGGAGAGATCGAATGTAATTGTGAGCTAAATTCACCACTCTCAGCTCTGTAATGTACTTGAAGAACTCCGTTGGCAAATCTGCCACTCTGTTGTGAGACATATCAATGTACTGAAGTTTTCTGGTGTTTCTGAACGTGTCGTAATCCAAATCAATGATTTGATTGTATGATAAATCGAGGAAATGAAGGTGCTGAAGATTCCCAAACACGCTCCTCGTCGTATTCTGAAAAAATAATTAAAAATGATTAAATCAAGAGAAGAAGAAAATTTCACCAATTTACCATCATGTTGTTTTTGCTCATGTAAAGATGCGTGAGACTAATTTCGACTGGTCGGAAGTATCCTCCATTGATATCTGTGATGTTGTTGCTAGATAAGTCCAGAATCTTTATGTTTGAGTGGAATAGAGAACCTAAAAGCGAGATTCATTAGCGATTAGCAAGACATCGTCTGTCCTTCATCTCACCATATTCCCTTCCCGGATTCATGTAAAACGTCCTGTTGTCGAAGAGATACTGAATCTTATTGTGACTCACATTCACCGTGAGTGTCGAGAGTGTTCCCACTTGGTCGCAGAACTCAAAATCGAAGGCATTTAGGTGATTGTAGGACAAATCAATCAGTTCGGTTTCTGGGAGATTCTGCAATGTGACGACAATCGTTAAATTTGAATTTTATAGCACGCCTTAGACGAGTTTTTTCACGTGTGTGGGACAGTAAATGTGACAGCGAGAACAGCAAAACAACACGCGTTCCTGTTTTTCCTGCAATTTACCGTGAAAATAGTAGTAATTCGTGAAAAATGAGTAGTGATTCGGAGGCATTTAGTGATTCTGACGATGAGGTGAAGAAATTCTCCAGAAACCACTGTTATTTCAGTGTGATAATGCGGAATTTTGGATTTGCAGGTTAGAGACGCCTTTGCGAAGGGCCTCATCAAGCCGGGCTTGAATTTCGAGGTGCCCCAGAAGAAGCCCCTGGCCAATAATGTGGTGAGTAGAGAGATGATGTTGTCGAGAACAGGAAATTGCAGTAATTGTGTCCTTTCAGACTCGTCTCAATTCCAAATGCTCAGAGATTCGACTCAACATGGACTGGATTGAGCGACTTGATTTGGTGAATGAACCCGCCCCGCTGGCCCCGGAAATGACTTTGCAGCTGGAGAAGGAGGAACAGAAGCGAGCCAACATGTTTGCAGGGAATGCCAAGCTGAAGTACCACGAGCCCAGCAAGGATCCCGTGCTGAATGACTTCAAGCGAGAAATGCTGTTCCATCGACAAGCTCAGGCCGCCGCTGTTGAGGGCATCCGGAAGCTGCACGCTCTCGGCGTGGCCACCAAGAGGCCTGACGACTACTTCGCCGAGATGGCAAAGACCGACGCACACATGCAGAAGGTGCGACAGCATCTCCTGGCCAAGCAGGAGGGCCAGGCGAAGTCGGAGAAGGTGCGTCAGATCCGCGAACAGAGAAAGATGGGAAAGAAGATGCAGCAGCAGGCGCGCCTGCGGAAGGAGAAGGACAAGAAGGAGACACTGGACAAACTGAAGAAGTTCCGGAAGGGGAAGCTGCAGAATCTTGACTTCCTGGAGGATGCAAAGGGACAGACGAAGCGCCAAGCGAAGGACAAGAAGTTCGGCTTTGGCGGAAAGAAGAGGGGAAAGAAGCAGAACGACAGGAAGTCTTCCATGGGCGTGAGTGCGAAGTTCAGGGGCGGCAAGGGTGGGAAGGGCGTGAAGGGAGGAAAAGTGACCAAGCGTCCAGGGAAGAGTCAGCGCAACAAGGGAAAGACCAGGAGGAAATAGAGACTGTGCTCAGAAATGCAAAATATACATATTTTCTTACACGGAGAATCTGAAATGCGACAGTGTTTAACTGCAAATTGATGACTCATGAAGAGATTATGTTTTTCCTTGGCCTTCACAGCGAACGTAGTAAACAGAGAAGATAGGAAAAGTGCTGCAATTGCGTGATTTTCTGAATACGCTTGCTTTTTACAATGATTTACTCTTTATTCTGGCAATTTTGTAACATTTATGTTGCTCTTGTTCATCATACGATTACGCTACGAGATAGTGTCCGGCGCTGGCCGGAAGGAAATAGAGAGAAGAGAGAGTATTGGCTGCACAGGTGCTCGTTAGGCGTGATGGTGCTGCCGCATGTGGTTCTCAAACTCCGACGTGGTGGTGAATTGCTTCCAGCACAGATGGCAGCAAGTGCGCAGGAGCTGCGGGCAGGTCCTCTTGTGGCGATAGAGCTCCGTCTTGTTGGGGAACTTGCCGCCGCACGGGATGCAGTTGTACATCCGTCCCATGGCGTCGCCCAGGGACGACGGCGCCTCCGAGAATCGCTTCATGGGCCCTGGGCCGGCGAATCGCGGCGGCGGCAGCATGTGCGGCATCGCCGGACGATGATTCATGGGGTGCGGCGGCATCATGTGCGACGAAGAGGACATGCCGTTGAATCTTTGGTGGCTGGCGAACTCCAGACGCTTGATCTCCATCTGCAACGCCTGATTGATCTGCAGTCGCGGCCTGGGCGTCGGCACGGCACTCGTGGAGGGGCTCATCAGTATCAGCTCGCCCTTCTTCTTGTGTATCTTCATGTGGGAGTTGCGCGACTGGAAATTGGGGAAGGTGCAGTAGCACACGTTGCACATCTTCGTCTCGTCAATCTCCAGGCCAGACACCGCAAAGATGGTGTCATTGAAGCGCACTCCGTGCACCAGGAGGTAGTGCTTGTGCAGCTCCGGTCGGCTGCGGTGGAATGAGGCACGACAGACGCGACAGAAGAACTCGCACTCGCCCTTCGTCCAGTGATCCTTCAGCGTCTCCTTGGACATGAAATAGCTCAGGCAGTTGCAGCAGCGAAAGTTGGGAAATCTGTAGCTGTAGCGTCGGAATTTGGTGTGCAGAATCTCCGGCGTGTCCAACTTCTTGAGGCGCAGCACAAAGTGGCGCAGCTGGTGCTTCGACAGCACGGCCGCATTGGGAAAAGTCTTCCGACAGAATTTACACGTTGTCGGCGTGTTTAGAGAGCTGTTCACGCCCTGGCGAAGCTCTCGCGGCTCCTCCTTCACTTTCAGATGAATGCTGAGCTCAGAGTTGAACTGAATAACCTGTGTGGGATCCGTCTTGAGTTGCTTCCTGATGTCCATCAGGGGATTTGCAATACTGTTTCTTGTCGTGCTCTTGGCCGCCACTTGGCGCTTCTTGTATACTGGCTCCTCCTTAAACGGCGACTTCTCCCTGCTCTTCGCCTTCCTCTTGTACTCATCCAGCATGATTTGCTCGTAAAACAGCGCATCGTCAATCATCTCCTCAGAATAGTTGATGCGCGACTTGGCCCGCGTCTGCGGCCGCTCAGACGAACTTGAGGAGCGACTGGAGAGCTTCCGCTTCTTCACGCCATTCTCCAGCGGAGGCAGCTCGCTGAAGCTCTCCTGCTCTGAGTATCCCTCGACAATGTTCACGTTACACTCCATCGCCGTTGAATCGAAGAATTGCTCCTCCTCGCCGTGAAACTCATCTAAGCTCATACTGCTGTCGGAATCCGCGATCTCCGACTCACTCCACGTCGCCGCGCTGTCCACACTCAAGTAGGTGTGCAAGAGATTCTTCCCCTCGCGATTGATGTACTCAATGCAGGTCTTGAACAGTGATGGCACCTCTCCGGACTGCCTGGGCGTCCGCTTCTCAGGCACCCGCGGTCGCTTGCTCAGCACAAGTCGATGGCGATCGAAGACGGCGGACGGCATCTTCTCCCGCAGGCTGTCTTCCAGCGTCGCCGCGAAGGTCTGCAAAGGGACAAATCAGCATCTGTGGCCACCAGTCAATGATATAGAGGGAATTCCAGTACCTCAACATCGCTGCAGATCTGCAGGTATGTCTGTTCCTTGTTGACTTTCTGCAAAGCGTCGAGGCACTTGCCCAGATACTGCTTAAAGCGCTCTGAGATTCCATAGAAACTGGTCACGTGCTCCCGGCACCCCGTGCAGATCCACTTGGACAGCGGATCCTCGGGGTATATCTACAAGAAAGAGCAAGGAGCTCATCAAAGGCGCCGCGATAGTGGCCTCAGTGTAAACATACCACGATTGGGAGGACACTCCGCAGAATGGTCAACAACTCGGTGTTGGTTTCGATGCCGTAGAGAAAATGCCTGCCCTTGGACTCTGTATTCTCCCGACCGCACAATCGACACGACTCCAGCACCGAAAACGTCGGCTTTCCACTCATTTTTCACCCAAATTTTCTCACTTCCTTTCCGGCATCAAAGCGGAGAATTCGCATTTTTTCGACGACCCTGCGATTTGTCCATCTGACAGCTGACACTTTTGCCTCTTCGACGACTTTTTGCGCGCGCGCCGAATATTCAAAACTCCCGCGATTTCGGACCCGAGTAAATGTTTGAAAACTGCGAGCGTTTATAGTACTAAAAATTACTAACAATAAAATAAGAGAACACAAAACATTGTGCAAATTAGGGGGAACTTTTCAAGAATTTGGTGCGAATTAAATTCAACATACCTGGAATGCTTCGTCGGAAATGCTGGTGAGCTTGTTGCCTCTCAAATTCAGGACACGCAATTGATGCAGATTCATGAATGCTCGTCTCTCTATTTTCTCAATGAGATTGTCAGACAGAACGATGCTTCTGACGCGCTGAAAAACATTTATTCATTGTTAGGCAAGAGTGTCATCAAAAGGCAAGACGAAGTGATTCACCTCAAGATCAACAAAGGAGTGTTGAGGGATGTACTTAACACTGTTGTATCCCATTAGAATGCTCTCCAGATGTGAATGAATGTCGCCCTGGAAAGTGAGTCCAAATTAGCAGTAATTGCTTTGCGAATTGCAAAGATTCAGGACAAACACACACACCTGAAAAGTTCCCTTCACAATTTGCTCAATCTGATTATCTTGCACATTGAGATGGAGCAATTTGCGAAGGAAGTGAAATGTCGTGTCGCTGATGGACTTCAACTGATTATTGCTAATGTCCAGCTCTCTCAGTGATGTTAAATACTTGAGAACATCTCTCGGCAGCGATGTGAAAGACGCCGAGAAAGTGTGTGACAACTTCAGCGATTGCAGAGCGTGTCCAATCTGCAATCAACATCCAATTAGTGGGTGGATTAGGCGGTAAAATAGAGGTGCGAAATACCTCGAGAAATGCATCGACGTCGAGAGTCGAAATGGCATTATCGCTCAAGTCTAATCTCTTAATTCCACGAACGTACTTAAATGTGTGCGATTTGAGGCTCTTGAGGTTCGCACCGGAAATCTTCAGGTTCTCCAGCTCGGGACTGAAGTCGAGAAAGTCCTCGGGTCCCAAATCCCTCTTTGCCAGCTTCGACACAGCCAGAGATCGAATATTTCTCATTCTGCATGCAAAGCGCAGCGAATGCGAAGGAAGAAAGGAAAAAATCAATAAAGAGCTTCATTGTTCGTTCACCTTAAATCTTTCTCTCTTCACTGACCTCTTCAAGTCTTGAAAGCTCGTTACGGCATTCGTGTCGCCGCTCAAATCTAATTTGAGCAGCGTGGATTGGAAGCCATTGAACATTTCAATAGGAATTATGCTCTTTATGCGATTCTCCCTCAGACCGAGAGACCTATAAAATGGGGGGTGAAAGTCTTTTACACACGAGCATGCAAATTGTCTCAGATGGATTTTGCTCACTTTAGCGAGAAGAGTTGCTGAAACAATATTTCTGGCATTGAGGATAAATTGTTGCCGGACATGTCGAGAATTTGCAGAGAATTTTCCAATCCGCCAAAAGCACTCGGAGATATGAAATCCAAATTGCATTGTCTCAGATACAATTCTCTGATCTTTGCCTGTCTGAATGCATCGTCCTGTGTGAGGAGAGATTGAAGAAGGATGCAAGAGAAAATAGAATCATATTGCAGAGACTCAATTCACTCTGGTAACTCACATTAATAAATTGCAGTGGATTCCCATCCAGAAAAGTCTGATTGACCACGTCGAAGAACTGAAAGGATCCCGTCTGGAGGATTTCCAAATTGTTGTACTCCAAATGCAGGACATCCAGAGAGAGTCTAATGCCGGGATTATATTCATTGTCAGCCAAATTCATCGTGGAGATTCTGTTATGGGACAAATCCAATTGCTTAAGAGATCTCAGCGTTGAGACTTGGCCGTAAGGAATGCGCGTAAGGAGATTGTTGGACAGCAGCACACGCGTGAGCTTGTCCATGCCGTCGCGAAAGACACTGCCGTCAATGTCCCTGAGATTATTGCCGCTGAGATCGAGCGTCTGCAGGAAGTGGAGGCCCGCGAAGGTGTCCATTGGCAGGTGTGAGAGTGAGTTGTCGCAGAGGATTAGCTGCTCCAGGGAGTCCTCGAGGCCTCTCCACGACTCGTGATCCACGTAGGAAATTTGATTCATGCTCAAATCGAGTGTTCTCAACTTCTGGAGGTGTCGAATGGCTCTCGTCGGAACTTCTGCCAATTGATTGTCAGTCAAGTGGAGCTCCCACAGAGATCTCTCCAAGCCAATGAAGGCATCATCGGGAATTTCCGAGATGGGATTTGACGATATTGACAGCTCGTAGAGACCTTAAAGTGCAAGAAAAGGCGCTCAAGCAGATCCACCAGACATAATCTGTGTGGACAACCAACCAGTGGCCTGAAAGAAGTAGGGCTCGATGTGATGCAACTCGTTGTTCTCCATGTGCAGCATGAAGACCTTTGAGGTGTTCACCATTCGCGGAATGGCAGGAAAAGGAACATTGCGGCACTGAACAATCCCAAGATCGGGCACTCCTTTCGAGCACGTGCACAGCGGATTGAGCGCGCACGGCGGATAAACAACATCCAAGTCCTTCCCAAAGACACAGCAGACACTCCACAAAATCACAAACAGTGCCTTCAATTCCACAGGCATTTTCCCTAACTTTTGCTGCCTTTTGTGATGTCTCGATCTACAAAACTATCATCTCTCAATTCCAATTACATCACTTGTGTGTGTCTTATATTGAATTTATGCTAATCAGCCAAGTGAGTAATCTTCAATGGAGTTCAATGAAGAAAAGTTTCCACACAAAAACACTCACTCTCTTTAAGAAGTTCACGAAATTTTCACTTTTCACCTAAGTTGTGAAGACGAACACTTTCTCCGTCCAACTTTCAAGTGTGATTATTCCACCCCTTTAGAGAGCACTGATTGCACTAACAACACAATCCTAAGCACACCATTTTCACACTTCTTTCCTCAAGAACTAGAGAGAATCTTCCGACTGGCGCAGCGCTCGCGACACTAATAGTGGCAAACAGCACCGAAAGTTACAATTTAACCGCTTCACCACGTTAATTAAATTACAGATATTGTATTTCATGGTGAGCAAAAAAGAAATAAGAACGCTCAAGTGTGCTCGTTTTCTTTTCGACCAAACACCCATTTCCCATTTTTCTATCCGATCCCAACATTGTCCACACAGTGGCTCATGACCTCAAACATTTGCCATCACTTCCCCTTTTTCTCTGTCTGCATTAATTACGTGGGCAGCGGCCAATAATTTCCAGCATAATTCAACACACATCGCTCCACTCAATAACACGCTGATGTAAATTAATTTGTGCATTTAGCAATTATTAGCCATATCGATTTTGCATACAATTACATTTATGGTCAAATCCTGCTCGAGAGGCATTTATATTCTCATTTATTTCACACCATTGCGGTTCAGCGTCCTGATTTTCAAGTAGCGATGCACCAAATACAAATCCTTATCAATGTCATCTGTGGAAGAGAAGGAATAAATGATTCAAAAACCGCTGCATTCGAGCGCATAAATATAACACGTTGATTAACTGGTGGAAAAGCTCCTCCTCACAAGAGAGAAGACATGATAAATGAACTGATAAAACCACTCTTTCCCCCCCGATACACTATCCATTATGCGAGACATAATATTGCATTAAATATTCTTTGAAACTTTTCTCATGCATTTTTCATCAGTCAATCTAATCAAATAGACGGCGAGGAAAATTGCTATTGGAAAACTCTGCACACACTTGTGCCCTTGCAATATCATCATTTCCCTATCCTGTGCATCCTCGCAACTGCACAATGTGTTTCTGAATGACTTAATTCCTAACACACACACATTTATATATACTCACCATCAACTTCTGATAAATTTTCTGCATTCATTGGGAAAGTTTCAGGCGGAATAATTGCTTCTGAAGTGTAATAAAAAGTATTTTCCACTTGTCTGAACTTATTCATGGAACGCATAACAATGCGCAGAGAATTTGGCCTTTGCCTGCAAGAAGAGTTTCAACAAATTCAAATTAGTTTTGAGTACAATTATTGCAATTTAAATCTCAGTTCTTACAATTTCGTGAGGCCCACAACTTGGTCGTTCGGCACGGAAATGTTAAGTGTGTAGTGCTCAGCTGAGTTGAGGTCCTTCATGGCCACGAGTGGTGCATCCAAGAGACTCCTTGTGATCAATTGATTCACTGCAACAAGAGACGTGTGATTAAGTGAGTGGCGGATTGTATGACAGAAATTCATTGCTGCATTGTCTTACGGTTGGTCAATTTCAGGCCCTCCGCTATTAGCAAGTGCTCGAGAACGAAGTGAACCTGTGCCAACTTCGCCAATCGATACTCCACTTCGCCACGATTGAAGTGACTATTGCGAAATCCCACCATATTATCGTCGATGGCATCTTGGCCGGTGGGATTCTTGAGCAGGGACTTTGCCGACGTGGCTCGAGATGACTTGGCCTGATTGCCGCCACCCAATAGAGACTTCCGCGACGTCAATCTCTTGGAATACGGCTGATTCTCCTCCAGAGTCGCCCTGCCGAAGGGATAAAAGTGCTCGTAACATTTGATGGGCATATCAATATCTCAAGAGTACATACTCGCCCTGGAATTGAAGCTGTAATTCTTCCGGGAAGCACACTTTGCTGTTCGAGAACACGTACTCATAGTCCTTTCTCGCCTTCTCGAGACCAATTTCCAGCAGCAACTCAAGTGGCTCACTTCCCACGAGACAAGGAATACTCACCTCCTTGTGAGCCAGAGAATCAATCAGCATCGCCAAGTGATTGCCACTGGTTTCCACATTCTGCCAGAATTATTGAGAACATCTCTCAAGTTTCCCCCAATTAATTCTGTAGTTTTTTGCACAATTTCCTTACCAGAATCTTATTCTCGCAGGCAGAGTGAAAGATGAAGTTGAAAGCCATTTTGAGGTCTCGATACGAGGCTGACATCTTAAGGATATCCCACAGTTTATCAGTGATGCTCAGGCAGTCGCGCTCATGAGTGTTTCCCAGCACGGAAGACACTGTGTTCTGTGACGCAGTGGTCTTGAGATTTGTCATGTTCAGTGGAAGTTCAGTGAGAGTCACTCTTATCTCGTCCCTGAGCGATTCAATGGTTGCGATGTTGCTACAGAGGAAGAATACGAATTAGTTTTTGTAATTGGCAGCAGAATAGCCGGAAGCCTAATACCTTCCGCAGTCGTACACTGGATCGATCCGCTTATCATCGTGCATCTTGTACTTTGCAATCTCCTTGGCAATCATGTCGAGAATTATCAATTGGCGCCAGTATTGTTCCGCTAGAAAATCCTTCGAATCAACAGGTAGCTCTTGTCGCAGAGTGCACACGGAATTGGTGGTATTCATTAGGGTGGTTTGGTTTGTGTTGATACAGTTGAACTCCAGCATAATGTTGCTCGCCAGTTTGTAGTGCGAACTTATGTCCATCTCCACCTTCTCAATGCCGCCGACAAAGGACAAATGAACAGTCCTGAGCGCTGCCAAGTTCACATCCTCCAGCAGAAGCTGGCCATCAGACCAGATCTTCCCACGAGAGTTCCAGCCATGAAGGAACTCCTTCTGCAGGATCAGAGCATTCTTCGAGTCCCTCTGCGAGAGAGCCCAGATGGAAATTCCACTTTCCGATGCAATATTGTAGTTGAGGCTGTTGAAAATCTTTATGATAGCCTCCAGATCGACTCCCTGGTATTCCTCCTCTGCAGATTCCCAGCTCTTTTCCCTCTTATTATCTCTCAAATTGGCCGAAATGTCTAGAGCCTCAATGGGACATTCATCCTTCAACGGTGATCCCGTGAGATCCAGAGATACTTCTTCGCGATTCCTCACGGGACTCATAGAATCCGACTTCCTCCTCGACACCTGAAATCATCCACAAAATAAGGGCAAATCATGAGAAAACACCTCAAAATCCTTACAAAAAAAAACAACTTACTCTCTTGAAGAGAAGCGGAATAATGGAATCCTTCGTGGCTGTTATTTTCTTGATATACGATGGCACTTTGATCACAGAGCAATCACCGAAGGAATGAGTTTCACGAATATAATCGATTATTGTGGAATATTTCTCCATTTCTTGCGCTTTTTAATGATAAACGGAAGCGGAATGAATTTTCAAAAGATAAACAAACGCCGGCGCACTGTCAACTGACGTCTTCCGAATTCCATGAGTGCCAACATCAGGATATTCTATTCTCCTATGTTGCGCGTGAGTGGGAGCGGGACAAATATATGCCATCATGACGTCTTCTCTTTTCCCCGAGAATTTCTTTTAAAATAATCGTTGACCAGGTGATTTTAGTACAAGATCAGGATGAAAAGTTAATTAAATCAATTTGTTCACATTGAAGTTATAATTACAGGTAATTTCGTATGAACTTCAGTTAATGGAATGAGTTCTGCAGGAAAATTATGCGGATATTTCTATGAAGCATTTTCCTTTCAGCAGCACTAAATCTTGAGGCGCAGACTGATAAATTCTGGGGACAATATTTTATCTTGGGGCAGATTAGTGAGAACCCTAGTCAGTGGACTGCATATTAATGAGTGTGTGGGTAAATCACGACGCATAATTTTCTGGTGAATTTGAGATGAGAAATACAGGCTAATATGAATATTTTGGGCGAAAAGTGTACATTTTCACTAAGTATGATTGTAGAATTTTCACTGAATGATTTATAAGGCACATGAACATGAATGAATGTAAATCAGATGGGTGCTGAAGCTTCGCCATCAGACGGAGTGTGTGTGTGCCAGTGATTTATTTCCGCGTTGCGATGTTTAAGGGAATGTGTCTAAGCACATCTTGGATTCATCCGAGTGTAACTAATCCATTAAGGCAGCGGAGGCAGCTGAGAATTCTATGAGGATTTCTACTTGTTGCCAATGTTACTCCTTGTCTGGTATAATCTAATTCAAGAATTGCCACACAAAAGTCGACTTGCTGGGAAGATTGTGTCTAAGAAAGTGGCAAAAGACGAAGCTTTGCTCTCATCCTCCCTAATCAATTTTCCTTGCTTCTCTGTGTGTGTCTAAATTCTCAGGGATTAGCCATCTACGCCATTTTCACTTTAATGAAACAACTCTGTCAGCATCAGACAAAAGTCCTTTTCCTCACTACACTTATGGCCCCTTTAACACAAGTCTCTCCTATCCTTCTGACACCTAATGAACTTTTTCACGTACATAACATGAATTTAAATTTCCCCTAATTCCCTTGTCGTTTGTCTCTCATTATTGTCTGTTGGGGTTCATGTAACACATGGAATTAAATTGTGGAGCATTCAAGAAAGCTTAAGATGATGATTCAGTAACTGAACTCCACAGTTTTGCATGAGTAAAAGTCTTTAATTTCCTCCTGACTTTCCATCATACCTACAATAACATTTGGATGTTTCTCGACGATCCCAAAGCCTTCTTTCATTGTCTCAGCCCCGCGGAAAGATGTTCCCAGTGAGAATAAAAGGAAGTCAGAATCACGAGGAAACTTTTAGAGGGTTAGCAATTTGTCATAAAATTTATGTTTTTCATGCCCTTTGCGGGCGAAAAGCAACATTGAGAATTGAGATAGGAAATTACTAAGCTGTGATGAAGAGATAAGGCAAAATATTGCACAAATTTACGAAACTCCGATACGATGGGTGGTGAAAAGTGGCGGTGCTTCAATGCAAATGGTTGGCCATTTGGAGGAAGTCATATTACGGGCAACATACTGCCGTATCGCAGTCAAAATGCAATATATTCAATGATATGTTATCACGGCACAAATGGCAGAGGATGAGAGGATGAATAAATCACGAGAAATGAGGACATTTTAGCGCGCCAGACGGGATGATTTCTCATTGATATTCCTCATCATATTTCCAAGAATATTTTTCCCCATTTGCTATGCGAGGCCCGTGGCGAGTCATAGGCCCAGAATTTATCATTTTCCGTGGCACTGGGAGTGAAACATACCATGACACACCTTATCGCATGGGGACTGTTCAATAATAACGGAATAGATTCACGATGAGTGCGAGCGAGGAGTGAGAAAAGAGCGCGAGAGTGTTTATCGAGCTTTAGATATGTTATCAACTATTTGGGTTACAGATAAGGCACTCTTCGTGCTCCAAGACAGGTGAAAATCTATGGCAAAATTCCTCAGTTTCAGACAACGCCCTGACCAGGTCAGGTGGAAATGCAGTGATTCTCCCTGTTGAGAGTGCGGACTCAAGTGTAAAAAGGATAATTATTAGATTGGTGGTGTAATTAATAGACTCTGCAGGAGATGAGGCTGAAAACGCTCTTTGTGACGCTCTTCTGCCTCGCCCTGTTGTCCTCATACAGTGTCTCCGGACAGAGTGAACATGAGGATGACGTAGAAGAGGTTGAGACCATTGATAGGGATGTCCTGGAGATTCCCGAGGAGCCACAGGCGAATGTGTCGCAGTATGACGATGCTGACGATCAGCCTGAGGACGAGGTGGACGAGAAGGACGACAGTGACTATGACACAGCATCGGATCAGCCAACGCCCGAGCGCGAGGAGGACGAGCCCGAGGATGACTTTGAGGATCCCGTGGCCGTGGACACCACAGTCAATGAGGATACAGTGAATGTGGACAAAATCAGCCCCGTGAGCAGAAAGTCCGGAAATTACTACCTCTACGACGAATACCTGTCCAGCAACCTGGACATGGATGACACAAATTACAATTGGGGTATGTCGAGAGATAAGTTCATGTTCACACTCCACTGAATATCCCCTTTTTCCCACCGTGTGTAACGAAATTTCCTATAATTTCCATCATTAATCATACACCATCTCTTTTTACTGCGCAAGTGTCAATTTCGCAACAGAGCACGATAAGATAAGCGTTACTTTCTGTAGTGAGCACACAGAGTTTCTCGCTGTAATGCTGGCTTTTTTTTCCTCTCTCTACCCATATAGCCATCCGCCATATGAAATATTTATTTTTTAACACAATTCACATTCTCGCGTGGAACAGAGATTGCTCTCGGGTCCCTGGAAAATTGGGTGAAAATTGCCTTAATCTTTCACGCGCGTCTTTCCCGAGATGTGACGTCTTACAGGCGGAAAAATGATGATTAATTTCCCTTTCTAATGAATTTTATTTCGATTTTTCCGGATGATGCCATATCTATATATGGCATGAGGTGTATTATTTGCGAAACACCAGCGCTTATCGCAACTTGCGATAGCATATCAATAAATTTCAACTTTTCCTCGAAATTACATTTATCACCGCGCGATTACTAATTTTCCCGCTTCACTTGAAGGGTTACCTTCAAGTGCGCAACGGTGAGATAGTCGACATTCGGAACACACATTTCATGTATATTCTTTTCAATTTGAGCAACATTAAAGCGCACAGCCAGATAATTTTCCATTTGCTATGCAATTCAAATTTACATTTAGCAACCTGTTCAGAAATGGCCCAGAGGATTAAAAGCATGAACGTGAATAAAATCCCTGGGAAATAAGGGGAATATATAATGTTGCTTCCTCATTATGATTTACAATTAAAAAATGTTGCATGGAGAAAAAAAGATGGAATGAATTATATATTTCATGGGAAAGCGCAAAACATGAAAATACTCTAACCAGTTCGTAAAGATTGCTTGCAGAGATTCTTTTGGGATGTTATTTGCTTTCGAGAGTAAATTTGTTCTTGGTTGGAAAAACATATGGATAGCACATTATCCAACCCGCAGACTCTGGAGGCAAAGATTGCCCTTTCTTTTCAAACATCAAAGCTAATTACGTGGAGTTCTAATTCTTCTACCGAGTTGCATGTTAAATTAATTTGCCTCCTTAAACCGTAATTCAATTCTATTTGTTGAATTTCCCGTCAGAAAACTTAAAATTAATGACATTAAATTAATTCACGGCGCTGTCTCTGCATGAAATTCTTCTCTGTCACGATAAGATAATTGATTTATTAATATTTTTTCTATTTATCATTAATTTTCCAACGCGGCATTTATTCAATTTCCTATCACCAATGCACGCTAAGAACTTCCACAGCGTAATTGAATGGTGAGAAGTTTCTAATTGCCATCGATTTCCCAATGTCTCGCCCATAAATTCAATGTGGGAGAAAAATATATCTTCTTCCGAGATACAAAATCTTATTAAGGTTAGGACCTTTGGTGGGGTTGTGTACATATTTATATGCAATAAATGAGTATATAGGAGAATGATTGATGTGTTCTGGGATGTCGATGAGATTTCACTGTTCAATCGAGGCCATCAGGAAGGCAAAAGTTGCCACTCTGCTGAGATTTTCATGAATAAGTGATAGTGTGAATAAAGTGATATTGAGCTGAGATTTCCAACCGCATATTCGCCCGCACTTGGTGCCCGGATTATTATTGATGGGACAAGATAGGATGTGTTCTCTCGAGGGAAAAGTTCGGGGTGGTGCTCCACCCTTAATGTTGAACTACATCATACGTCGCTGTTCTCTCACTCTCTCCCTCTCATTCTTATCTCCACCAGCGGATCCCAACAATCGCGTGGCTCCGAGTGAGCCCAAGACTCACAGGAACGACGGGCGAGGTTATGCGATATCCCCGGCTCGACTAGCTGAAATTCGGCGACACTTCATGTACTGGTTCTTCGATCAGGGCGGCGACAACAACCGCGGCGACTACCAGACAGACATCCACGCTTCCATGCCGCAGTTGCACAAAAATTTCAACTTTCAGCTCCCATTCTTCGGCTTCAGGTTCAATTACACTAGGGTATGTGATGTGGAGCAACAAGTGCCGATGGCCAGTCATAAATTACATCCTTTCTTCCATAGGTCTCCATGCATGGTCATCTGGAGTTCTCCGATCCGCCGGAGCACTTCACCTACCCTCTCACGTTCCCCATCAAGGACTGGCCACGACGCAACGATCCCTCATTCATTGGGATCTTCTTCTCCAAGTGTCGCATCGGCAGAATGAGGCCCACAGACTTTGACCAGCGCGTTCCCGGTGTTTACTTCAGGTAAGAATTTATGGGAAAATTATACCACTGCGAGTATGTTTCATCCCCTCCCGATAACATCTGCCAAACACTCCCCCCAATCAGATTATGCATTAGTACATTCGTAATTCATTGAATGCAGCTTTCATTAATCAACAAACTGACTATCAATTATTAATATATGTCCTAATCACTTTAATAGATTATGCGCAATTGATATTGCTGATAAATTTTCCATCATTTCCTGGAAATTTAATAAAACTATATACAACTGTCGAATGAAGAGCTTTTCAGGCCACTAATCAAAGTTGTAAATCCAAATTTCCAACATCCTGTTATGCAAATCGAGCAGGAAAGAAGGCATAAAAGCGTGTTTTTGCACTTTTCAGTGATTCCAAAGCCAATTCACGAGCTTAATAAACCTCATTATTCACTTTGTGATCTCTCCTCTTTCATCGGGTGGAGCTTTTTACTTAATATTTCACAAAGTCATACATAAGTAATACACTGACAAATCTCGTGTGTTCGCACAAATATGGGTCACCAAATATCAATATATCATCATTGAGCAGAGTCTTGCTGATGATTCTGGCTGGCGGGGTGGGAGAGAGATAGAATAACTCGAGGGGCGAAATGAGTCGATGAAATATAAATTGTTTACCAAACTATTGCCGTGAATGGAGGACGAGTTATTTACTAAGTGACCTTTATCTGTCGGCAAACTTTAATATCTAATAGACGATTATTGCCCTTTTTGCTATTGAAATGACTCAGAGTTCACTATATTCACCAGGATGTCTGTCCCTTTAATCGCATGGGAGCCTGAATGGCAAGATAAATAGTAATAAGAAATGAGAAAAGTGAGGCATTATTAAAAAGAGGGTGGAAGAAAGTGTCGTTCTCGTGATGTTAGTCGCCAGAGCGGCAAGAAGTCTGTCATGTTGATTCCTTTCAAAATTGACTCAGGCTCCCCGAGAACACAAAGGATGTTGGAGAACGGCACAATGGACTACATTAAAAGCTCTCATAAATTTCATCATGTGTGTATTCATAAGATATTCTCGTTGAAAAGGACTAATTCAACGCATTTTAGCTTTCTTTCACATTTCCTCTCTTCTTTTCCCGCCTGTTTTGTGATTCATGGCGCAAAATGTTGAATTCATAGTTCTCTGATTTTCCCCAAGAGCTCCATTAGAAGGAGAAGGACCAAAGGGAGAGGAGGAGAGGGTGGAAATGGGGTCCTCTTGCAGGTGTACCTGAGGGACACTCTATTCAAATTCCGAGCAGAATTTAAATATCAAAAATTGTTATTAGTTTCTCGTGTTGGCATTTCGCTTCTCTTTATCCATTCTGTGCTTTCTGGGGCTATAAACTTGACCATTTTGGATGTTTTATTCAGGGGTTGATTTTGGGGCCTCTCTCGCCATTCTCCCGTCTTTTAGCACCGCTTCTCCGTGTCTCTTTTTATTCTTCCTCCTCGTAATCCAACCCATTATTATTCACCCTTCGGCGGTCTTCGCCATTTCCAATTTATGAAACTTTTATTGGTGTAAATTATGAGGATCAACTTACATGGATGCTTCAGCAGTGTTTCCTTGCTTCATTTTCTAACTCTCCACTCTTCTAAATTGCATGGTATTTCTGCCGCATTAAGCGCCACGCATATTGTTTTTCCCAACCCCATTTTTTCACCCCCGCGCGTGGGCTGGGCGCGAAAGTAGGCCAATCTATTAACACTTTTGCAGTCATTTAATTTCTCCTCGGTTTTCTTTCAGGATGGAACGTGATTTGCAGACACGTACCGATCGTTTTGGCGTTGAAGTGCGTGAGCGCGTGATGTGGGACATCCGCGAGGGAGTCGTGGGATCCGATACGTTCATCCCCAAGCACGCTGTCATCATCACTTGGAAGAATATGTCCTTCGCTGGAGGAATTGACATTTCACTCCATCGCGTGAGTATAATTTAGAGACTTTTGGAGGGTTCTTCCATTAGAATTGATTGAAATAATTGGCAATTTTTCGTTCTGTGCGATTTTAATGTAATTCAGCCACGAAAATTGAGAAAGTTCTTGCGTAAATTTTCAAGCTACGCCAAAAAATTAATATATAATGCTATGAAAGGGAGTATGGAAATATGTGCACCATATTTTCCCTCATGACAGAGATGTTACGTACCCTAAAATAACAATGTATGGGAAATATTATGTTTTTCAAATGCTTTTTACGCACGTAAATGCAAACATAAACCATATGTTAGCAATTTCTCATGAAGCAAAAGGCTTGCATATGCAAAAAATATGTTGATTATAATAGCAAGTCTGTTGTAAAAGAGTTTTTGACACTCTCTACCTTGAATCTTAATCACATGAATTGTTATCATGTTTCCATCTATTAACCATTAGAAGTGTATTATCATTCTGTGCAATTTCTGAATGCAAATTAGTTTGCGAGGATATCGTGAATAGTTGTATAACAATATTGTTAAGCTTACGGATATTTCGTGACATGAGCCATTGAAATATCGGAAACAATGCGGAAGCATTTATGGGGCGAAACCCACTTTGGAGTGCATTTCTCTGAGTGCATTTTAATAGATTTTGATGATGCGAGCATACGATAGACAATGGATTAGATTGTGAATGAAAATGCATGGTGGAGTGAAGGAAAATTGACTATTCATCGAATGCTTTCAGACCAACACGTTCCAAATGGTTCTGGCCACTGATGAGGTGTACACATATGCAATTTTCAATTATGCTGAGATAAACTGGTCCTCACACACGGAAGCTGGCGGCGATACGACTGGCGGTGAAGGTGGAGTGCCAGCCTTTGTGAGTATTCACATAAATAGCTTTTGCCTGACAATTGATAAGCATAGGAGGGACAAGGAGTTTATGTAAATCTGCCCACTCGTATTGTATTAGATTGGCTTCAACGCTGGGAATGGGACTCAGGCGTACGAGTACAAGCCCTACAGTCAGGCGTCAGTGCTGCGAGACTTGACGGGACGTGGATGGGCTAATGGTTTTCCAGGAAGGCACATTTTCCGCATAGACGAGCGAATTATGCTGGGGACGTGCAATAAGGATATTGGTGCGTAGACTATTTATTATCATCACGCCGGACATCTACTCACTCATGATGGAATCTCGCTTGCAGACGCTGCCCACTTGCCCCTGGTGTTTGCACCTGAATCAGGAAATATGCTGGGCGGCACCGTGGTGAACATCACTGGACCGTGCTTCGATGAGAACGTGAGGGTGTCCTGCCGCTTCGATACCGAAGAGGTGATTGGACACTTCATCGACCGGAATCGTGTCATTTGCGTCCAGCCATTCCTCCTGGCTCAAGGATACATTCGCTTCGAGATCTCCGTGGGCACGGAGAAGTACAAGTGGCGTGGGCGATACTTTGTAGGTGAGTTAATTCCCGCGAAATTCATCTATGGCGAGGCGAGAGTGCCGCTTCTGGCGCCATCAGAAAGCCAATTGCTGATGAAAATTCGCTATAAAATGTTTTATCGGGAGAATTTTCCATAATTTAATTATAACAATGTTTGCACATTTATTATGCAATGCAGGCAATGGCCCGACTTTAGCACACACACAACAGGAATATGTTTTTTTTTGCTGTTGGAAAATTGCAAAAGCGCCATTTGATATTATATTTGCTTAATATGTTTATCAATTGAACAGAGTTGCGAAGATGCGATAAGAAAATCAATGAGTTTAACGATAAGACACAATTATTTATGTGTGTTTCGAAAATGGCGGACCAAAGTTGATTGTCTGCCATTAATCAAGTGGTCATTAATCTAAAATTTGAAGCTTTTCCAACTCTGATCTGATATCATGAATGACTGGTACAAATTGATTTTCAAAAGCTGCTTTCTCTCTCTATACAATAAAATATCTCATGGAAATATATACTAAAAGCGCCCTACTCAGTGCGTCAATCGATGGAGGAAAATTTTAATTGAACAAATCATTTAAAATTGCCCTATTATGAATTTATGTGAATACAAATTAAATTTCTCCCCCTGCGACTCATCCCCACTAGAAACGCCCGCGACAGCAACTGATAGGATTTTCTTTGAGAGCCAAGATGTGTATCAAAGGGCGCCATCCGAAGTGAAAATTACGTGGAATCGATACAATTTAACAACCAACTTGAATGCTGGAGTTAGAATATCGCTCTGGGGATACAGAGAGAGTACAATTCGGTAATTGCTTATTATAAAATATAATTGCCATCACTCGATGTGTAATGTTTCCCTCTGTGTTTCCAGGCCACAGCTTGAGTATATCGACATGATTGAGGAGGGCATCACAAATCAGGGACACTACACAATTGCACCGGGCAATTATCGACTGCGGAACAATCCCAGGAATGTCGACATGCAATTCGGCTTCATCATGATTAACCTCACAAATCCTGAGCACTTCTCTGGCCTGAGGATTTCGCCGTAAGTACAGAATTTACAACTCTTGCTGCCTGTGTGAAAATCCTTATTGATTTTCCTTCCTATCTTCAATGGAAGGCTTTCACACACAGTCTTGCTATTTTCGGCACATTTTCTTGTGGATTCTTTCCAGTTGACTTCCCAGAAAGAATAAGTCCTAATTTTCTCAAAGTGTTTTCTCGGCTCTTGAGTGGATTTCCTCAAATTTTCCCTCATATTTCAATCGCATTAAGAAGTCCTTTTAATTGCTGTACTTCGCCATTCAAGGGTCTTGTGGTCTAAGCCCATTCCTCTCGGTTGGTACTTTGGGCCTCAATGGGAGCGAATTCATGGCAGAAATTGGCCCAGAGCTCTGTGCGACAACTGGCTGAGGACTGATCGCTTCCTGAGGAACTTCCCGTCCGAAGTCGCCGTCTGTCCCTGCCATCTCGATCACGCCCTCAACGACAAGGGCCGCTTCATGCCAGACTTTGACTGTGACAAGGATTCCAACCCGTCGTGCCTTCATCATCGCGGAGCCATTCACTGCGTGCGAACTGGTCAGCCTAGTCTTCAGGGATCGGAACAGCAGTGCTGCTACGATCGTAATAGCTTCCTGATGCTGTCACATGATCAAATGTGGGGTTCTCGGCCGAGAAGAACGCACAACATTGGCCAACTGCCGTGGAATGAAGCCAACAAGGTGCCCACACTCTCCACATGGTTCCACGACGTCAGACCCTACTATTCCTGCTGCTTCTGGCAAGATGAACAGGCTGTCGGTTGTGAGACGCTGAGATTTGAACGGCGACCTTCTCAAGATTGTGTTGCCTATCAAGCTCCGGCTGTTGGTGGCGTTTTTGGCGATCCCCACATCATCACCTTCGACAATGCTCACTACACCTTCAACGGCATGGGAGAATTCGTCCTGGCTCGCGTCAATACTGGTCGGGAGCGTCTGGACGTCCAAGGACGATTCGAGCAAGTTGAACCCAACGTGCACGGTCCAGTGAGGGCTACGCAACTCACTTCCGTCGCTGCCAGAGGAAATACAACCACAGTCATCGAGGTGAGGCTGAGACCGAAGCACGCTCAGTGGCGCTATCGCCTGGATGTCTTCGCGGACGGACGCAGAGTGTACTTCGATAGGCCCAGTCTCAAGTTCCAGCACTTCCACGGTGTCACCGTCTACACGCCCTCCTACATCCTCAACCAGTCCGAAGTGGTCATCATGTTCGATTCTGGCGCAGGAGTTGAAGTGGTAGAGAATGCGGGATTCATGACGTGTCGAGTATATCTACCATGGACGTTCATAGTGAGTACTGAGAGGCCTCTCGGGTAAATCAAAGGACTTGCTTAACACTTTGTCATCCGTAGAATCGAACGAGAGGTTTACTTGGGAACTGGAGTTGGGACATACAGGACGACTTTACGCTACCCGATGACACCATAGTGGGGATTAATTTGAATAATTTCGAGAGCATCCACCGAGAGTTTGGAATGAGATGTAAATCCCAATAGATTGTCACAGCTTCACCGCAATTCACTCATGCGAAATTTCCCATTCTCTTTCTCTTTCTCCAAATAGGGGCGCTGGCGGATAGAGAACAGCCCGGAATAGGACAGGCGCTATTCACGCGGGAATTTGGTCGGACATCGAGTTACTTCGCCAATGCGACTTTCCTGCCCAACTTCATACGAGAGCCCAGAGACTTCCTACCGCCCAACCGGACGCATGATGTGGAGCGAGCCCATGAGCTGTGTGGTGAAAGCTATCAGTGTCGCTTCGACTTTGGCATGACGTTAAATCGCGAGATGGCTCATTTCACCAAGAATTACTATGACAGTATCGTAAATATTCGGGATCAGAATCAACGGTGAGGCATTTGGAGCTTTCAGTTGACGATGAACAGTTTTCATGGCTCTCTCCCTTGCTCACATTTCAGGCACATTCTCTCGTGCGGCATCCTGCCGACACCTCGTTTTGGCAGAAAGTCAAACTTTCAATTCGTGCCAGGATCGAGGGTGTCATTCGAGTGCAATGAGGGCTTCTTCTTGATTGGAGACAGCCGTCGTGTATGTCAAGCTGATGGCAGATGGGATGTCCCAGTTCATGGCTATACCGAGTGTCTTCGTAAGTACCCAAGTCTATATAACATTATCCCTCATTGGAAAAAAAGGAAGAAAGATATTGTGTTATTTACAAAGTTGTCGGGCCTGGAGCGGATTTGCCCCTTCTTCCTTCCGCTCTCGATTTTTACGCCCACCCCCAGCCCACGGTCTTTCCCTGCAATATTCGTAAAAGTAACCCCACGCATTTACGCAGGGAAATATCGATACCGTGGAGTATCAATCGGTGGAGCGGCAGTCGTTACACATCCATGTGAAATTTTGCTCTGACACTAAGAACACCGCGGTGAAATGTTATCGAAAGCTCGAAGCTTCAACCTCGCGTCGTGATTGATTTGTTATAAGCTTGGTTAGAAACATTCGCTGCCTCTCCACTCGGTTGTATTCTCAATGCGTAGTACATATGTACATAGCGAGAAAGCGGAGAATAAATAAGAGAAAAGTTCTGTCCGTTCGGCAATGATGTGTCGAACGATGAAATTAATCATATTACCACTTTGTGTTGTATAGGCGAGGTGTTCTACACTCGTCGTACCGCTTGGATAACAACGGGCATTGTTCTTGCGGTTATCGCGCCACTTTTAATGTGCATCGTTTGTGGCGTGTATTGCTATCGAAAGAAGGCCCTGAAGGAGGACCCCAACTGGAAGATGCCCCTGCCGTCGCGCTCTGGCTCGCGGGCCACGCTGCGGAATTTGAACAGCGACGGAAGTGACATGGACGGCACGGAGACGCTGAAGAAGAGTCGCAGCTACGATAAGGTGTACAGGACGCACGAACCGCTGGAGGGCAAACCGAACATTGACTTCCCGGAGAAGAAGTGGGACCTGGATGACGAGGACGTGACATCATCGGAAGGTAGTGAGTTGAGGGATACGAAGAGAGCTAAAGATATACAATACGTCTCTCATGCAGGCGATAGACCGAGGCAATTAGGGCGGCGAAATATGCGCGCGGGCGAGGATGAGAATAATGTTCAAAGCTTCCCACCGCCGCCCGTGGAGTCGCCCACGCCCATCAGCCCTGGCTACAGTCCCACGTACAGTGGACTGGATCGCGATAGCAGCTTCATGAATGACCAGCAGTCTCCGCCGCCGCACGCGGGGCCCGTCAGGCCGCCCAGTGGAGCCATTCGAGTCCTTCCGGGCGGCTCCACCGCCACCAGACCCGCTCCATCGCCCCCGGATGAGTTCCTCACCTTCTCGGGGCCGTCATCGCCGCAGCCACCGCCCCAGGACATCGGCCTGCCACGGGTCAACGCCAAGGCGACCGAAGTGTGAGGCTGAAGCCGCACACAATTGAGTCGCTCCCACGCAAACCCTACTTATAGTCCCCTCTTTTTTTACATCTTCGCACTACTGTAGGCATATTCACACCCAATTGTTAGACTTTAGGAAGGGCAACACACTCTTGTGCCAATGATTCATCCCAGAGATACCGCTACTATTTAAGGAACCCCACTTTTCTCAAGCCCCCGAAATGTTTTTCTATATGATCGAGGTCTCGATATCGAGAAAAGTAATTTCCTGAAGAGAGGCTATACACATATTGTCTCTGAGTGTAAGCTCAATATCGAGATGCGACACCATATAGTTTTGACTCTTCGTTTTGCTAAATTCTAAGCATTATTCTTGGAAAATAGAGACGCCAATTACATAAAATCACCATGACCGCATATTGTAACCACGAGGAGAAACCCTTTTTGTATGTTTCACATCGAGAGCGTCATTTTCAACAAACAAACCTTGTCACTGAATAAATAGTTAATAGTGATACAATGTATTATTCCAATACCTGTGTTTCATTGTTCGTCGCCTTCATCGCACAGCGACAACTATAATTGGATTTTTTTGAGAGCTTTCGCCATGTGAAATTGTATGTATGTTCAACATTTCATCATGCCCATAACCGGAAGAATAATGCCCGACATCCAGAGAATTGGAGAGAATTTTTTGTTGTTGAATCGATAGAGAAGTTGTCAATACCAATCAACTTTTGTCAATTAAATTGAACAATTCTTAGATTGGTGAAAAATGTTATGAATCGAATAACCATGTTTGAGAAAGTCACGAGCAATTAAAAAGTTGTTCCTTCTCTCAGAGAACACAGCCAATAAGCACATGTCTGTGAAGTTGTCATCTTTAATACATTTTTAATTCTGCTCAATCCGAAAAATATTAAAAAGTTTTAAAATTCTCCAAGTAGTTTCAGTGGAAAAGAAATTTAATTGTACTATCGTAAATTTCTGCACCAATAAATTCAGCCACTTTATTATTCAATTGAAAAGCAATTTCGTTAATCAATGAGAAAATCATTGAAGCAGAATATTGTGAGAGAAGGCGACTAAATGAATTTCGTATAATTAAATTTTCCATCTATTTTATCTCTCATTTATCTCCACAATATCAGGCACTCAGGAGTACTCATCGAGAAAGGCAGGAATTTCCTTTGGTGTGGTTTTGGGTAAGGTTTTCTGTGAATTGCTCTTCGCATCGCTGATATTCTTTCACCAAAAAACCACTGCAATAATATGAAAATTTGCTCCTCAGCTGTGATGGTTCCGGTATTCCTCATGATAATATGCTTCTCTTATCACTTCCTGAGTCGAAAATTTGGCCAAGATCTCCAGAATGAGCGAAAAGTGGATTTGGATTGAAAGACAATTAGAAACTTCCTTTTTTCTATACACCATTTTTATTGTTTAGAATATGTACATATATAGTATAGTAAAATTTTACCATGACTTTTCAATAAAACCACAATTTGCAAATGTGCTGTTCTTTTCTCACTACTTAATTTCTCTTTTTTTGTATACGTTAAAGCCAGAACACAAAACATGAAAATTCAAAAATGTGTTTCACCTTCCACACACTTTTTGCCCAACTGCCCCGAAAATCTTCCTTCAGTGTGTTTTTTCCTATTTGGTTTTTCCCTACACAAATACTCCACAAAACGTGCTGTTTCGCCCGTGACATACCAAATATATGTATATGCAAGTTTTTTCTATTTTCTGAATTCAATAACGTGTGAAATCAAACATACGCTTTCACTACCATTTCTCTTGCCTACGAGCACAGAATTTACTCCGCAATCTTGCTTAAAGTTGCATTTAATCTCATCTCGGAAAAAAACTACCTTCGAGACACGTTTCTACGAGAGAAAATGTAATTGGCAAGTTCCCTTCCAATTATCCCCGAATTTATCCTCACAAAATTCCTCCTCATCACAAATACTGGGGTAAATATTCTATTAAATAGTTGTTGGATATTCTCGGAAAATATACGGTTATTGCATTTATGGGGGAAAAATTTTTATCTGCAAGAAAATCACCATTTTTCTCTATAGTGATTCTTGATCCAAAAGATACATACATACACTTCTATGTATTAAGCTCAGATCATAAAGCATGGGTTGAAGGTGTTCGGCCAAGTTCAGTTGCCTTCGACTGGAAACCACTGAATTGTTAATTGTGCTGCAGAGGAGAATAACTTATTGGGAAGCACTCTCGTAAAATTAATCAGCAGCTCATGGATAGCGTCCTGAGGTAGGGACATTGAATTACAAATGCGATTCGTTTGGTGGGAAAAGGATGGCCATTCAGGTTTAATGAGGGCGCCTTGTGAATGTATTTATCTACGGTTTCAGCTGCAATATATCGGATGAAATTCAGTGGTTGATTTTCAGCAGAGCGAGAGTGTGAAAAAGTGGTTTAGGCATGAACTTAAGCCGCACACCTTGGTCTGGATAGTAGAATGTCTCGGAAGAGTCTACATTTGTTCCTGGTTTCTTTTCGGCGATTGATGAATCTGGAATTTCGCATGGAGAAAAAATGTCTCACGTCCGATCGACTTGGAAAAGTCCTTAAAGCTGGTTTGTATCATGAATAGAAATACTGATGTGATAAGATACGCATATTAAGTTATTTAGTGATAAATTTGATGCTTTGCTACCAAGAAGTTGCATAAAGTTCCTCCCCTCCGCCGCAATATGTATAATTTTAAGCATCTACACGTATTAAATATTATTCTCTATACATAATACGTTATTCCTAAGTATATCCTCAATAAAGCTTTCCAGAATTCGTCTATGTTGCCCAACCCCAAACCCCATATCTCTGTATACATAGTCCATATAGATACACATAATGTTGTCAATCTCCGGTAATAGCGACCACATTACATATTAATAATAATAATAAAGTCGTAAAGTGAATAATAAAAAGCAATTTTATATGTGTTGATGTGTTTATGTTGCTCTCATATTTGCCCTGACAATAGCCAATGGGGTGATACGGCGTAACACAAAAAGTGAATCAAACTAATTATTCTGCAATCAATACAACCAACTAATCAAGTGTATTATGTATTCGCACATGTGGGACTCTTTCAGGCAAATAGCGTTGCAGTAAAGCGAGGGCACTCAGTTCGGTTATAATTTATTATCGACCGAAATGGGCTCCAATTCCGCACTCACGTCCCGCGGGGTGGTCCTCGTCAAAAACCACACGTTCATCGGCTCGGGTTTACCTTTCATCACCACCGGACCTCGTAAGTCCAGCTGGAATGAGCTGTCGTAGTTCACCTCGTCGCAGAGGAGTCTGAAACGGAGATATTGACTCGTTAGGCAAACACACTTTTTATATGCATCGCACAGTCCGATCGATATGGGCAACTTCTTCCCGAGTTCTTCAACCATGGAAGCCTCAAAAGTAAACTTGGGTCGCGCTAAAGTTCGCAGCTCCTAAAAGCAGAGAGATTTCGCTCTCCAGGTCATGCCATCGATGGCACTGGACTTTCTCCTTTTCGATCCACGACTTTTGCCAGCGACCGACATCCTCTCGCAGTACAAGAAACCCCACTTTGCTTCTCGCTTTAAACAAACACTGTCTGTTAGTTTATATTGTCCATTTGGCAAATTCATATCGACTGTGTGGCAAGAAGAGAAGATGGAGAGAATTTTTTACATCTTCTTCGAGGAATTGTGTCTTCAACTGAACAGAGATGGTTTGCAGACACGACACAGCAGAAAGAATGCTCGAGATCATCTCAATTCAATAATCTCGGGCATTTGCGATGGTAAATATATGTGCGAGGGACATTCGACCCTCAGAAAGTGTCGAATATGCACAATAACTAATTTTATGGGACAACTCCTTCAGGACAAAACTTGGCACCCGAAGAATCTGCTCGTTTGGCAGTGGAAACTGCCATACATTTTCACAGGGACGAGAAGGCAAAAAATTCACAAGTGAGTTTTGGCACAGAAGTTCACTGCAGTTTGTGTAAACATAAAAGTGGGTGGCAAAAAGTCATATATTTTTGGATATTTTCGTGATGTTTGGCGACTAGCGAAAATGAAATTAAACTTAATTTGGCAGTGAGATCACAAAATTTATACACAATTTCATGTGAAAAAAAATGTGTTAGTTGAGCCCAAAATGTGTTTACATGCTAAAATGCCAGGCAAACACTTTTTAATCAAGTTTCGCACACATTTTATTACAAAAATTGAGGTGCACCAAGCATTTCCCGTAGCTGAAGTGCTTTTAATTAAATGTGACATCATCAAGAATGAGGGCAGAATGTACACAAATTGCAAATGCAAACGAACAAAGGGTTTTTTATTGTTATTTACTTCTGCGAGAAAATTCCCATTTCCACCCTTTACTTTTTGTGTAAATATTCAAAGAATCCTTCACTATGCGTAAATCAACAATTAAATTAATCTCATGCTGTGCAAATAGAGTGCAAGAGTAACTTGGAGATAATTCGAAAAGCAAAAGTTTTATTTGCTCACGTTATAGTCGGAAATAGCACAGTGATATTAAATTCTGCATTTATCAGAAATCTTTTTCAAATAATATGGAAATGAGCATTTATGAAATTCAACTGTGAATATCACGTAGCAAGGAAGCGAATTTCCAGTCATTATATTTCCTCTCCTTTTGTAACAACATTCATCATATCATGAATATTTATTAGAAGCATAATTTGTTTTTTCGCTTCACTTCTCCTGGCTGTTGTTTTTTTTTGTGATACAGGCAATAATCACATGGAGGATAGTGAAAGAAAATGCTTGTAAAGACAGCCAAATTAATCTTAATCCTTTCCAGATCAGCCAATTATCTTTTCACAAAATAGTTGCATGTCTGCCAAAAAAGTTCCATCTTTCATGGTGAGCAAACAATCACTTGGATCTTCTCCATTTAATGTTGGCAAACTTTCTCAGACTCACCGAACAGTTTCATTCCTTAACATGAGACAGAAAAAAGCTGTTACATAAGTTTTCAAGGAGGAGAGAAGTTCAAAAACGAAGAAATCAGATATCTCAAAGCATTCGCAGACGTATGAATTTAAACTATTCCCGCTGTTATTTGCATTTAACCCCATAAGCTTTAATCCTGTGGCCTCATTTTCTCTCTGAATGCTCTGAAGAGTGATTTATTTTACTGACTTTCGTTGCTTAATCGTGCTCTCTTCACTCCTAAATTAAACATAGTCTATTAAACAGTCACTTTTTGCATGTTTTTGGTACGAAATGAAACTACCTGTAAACACTCTGTGCGCTTGGAAATACTGATGCCTTTCCCTTTGTGAAACTTAAAGCTTTCTGCATTCACAATAATGGTATTATGTGCCACAGAGAAAAACTCCTGCTGCTTATTGTGTAATCTGGAGTGAGATATCAAAAGAGTTTGTTTTCGAAAGAGCTTTGTCACGACATTGAACACTCAACCCTTGTCTTTAACCTCGATAGCTATTTAAAGTAGAATTGATACAAAGTAATAAAAAAACATCCCTTCGCTTTGCTGATTCTGCACAATATTCCACTCAATATCCGTGCAATTTGCAAACATAAATTCAATTACAATGGAATATAATGAAATTTTGACTTACATTTATATGTATGCAGTATAATTTGAGCTCAATTGCGGTGACGATGTTTCATAATAGAATATCGACCATAGTTCAATGGGTAATAACGAATTGAATTGGAATAGCACGGAATCATGCGGATTTAGTGGCAATATGCAAATTTATTGAGTGTCAATTGGAGCTCCGTGGAAATTGTTCAGAGAAGATCGCACTAATTCTCTTCGTCTGTGCAGATTTGCCTGATGGGAACATTTCACAACATCCTCTACATCGCTCTGAAGGCATCGTGGGATTGGAGTGTTACCGACAGTTCTGTCGTCTGTTCACTTCTTGGTTTGGGGACTTTTTTTCCAATCTCTCTTCATCCCTCTCTCCCCCTTTGCGGTCTCATCAATGAAATGCTTCACCAGAGAATCCACCCGCCCTGTCAATGTGTACAGAGTAATTTGAGCAAGCTAAGCTTCACGCATCCCCTTGGCATTTCCTTTTATTTCGCAATTTTTCCTCCATGCGCCCCGTAACCTATCGACTCCATTTGATCTGCCCCATGTAACGGGGTAACATTTCGTCATTAGGAGAAATCTACTCATGTGAGAGAACCTTTGAACGATTATTTTTGGGAGCTATCTTCGGAACCAGTGCGCCCTACTTTATTGCAGGCTGGAAATCGGATTTTAGAGATCAGGTAAAATCGCTCCGCAGCCGCATTCCCACATAACCTCTCGAGCCAACCCTCTGCCATTCATAGTGTATAAAATCAATAAATGGGACACTTTTTTTTCCTGCCGCCCCCACGCGCGCTAAAAGGATGAAAATAGTCGAGCCATGGTCTACTTCTTGGAGCATGCATCGAGACGGAGAATTGAATTTCCCGTCCACGCCGGAGAGCAAAATAATCCACGAATGACACGGTAATGACAGTAAGCTTTATACCGTGAGAACAAAGGCAATGAAAATGCCCTCATTTAGGAGGGATGACGACGGGAAAGAAGCAGTATTTTCACAGTATCCTTCCCATGCCCGCTATTTCTAGGTTCATCGATGTGCCAATCGAGTCGTGTGGCATGGCTTCACCTCTACGTGTCACTCTGCAGGCCGGAGCTCCGGATATTTTGCTCATTTTACTGAGGTAAGTCCTCTATTCCACCCTCAGGGTATATTGAAGTTGGAAATAAAATTGCCACCCACCCTCTTTCCCCCTTCGAGTGCTTGAGATAATTGATTTGAAAAGGAATTCTCAGCGCTCGGAAGGGAGAATGTGACTCAAAAAAAAACAATGAATGAGGCGAGTGTCTTCTTTTTAATTGAGTGTTCATTTTTCCGCTGATAATCCCTTATTACTATCTTCACAGAGATAGTCCGCCTTTGTGGATGGAAAAAGCCCTATTGATAGACAGTGAACGACATTGATCCAAAGTGAATTTTATTACCATGTATTGTGTATCCCATTCAAGTAAACGCCAATAACATTGAACAATCTTGGCTTGGGAAATTCATTTGACGAACCAAAACTGCCATTGTGTCTTTAGCAAACCACACACGAATATCTTGAGCCCTCACATACACGAGATTCATCTGTAAGTCTTATTGATTTCTAGGTTTTGAGCCCAAGGTAAAACTCTCAGCTTCACTTTATAGCCAAGAAAAGGGGGCAGAGTGTTTGATAAGAAAACACACAATTCCCTATAAAAAAAGAAATCCCACACAACATGGCCATCGTGAGAGCCAAAGTTGCGGAATTAAAATATGAAAACGGAATTTCAATGAGTTTGACTTCCCAACCCGTAGCCACGCTTGATATTTTTATTGGAATCACTTCAAAGGACTTTGCGCGAATGCGACATAGAACATGAATCAATGTGGAATTACAATTTCAAATGCTATCTTCATAGCCGCACATCTATTGTGAAATTAATGTTGCCTTTGTTTACACAGAGCTTTGATATATTTGTTGAAATGTTACACAGGAAACTGTTCACTGAGCGAATTTACCACAAACCTTTGCAGAACTGATTTATTTTATTTAAATTCAATATTTGACATAGCGTGATTGTTTTGGATTAACCTGAATGGAAGGAAAATCACTGAATTGTTCTCATTCAATTGCTTTTACGCAAGATGACAACAATATGAAAATAAGTGCAAGAAAGGAGCAAAACTGAATCAGAGGGAAAATTGAAAACAGAATTCAAGGATAAAATCGAACTTTTGAGCTTCCAGGAGAGAGAAATTTCACGTGTAAAAATTCGGCAGCGTGTTTCGCTCTGTAAAGTTCAAATCACCAAAGCTTTTACTGCTCAATAATATCGAATGTTCAATGTGGCAGAAGAGTGATACTGCAATAAAGGGATTTTCGATTTTCCTTTTCCGATACCATCGCGATCCTTAATTCCACGGAAGGAAGCGTCGTATAAAATTCACACAATACCTTTTCAAGGTGTATCATTTATTTGAAATAAATTGTCTCGCCCTGGGAAAATATTGTGCAGGTGAACAAAATGAAGGTAAAAAATGCCCACATTCTTCATTCTTCTCATTAATCATTTCATCATTCTCTGAAAATGCTTCTGTTTCTGCTTCATGATGATGAAGAATGAAGTTACTAAAAAGCCCCATCAATAATTCGAATTAGAGCGTTGAAGAGCACTCTTCAAACACCTTCGTCAAATATTCTCTGCATAAATAACTAACATAAGATAATTGCATTTGCAGATATGGCGCCAATCCAAATCCCACGGACGGAGGGTCCAGTGCCATAATCGCATTACTAGATAAATTACTTGAGTCGAAGGATAGACGATATCCATACCAATTAGAAGCGTGCTTGAAAATACTGATGAGGGCTGTACCATTTATTGATCTACCATTTAAGGTTTGTTCAGATTGATGAAATTCTCTGCTCACCCCGAAAATTTTATATATATAGCCACTCGTCCGCGCAGCCCTACACTTTTGATGTGCGGAAGGAAGTGTTTATGACGAAGTATTGGACGCTCATCAAGGACGGCCTGCTGACGGACGACCAAATTGGCGGAGTGTCACTGCTCAAGCACTTAGCGAGGTACACAGACCGCACAAAATACATTCGTAATGCCCTTCTCGTGCGCCCATAAATGCTCTTTTAACTGCACACAGGTGTGCAATTCGCCAGCGCCTGAGGGAAACGGGCAAATTGCCTTCGGGCATAAAAACTTTTGGGCTGCCACGTCACCTGAGGCGCTACATTGACCTAATGGAGGACTAATTCGATGCACTGTGCGGCCAGATTTGCGGCTCTCCGCGGACTTGAGCTCGCTCTCTCTGCGGCGCTGAAGAGTGCCTTTTACTGGCATCCCCCATTTGGCAATATCCCATAAAAATAATTGAATAATTTATTGCAGTGTACCCAGTGGGTTCCTGTACTTAAAATGTTATTATGCCATATCCCACCCGAAAAAATATACATATTCATTATATATAATCACATAAAAACTGTACCACAATATTTTGATGTTTCTTCATAAAAACGGGGTGAATCGCACACAATTGTGCGTGTGTGTGTGTGTGATGTCTTCTTGGCAGAAGTGCGTATAAAGTTGATGGAGAAAATAGGAAATTTTCACCCCCATGGACCCCATGTGGTTGTAAAAAATTGATATCGTACTCACTTGTAGGTCTCTTCGCTCACATTAATACATCCTGGGGCGCCTGTCGTTTCTGTGCGACTTGTGAGATTTACGGTATTCCCAAAAAGACAGTATCGTGGCATCCTCTTTCCAATCACCCCCGTCACCACTTCGCCAGAGTGTATTCCAATTGTGATTCTCTGCAAATGGAAAATTTTACACCTGCGCTTAGTTTCACCGTGCCTAAATGGTGTGGGTGGGTGAGAAAAAACATTAGGAGATGGAGAAGATGGCAAAATGATAGGGGCAATTGTCTGAAATCTCATTTAGATAAGGATTAGAGAACAATATTTGGAGTTTTCATAACACAACCAGCACAACAGAGAGAAGAGAACATAAAATTCAGACGCAAATCTTAGGAAAATGATTAAAATTTTCTCAAGTTTAGGGGGAAAATGTAACGACAGAAGTTACACGTGGAATCAATAAAACAAACTGGGTCTGACGGTAAACTTTTCAATTCTGTGTTAATTTTGTACTTCAACCCAGAGAATGTTAAACTTTGGCAATTTTTTCCCTCACAGATGCAAACTTTAAAACCACCCTGCCAAATAGGCAGTTATTTGATTTATGGTCATCTTAATGTACACTTTATCATAATGTAAACAGAATGCATGTTGTACACCTTAAGAGAGCACGAGGGACTTTATTTAACTTTCAACACTCTCTTGCTTAAGTTGTGCATTTATAAACATCAAGTTAAGACTACTTATAGTTTCATAGTATAGTATGTATGTTTGATACATAAATACAAATATATAATCAGTGACTTGTGAAGGCTGTGCAATAGAAATGCATATGTTGAAATTTTGCATTTTTTCTCCACTCGTGGTTAGTTGCATTGTTCTCTGACATCATCAACTTCATGCACAACATTTCAGGATTATGATAAATTATGCAGTTTTTGTTCCCCAGACACTACATGAAATTTTGAACAGTAGAATTGATGAAAAAATTCTATTATCTTAAACAGAGAGTCATTTTTTCAACTTTCACCACGAGAATCTCCAGCAATTGAATTAAAATTCATGGCATAAAACCGAGATGTGCTTTAAGGAAATTTAAAGGCAAAGCGCACACAGAAGAATTCCACTAAACATTCCGGGAAAAGTTCAAAGGATTGGATATCGGAGAATGGAATATTATTTCACTTCCGATTGCTCGAGACTATCGGAGCTTAAATTCAAATTGTCTTGAACTTTAATGCGAAACAATCGCACTGCGTCATTGCGATACCGCCGGATGACCCAGAATTGTCACTGAGAAGCAACACTAACCAATGCATGCTTGCTGGTAACTTACCACAGGCTGAGATCCCATCATGACATTCTTCGCCATATCCATCATGTCGAGGGCGAGGTTGGAGATGCATTTGGCGTGGTTTTCACACATATCCGGAAGGCCAGACACTGCCATGTACTTATCACCCACAGTTTCGACTTTGTAAATATTGGGATTCCGCTTGGAATCGGTTAAGGCATCAAACACTGTATAGAGTTCATTCAGCATCTTCACTATTTTCATCGCGCCCTCGGCGTCCGTATTTTCAGCGCAATACTTGGCGAAGCCCACGATGCCAGAAAACATGACAGTCACAGTGACGTACCTGTTGAGAAATTTGAAACATCAATATTTGCTTGAAAATGTCTTGTGCCATTAACTAATTTATTGCTCAATTGGCGGAATAATGACAAAGAGGCAAAGCCAAGAGCAAAATGGGGGGATTAATCTGAGCAATTTGTTGCAGATTTCGCTTAATGCATGCGGTGTCCGGAATCTTCCAGTTCACTTGCATTGATGTTGTGAATCATCCGAGAGTGAACCGGCGACGAGAAGGGATTTGGCTTTAGGGTGAACGGATTGCAGATGTTGGAGAATTTATGTGGTTGTATAAGAAGCAAAATGAGGTCAATAACCTGAAGGTGCGAAATGAGTTAGGCTTTATCCCAAATCCTATTAATATTATTAAATAAACGGAGTAATGTTGGGGCATTTCAAGACCCCATTTCGGCACTAAGTGGATTAGAGGAGGGAGAGAGAGTGAGAGAGCCACTGAACTCTGATAAAATAAAAATATTATTCCATCAGACATTCTTCCCGTCACACATGTCTTTTATAGTTTGCAAGAAACTACCATTATGGCTCAATCTTAATCCCCCGCCCAGCCCAGTGTGTCTGTGCCAAATGGCTAAACCGAGATGCCCCATGGGTGAGTGCTTTTATATTGAGACATTTATGCTGTGTATTAAAATAAACATTACCTTTTGGGAGGGACAGGTCTCTGATGCCTCAACTCGTTAGCGACGGTTTTCGGTAGAACGGAGTACAGTAAGCTGAAACGTTTAGCAAGTGATTAAAATCCAATTACTGTATTTATTGCATGTTGTGCTGGATTAAATGGGATTATATTTCATATCGCCATTGCTAAGGGTACATTTTCTTATTGACACTGCCACTCTTGTCTGCATAGTATTGAATATCCTTCTCAATTCAAATGCCAAATATCACGTTATCGAGGATGCGCGCTCGTGTGTTTGTGTGAAAATTTCATCCGTCGAATCCGTCATATTTTTTTGGGTGGGAAAATTGATTTAGCCGTATGGGGAAAATTGATGTAAATTATATTTACCGATCTGTCTTCTGTTTCTCACTCTCCAGCTCCCGATAGGTCTGCTGTAGCTTGTCTGTCAGTATCTCCAGATTTCTCGTGAGCTTGTACTCTGCCTCGAATTTCTCAGACAGCAGGACCAAGTCTCTCGTTGCATCGTGAAGCGGTACGTCGGATATGAACAAGCCCTTCCTGAGTGGCAAAAAAGGTGGCGGTAAGTGAAATATTGCCTTCCAGCGTGAACATATCGTTTATTATCGTGGCACATAACATGATGTATGGCCGAACCGTGTTTGACTTACTTGGTGAGGTCATCGAGATTCATAACACTGGGATAACACTGGAACAGGATCAAATCAGATTCGGGTATGTACAGCATTTGACCCTGCGTGAAATTATGTGTGTGAGCAAACGGGAGGCTGCGTGTACATGGGCACTATATGATGTTTTTATGTACCCAACTTTTTTTTCCCACCCTCCCCTATGTAACATACCTTCAGTCTCAGATATCGCTCGTGTTCGCCCATTGCACCTTGTTTTGTTTTCAGCACGTAAATTGTGTTAATGTGGGCCAAAACGTTCTCGAAAGTCATGTCCAAGTGGGGTCGCACGGCTTCCAGCACTTCCAACAGTGGGCAGTTCTCCTCTGACACTCTGTTGGGGTGTTTTTTGTTCCAACCCCCATCCGAGAGGAGGACAAACAAGAAAGAAAACTGTGTATGAAGTCTCGATTCGCCATCGGATAATGAGTGTGATTAAAAGTAATTTAAAATGAAGTGCGCTTCTACTCTCTTGGGCAATTAATATTCATTTGGATCCAACGGAAAGAGTCTTGAGGAGTGTAAAAATTTCTTCCGAGATTTCTTTTTTTCCCCTTGGAAAATCTCCTCAATGCGCGCCTCTAAAATTTCCATGAGAATAGATTGACTTTGTGAAGCTTCGCAAATGCTTCTGGGATACTTGTTATCTCTCTTTTGGAGTTGTTTTGAATGGCAAATTCTCTCATGCTAAATTGCCAGTTGTGAGACGGTGTGTTGGAGAAAGACTTGAAAGTCAAATTAGGCCCTTAGTCGGAATTAAATTATTTACCTAATCAAGTTTTTAAGGCAAACACACAACTAAAACTCGAACTTTTCTTAATTGATGCTATTTCACTAAGCTCTTCTCCACTCTAGAGACCAACAAACTTTCAGGTAAAGTTCAAAGTATGATCCCAAATTGTAAAAATTGTGAAAGCATTGTCAAGGTTCAAGCAAACTTCTCCACGAAATATACCCAGTCTGTATACATAATTTTGTAGGTCTCTGTGTGTGGATTCTGGGCTGAGTTTTTGCCTTTGCTGCTGCGTAACTTTCCATAGCCAGAAAAAAGCACCACATGGAAGAGTATTAAAGTATAAATAATGACTACGTACCTGGGGATAACACGTGAAACTGACTTTCCCGCCTGAACAATTCGCATTTGCCGATCGAACATAATATGAAATGGGAACACTCTGCAGAAGGTTGATGGCGATATTAGGGCACCATCTAATTAAGAAGTGGAAAGAAAGTTAATATCAAATGTGTCCTTCTTCTTCAGCCACTCTACATAGATTTTCCGATAATGAAGTCCGCCAGTGTCTTGATTGAATTCATTGGCAGAAATGTTTCGGAAGGCGATAAAATTTTACAATGATACCTTGAGACGTTATTTCTGCATCATCGGGCAGATCCTTCTCCTCCGTCGATATTGATTTTTCCGTATTGGAGCCGGAGGTTTCCGTTATCAAAAATTGGATATGGTCCGAAAGTTCCTGACTTCCCGCCTTGCTCTTTCCGCTCTCCTCGCTCAAACCCACGACGGTCGTCTCGTTGCTGATTCGACTCAAATTCTGCTGCAAATTCTCTGTGCGGACGACACAATACACACATGGAATATGTTAAGCTTTTTTTACGTGACAAATTGCTTCACCCAGAATATCAAATTAGAGGGTGTATGTATTTCAAAGTTGGAAGTGGGTTATCACCAAAGTTTATTTTATTTAATATGTCAAAATGATGTCTCTCTGTGACAAATTCAACTGTGTGTGTGGCTAGGAAATGAGTGGAAAACTCTATTTACTCTTTTTCATCACATCTCTCTCTCTCTCTGTGCTCGGAAGGAACAAGGAGAGCATCTGCAGGTTCGCTATATCCTGGGGATGAGCGCTCGGACTTTGCGGAAGAGCAGATATTTGCGCTTGGATTAAAAAGGAGTATAATCCATTAGCAGAAGTTTTATCGCAATTGTCTTTCTACAATTCAAACACTGAGCAATTCATCATGGTACATTCACTCTCTGGGACTATTCATTGTGCAGACACCCAGTGCAGATGAAAGCTCTATGAATTTTCATTGATAACCGGAGTGGAAAAATCATGGGGCTTTTAGTGTGCAATTTCAAACACATTCTCGTAAATTGTAGCATGGTTTTTTGTGTGAAAAGGGAATAGAATAGTAATGAAAAATATTTTCCTATATATGAAAGCTGGGTGGACAAACCATTCATTTAATGAAAAGACTCCTTTTACGCCATTGAATTTTCTTTGTCAAGCTCAAAACTATTCATTTTCCCCACCAAAGGACCGAGAGCGTGGGATGAATGGACAATTGTTCCTTTTGCTTTTCACTCCACCTCTGGTGAACATTTAATTATTCCCTTCACTCTTGAATGATGCTTTGACATTCATTCACCTCTAATCCTCGACTTTCTAATCTCTTCGTCAATGGATTTATATACGTCTCAGGGCTTTCCTCAGACCCTTTTCTCTCTCGCTCGCCACACCACAGCGCCAGAGGACAAATTGAAAGGTGATTTGTATAATAACAAGAGAACACTTGAAATGTACGTATCAATTTCACTCTCGACTTTGAAATGTTGTCTCAATTGGAGAGAAATATGAATGGAACTCACCTTGACACGTGCAAATAACCTCCTTGCTGCTCCCATTTTGCAGCGCTGGCGATTTCATACAGGTACAATTTTGCCGTCCTACGCGATTTTGATTGCCTAACCCTATGCTATGGTCTATGTGACTGACTGGGTCCTCGCTGTCGATGGGTTCGCCTTTTCGTTTAATTATTTGAATTTCCACATCAACGCCATGGAGCTTCGATGCCACTGCCTGCAACGAGATGTTTGAGTTTCAGTGAAATTCCGCTGACATTGACGGGAAGCCCCATATATAATGGAAAATGTATTGGAATTCCCTGCAAATTGTAGTGCAATGGCATTACGTCTGCCCCCCAGATATATCACTTTCAGATATTCATTCCCTCCACTGAATTGAGTATTCCGCATCAACACATTTCCCAGGCATAAGGATTCCCCACAGCTTCACAAGCGGAGACGACTATTTATGCCACAATTCTCACAGGGGATGAATTTCCTCAAGTACCTTGACTATTCCAATGACAATGTGCTCGAGACCGGGACGCTCGGAATAGTAATGCAGCTTGAGACCACTTTCGCTCTCGGTACACCGGAAAGATGGAGCCCTCATTCCCGGATACAGCGTTCCCAGGTGGTCGTGCAGGGCATCGAGATTCTGTGGGGGAGATGTTTTCGTTAGAGTGTGTTGGTGTGTGTGTGTGGTAATTTATGCGGAAATTCCTCATGCGTGCCACCTTTTATCACGTACCTGCAAAAAATCCCGCGGAGTAGCACCAAGGACTTGGAGAATTTTATCATACCCCGAATCCTGACAGAACTCAAAAAAGGTCTTCCCGAATAACTCTAAAATAGCATCAGCGGGTATTTCTGCAAAATTAGACATCATCTATATTTCACAAAGTGCTGTAATGTTGGGAGAAAAGCCAGAGAGAGAAGTTTTGCGCCGTGGCGGTGAGTGTGCGGTTCGGATGATGGTAGAGTGAGTGGTAATATTTGCGGAAATTAGGGCAATGAATTTAATTTTTGCAATTTCATAATATTTTGTGGAAATTTGCCCGCAACATTTCTGACTAACAACTTTATATTATGCTTATACACACTTTCCACCGCCAGGTTGGAAAGGTGTCACCCCGCAGATAAATTTGAGGCAATTATTAATGCTTAATGCAAAGAACTCACCTAATATTTCAACAGCAGCACCTATCAGATTGTATGTTATTTCGTCATCGTAGATTTGCCGGACGAGAAATTGTCCCTCCATCGTGACTTCAGCCTTTTTCCTGCACACACACACACACAAAATATGGAATTAAATCTTTAAAACGCTCCAAGCACGACACTTGTCTCCCCCTCGGCTGCTGGCTCACGCATTGTTAATTTGAGTAATTGGCAATGATTGTGCACAACAAATGGTTCTTACATAAAATTTTCCATATACAGCCACTTAATTACCCCATCCGAGGCCTCTCGCTGAAATCATTTATTGATTTTCTGACAGACAATCGCATTCAATTCCACGACCCCGCAATAGTTTGGGGGTGTTTGCGGGTTTCTTATTACTCTGATTTCTTGCTGAGCTCCCGCTGTGAGATCGGGAAACAATGAGGGAAATTAATGTGTAAAGCTCGACAGAAGCACATGGATACGCGCGAGGCGATGAATAGTCGCCGGAAAACACATAAATATCTTTCAGGAAGAATTGACATTTTCTCAATGCTTCGCAGCAGAAAGTGGTCCAATGTATTTATTTCGCTCTCTCTCTCTCTCTCTATTCACAGAGAGATAATACCTCCAGAATAATAGAGCGACGGTCTTCATTCCTTCTGATGGAAGATGCGATGCCGTACACGCGATAATCCCAAGTGCTCCTATTGCAATTGAACCGGAAAAGTTGTTAGCGGGATTTTATATAACAAGAGTAAATTCTCTAATTAGCCTCATTTCATTTCGCAATTAACCACAGGAAAAAATCCATCTTCTCGAGAACCCTTAACACGCGCATTTTCTCTCAAATGCACCACAGTTTTCACTTCACCACTCGTCTCTCGACAGAATCACAGACAGCAGAAGCTTTCGAGGGCTTACTGGGGTGGGATTTGGAAACTTCCAGTGTGCCAGGAAGAGAAAGACAAGTGTAACTTTATGTGTGTTACGAGACTGCTGAATTTCCTCCCTTCAGCTTGGCCCTCAATCGCACAAAACTTCCTGAAACAGTTTAAAAAGAAATTGCGATTCTGCAAGATGTATACGATATGAAGAATTGCAGACACATTCTCAAGATTTTTATCCGATTTTCTCATTATTTCACATTAAATCCACATCAGCCTGAAAAATCTTTTTCCTATTTCCCTCAAACTTTTTGATGGTTTCTTCCGTTATTTTATAGTCTTTGCCAAAAACAAAACTATAGTGAAAACCGCTGTTAAAGTCAATTTTATATGTTTGGGGTTGAATTAATGAAATATGTACGTTTAACGTCGTAAAATCGTTATGGTCTGCAGGTAAGTTAAATTCCGAGACCGCAGAGTTAGTTTGAGAAGTGTGGATGGATTTTGGAGGGCCTCCGGAGCAGTAGATGAAATAGAATAGGATCCTTTACGGCGGCATCCTAAAATGTTTTGTAATTCCATGCTCAAACAAACAAAACAACTTCTTACAAAGCCTGCAGAAACAAATAAGAACGGGTGTCCTATTAGTGAGACTTTAGGTAGCCAAAATGTTGACACTCACTTTCCCCGCACTCTTGGCCTAAATTCATACCCACCAGGAAGTATTCCGTCAACATTATTTTCTCCGTCCTGGCAGAGAGGGCTTTTCCTCCGATAAATATCAATACAGCAAATAAATCATATACAACGCATTGTGAATGAAATATTACTGGATCAAATTCCGAATGGTGGCATTGAGACATGAATCTTATACAATCTCTTATCATGTTCAACATCCGTAAGATCATTTTCCCAATTATGGAAATATACTGTGTGCCATTCAGCGAATTATCTTGTCAAAATCCACTTTGCATAGGATTTTCAAATGGCACGTGAATATTTTCGTACGAGTGATTTCGTGGCTGCCAAAAATAGAGCACTTTGCTGTCTATTTTTAAAGACACTCCAATTTAAGGTAAATGAAGCCGAAGGTGCTTGTTATACCATATTTTCTTCTGTGATTTTTGTGACCTAAAAAGCCCGATATACCACTAAATATTCCTCACCCTATCCACTATTCATTTGAATGAAATTGATTTAGCAAGAAAAGGAGTTTCCATTAGCATACATTTAAAGCATGATGCAATTCTCTGTGTTATAAATAGCAAAGGAAAAATTTTCATCTCTCAAATACATTTTGCTTTCCTCTTCATAATTTTATTGGGTATATTTGCAACTTTGCACCGTGCTAAATTGATATCTCAATAAAATAAATTTGCACAAATGTGTTTACGAAAACTTCTTCATAAATTCTGTGCCAATTGTGCTCTGCTCGGATGCTTTTGAGAAAGCATCATAGAAGGATATTCTGTACGTGTTCTGGGATAAACACGAAACTATGGTTACGTGTATCTTGCAGTAGTTGCGAATGCAATTATTCTCTCAAAATTACAGTCGAACATGTATCACTTCCAGATGATTATAGTATTTATATACAGGCATTGAAGGCATTCTGAGATATTCAAACATCTCGATTGCTTGTGAGGACATAAAAATGCACGCACGTGAGTCTTCATTTATCATATTACACGAAAGTATCTACTTTCTGAGAAGGATGAGATACTTGAGAAGCTTCTCTGAATCGTTCATCAATAGCATCTTGAAAGTTTTTGCATACATTCCCTTCGAGCAGAATCTCCTTGCATACTAATACAACTGTATAGTGGAAGATGGAAATGTAAATATGAAGAGTTTATGAATAAAACATGTTACATTTTCATTAAACCGTTGATTATGTTAGTTAGTGAAGGGAGTGCAGAAAGTTTTCATGATGCTCTCTATTAATTCTATAATTAATTAACAACAGGGTCAATTGCGATGAATGAAGGGAATTGCAACTTGGAAGGTATAATCCTTTTTAAACAATGCAACAAAGTTAAATTCACAAACAGGGAAAAGCTCTGCTCGGGAAAAGTCCTGTTTAGCCAGAGCACTTCTGCGGTTAGGAATAACAAGTCAATTATGTTTGTGTTCTCGTTTTCCCAACACGTGTATGAAATTTTAACCACTTGTTGGTACATACGAAAATAATTGTGGTTCTGAATAAACACGACACAAGGAGAATATTTAGCAATGGGTTGAGGAGAACTTCTCATGTGATTTTTTTCTCTCACTTCAAATGTAAAATAAATGTCCAAAATTCAATTTTATATGGGAAAAAGTTCCTTTTTTCTCTCCTCTGAAAGTCTTCATTAGGAACTTTGTCAAAATTACTCACACGAAGTCATGATTGTGTGGTGATATTTCATGCAAATTTCAATTCTCGACATTGTGCAAAAATCTGGAGAGAAGAAAATCCAAGTTTGTCAAGTTTATTACTGTGTGACGAATAAGCAGAAAATTCTTTCATATCTCAGAATATAATAAAAAGGATAAGTCTTTTCCGGAGCTCCTTTTTCTACTCCCTCCCCCCCCCCGCACAAACTTCGTATCGTAATGCGAAATGAAAAAGTGTCAAAATGTATCCTGTGTCTGAAAGTGTAATAACAGTGAGAAATACATGTATACAGAAGACATGACATTTCACATTAAGGACTATTCATCTTTAGAATAGCACACAAGGCAGAAAAAACGATTGAGAGAAAATTGTTGGAACCTCAGTGGCAAAAAATGTTAATGCCTTGATCCATGAACAACGCGACGTTGTCACTTTGGCGTTCCAGAAATTTAGCGCGCTATTTCGGGAGATTCACGATTTGGCGACTGGCAATTTGTCATCAGAGCTTTGTTTCTGCATTTAAGAGATTTAAGCCACATATAGTGTCTGAAAAACTTTTAAATATGCGCTGTTATGAATGCGTGAATGAACTGTGTTGCTTCATTCATTAAATACCATTCACAATGTACCAAAATACCAAACAATTACTCAATATCCAATTATTGTTTTTTCTTCTTTAACTGAGAATTTGAGACGACAATTTCATTATCTCTCCCTCAGTGGAACATTATTTTCCCGAGCCGTGCTTAATTGCACATTCGGACCGTGATTTGCTCAACACAAGCACATGCCTAAGATTTTAATTATGTAGCTTTGTCGTAAAGTCTATAATTAATGCCTTTGAAGAAACATTTGCTCAGGAGCAATAAAGTCGCTAAATAAAACAAAGACTCCCAATTTGTCTCCTATGAATCTAAAAACAATTCTTTTCATCCTCCAATTTTCCTACACAAGGATGAGAGACAAAGAGAATGTTTTCAGTGCATATAGTCGTTTTCTAAAATTACGTTCATAAATAATGCAGTCTCCCCAGTCGTTAATCTCGAGAAAAGGGATATCACAAGCAATTCTAGACAAAAAAGCTCTTTGCAGGGAGTATATTTATCATTTTGTGCTCTTGGCAATAAGAACATAAATCCGATAGAGACGCGCTAAGCCATGACTCCAGAAAAAATGCAAACGAAAACTGCTCGTGGTTTCGTCCCTATATATTCTTGTGTATTTGTTTTTCCAAATTTCCTAAAGGAGAGAAATTGTGAAAATTTAATAACGGATGAGATAACATTTTGAATCAATAGTTTCTCTTAGTTACTTCGCTCCTCCTCTTTTGCCACTGTCTGCGCTCAAAGTGAGTTAAGACACAAAACCGTAGTTTTATGTAAAGCGTCATGTGAATATATGTATGTATGCTTTTTAATTACTGGTCATGGAATATGAATTTAGATGCTCACATGTTATAATAAATTACATGTTTCCAAGAGTGTACAAAACGATTAGTCATCAGCATATTGGAGCAGGCAAATTGGATTGTCTCACAATGACTCTATCTACATGTATTGTAAAATTATACCACATTTGAATACACTAAAATCACCACATAAATTACTCAATAGAAGAAGGGGAGAACAAATGCTTTCAGATGTGCTCTTCTGACATGTACTCAATGCTGTGTAATTGAAGACTTTCCGCACGGCATCTCGTGTAAATTTATAAATTGAGAGAAGATGACAGATATCGCTTCAGCAATCCAATAACAAAGTGTTGAGAGTCGAAGGAAAAGTTCTCCGACAGTGAATTTTGTGGATGGAGAATGAGTGAATATTGCGCTGAAGAATTTATAATAACACATAACACGTACCAGAGGAATTAATTTCACCAGAAAACGCATTCTTCCCCAACAATATTACATATACATTTTTCTTTGAGCACATTTACCCTCTTGCTACAAGGGCAGAATGTTATTAGAAATATTTTAAATATCTTCCCACCAACGAGGGGAAATTTATTAAAACTGCTTTTGCAAGTTAACAACAAACACACAGTGTGTGGATAAGTGAGACTGGCGCTACACGTCTCGGCGTGAAAAGAAAGGCGTTAAGCAGGAATTCTTAGTGAATAAAATTACTTTGTGCCACTCTCACTTGAGATGATCGATAACCAAAGGTTTTGACTTTGGCTTTTCGGCGCAAAAGTCACCTCAGCCCTCCGACATTTGCCCCCGCTAATCACTTTGACGCAGCCAATTTTCCCACTTTCGAATTGAAAGTCTTCCGTATTTCCCATGAGTATTTACGCGGCTTGTAAACACATGATTGCTGGGGGTGAAGTAAATGCATAAATCCTCTCTGAAGTACATCCAGGCATTGTCTGCCATGGGAACGTCATAATTTTTCAAACACAAATTGCCATCACTCAAAATCACAATTTGGTGAAACAATAAGCCAGATTTAGGGGGTGCTTTTGTGTAGAAGAGACTCACTTTATTTGGTTCCATATTTGTAATCCGAAATTTTTGATGACGAGCAGTTCAAGAGCGTAATTCACAAATCCGTACTGAAAATAGAGGACATTTTTTTCAGAGACTGTGGGAAAAAATTGCTTTAGCATAGAAAGAGAGATAGAAGGGAGGAAAGAAAGAGCAGGAGAGTGTACCAGGCATTTTGGTTGAGATTGCTGGTGAAGATTGTTTCATAAAACATGCGTAGAAATAATCACAAAGTGGGTGTGAGTATGGAAGATATGAAATTTATAGTGTCATATTTGCATAGCCGAGAGACCCTAATTGTTAAATTTGTAGATACTCTCAAAGGTACATATTTCATCAGGAGAAAATTGAAGTTTCGGGAATGATTATGATATGCATAAGCATATCAGCTGGGAGCTTTTTATCACATTTATATTCATGAGTAAATCTCTGTGTGAAATTAAATTATTACTGAGCAACATATTCAAGTGTAATGGAAGTCTCGGCTGAGGGGCTGCAACTACGACATCACATAAATTCAAGCATCTCGGGAGACAGTGCGTGGGAAGGGGTGCAAATGGGCCATGTTAGTTGCCCCAGTTCATTTTGGCTGTATCGTATGTGCCGCCTATTTTTCCACACACACTCTCACGCTCTCTCTTTCCCCCATTTGGGGGCAAATATGTTTACAGCCTTAATGGAAATTCAATTTGAATTGTACTGAGTCGTCGAATGTGTAACATCAGTAGAGCAACATAAAACTCTTTATGGGCGTACCATTTTTTCTTCTCCACCAAATTTCCTCCAGCAGGCGAAGAGACAACGACAAAACGGATTGGAAGCTGCTACGGAGATTATGTTTTTGCGAATTTGACACCAACTCACAATATTTCACTCAATGTAATTTGCTTTATTGCAGGAGCTTTCCTTTCTCGCTCTCCTTCGACACCCTGACGACCTACGCACAGAGCACGGATATTCTTTCAAATGATGACGACGTGGACCACTAGACCACATGACAAATGCATTGTTATTGGTTTTGTGTGCAAATTCAATTAAATCTCTATGACACACACTCACAGGACAATTTACCAGACATACAGTTTTGTCAACTTGCACAAATTGCTGCAAATTTACTCATCTGAGCAATTTGACACCACTGATGGAGACCCTTTTCCCACTCTTTTCTTTCCCACAATGCGATGAAAAGGTGGAAAACAAGGCGAGCGAAAGTGTTGAATGAGAAATCTGAGAGAAAATTGTGCACAAATCGGTCAATTTCCGTGCTAAATATACACAAAAGCTCCCCAATCCTCGGCACTCGTGTGCAACTCCACCGGATTCAGACGAGAAACAGACACTGGCCACTGGCGGAATGATTTTCAATCATCAACCAATTCACTTTTGTACATAGAGAGGTGTTGTAAAAAGTGTTCTTCCACTGAGACTGGTCGCGTATGGGGCGACTGGTCGGGACACAACTCGGGGTGCGACTGAATGAAAACGGGGAAAACTTTTTATATAAACGAAGAACTAGATCGATTACTCTACGTAGAAGATTCGGGTGTGCTGCTTCACCCCCCATGAGATGTCGCCAGTGCCAGGCGAGGGAGTCGATATGGTTGGTGTATTTGCGGAAAATTGCGAATTTGCTGGAGCATAAGGCTTTTCCAACGGGGGAGAACAGGTAATTTTCACCCTCTTCTGCTCATCCAAGTCACACATGTACGAATTATGACGCCAATGGTGCGATAATTCGACGCACATACTTAGATAATTACCAGGATTCCGTTTCATTTTCATTTTTCGAGGCAATTCTCGAAGCAATTACTTTAATACAGTGTTATTAGGACTTAAGTGGAGCATTTCTAATTTCCATATCATTGTTATTTTTATATAATTTCGAGAAATTAACAAATACCTTGAAAACATCTGTATAAATTAGACAATACTTATTGAAAGACATAAATAATTCAAGTGGCAAAGCTCCATCGAAAATGTAATAAGTCGACAATTTTGTGATTTTTCAGTTAAGAGACAGAGTAAGAGAATTACTCTTATCTTAAAGTAAAATCAGGATTGATTTCATGAATTAAGCAATTGTGAAAAGATTTGTGATGTAAATTAAGCAATAATTACACATTATGTTGAATAAATAAATAAACGCTAAACAAAGGAATTTTCTGGTATATGAAAATTGAGCTGGGTTTGAACTTGTTATTGTGTAAAAGTTTTCGCTTGAGAGAAAGTACAAAGTCACATGACGAAAAATTCCCTCAGGCAATTCCTTATATCGTCTCCTATTTCCTCTTTGTTTTCTTTTTGCTGGCAGCAAAATTCACGTGTAGTTTGTATCGCCAAGCAACAGCTGTTGGGCGGTAGTGGGAGAGTAAATAGCGTTAAGTTAGTCGAGTTTACTTCCGGTTCCATGGAAACGGCGGAGTTTCAACAAAAAGTCTCGTTCTCCCTCCGTCGCGTCCAGTACGAAATTGTCATTCTGTAGAATCAGAGTTCGCAGAAAATCTCTGCAGAGTGAGTTTTTTGCTGGTAGATTTTGTCATTTGGCGCCTGTGTGAGTTGGAATCCGAGTGAAATGATAATGATTCTGTGCAAACTATGATGTCAGTGTCACATTCCCATGAACTCATGACCCTTCTCATCATCGGAGTGTTGTTCTGCATCTCAGCACTCTTCAGAGATTCCTGTGCAACGAATCTGGAACAGTACCTCACTCAAGGCACGTATTCTACGGATTAACCGCTGTGTTGAATCATCGCACTTCAGTGTTTGTGTAACTCTTGCGCTCATATTTGAACTGTGAGATATGCGTGGTTGATCACACTTCCGGCCACTGTACCCAGTTTTTCACAGAATTTTCAGGAGCTCTTGAAAGCCATTTATTCCCAGTGCAATCCACTTTTACTCAGGCTTCATAATGGATGAACCAATTATTCTGTCAGATTTCAATTAAATTCATTTCTTTCTTTTGACATTGTTGGGAATTTTCCGCCCTGGAAAGTGGAACATTTTGTGCTTTACAGGTTTATGGGCGGCTATAGAATTTTTTGATCTGGCTTATTCTAATTAATTAATCGCTTCGCCACAGTCAAAGGGCCGTTCTATTCTATGGCAACGTTTGAAAAACATTGATCAAACTGTGAGAGTTGTTATAACGATGCGAATATGATAAAAGTTCAAAGTTCTATCATGCTCATCATCCATCAAGACTACAATTTTGCATGTTTCTTCGCTCTCTTTTCAATTTAAATACAACATTCTTTCGAATTTTAAAACATTCATCTACCTACGAAAATTTTATTTAATAAAAAATGATGGGATGTGTTCATAGACACTTGTTTATGCCTTGTAAACAAATAGATAGACAGGAAGAATACACCGAATTATTAAATCAATACGAAGTCTATGGCCTTATTACAAGCAAACTCATACTTTCCAAATTTGTTTTCATTCATGTTCCTCTCAAATGCGCCCAACTATTTTGATGTACTATCACGGAAGTGGATTGGATACAGTTCGCGTTTGTTTTGACAACATTCCAGACAGAATTTCTGTCTATCTAACAAATTTATTGAAAGGTTCATGAACTCTATTTTTGGAAATAAATTCACTATTTTTGTATAACTAATTTCAATTATTGCCACTTATTTTTAGAAACACATCTGAATGGAAATACTCTCCATGGATCAGAGAAGGAGATCAATTTGGAAGACTTCTTTTGGACGGGTTCAGGCGATGGACCGCCAGCGTACTTGCGGAAGTCTTCTAGTGACGCTGATTCAACACGAGTTCGTCACACATTCATCAAGACGTCCACTGTCCTTGCCACTGTCTATATAGATGGATATTCTGAGGGAGAAACTGATCCTCTGTGTATATTTGACTGCTCCGACGAGGAACCGTCTTCAGTGAACTACTCACCATCCGACAGGAGATACTGGCTTCTGACTGTTGTGGCTGGCTTCTTCAGTTCACGCGACTTCAAGATGATCGAGGAGAAGCTGGCCAAGCTCTACAGACTCGCTTTCTCTCGACAGCAAGCTCGTCACTTGGGCATTGCCAATGCCACTTCGCTGTCCTTTGAGAATCAGCTACGAAGGAAGAGGGAATACAAAGAGGACAACAATAGATTAGTCATTGTTCCGTCGAAAACTCTGCAGAATTACGAAGAAGAAGCCAAGACTTCTTCTAATCATCCAACTAAGGCAAACTTCACCATGAGGAACAACACTAAAGTCTTCTACAAAACCACAGATCAAACGAGTCAGAGAACGGTGAGGGTGATTATTCACAATTCAACTCAATGGTCAGAGTATGATCTGAGGAATACGGAGAATCTGGTAGATTACATCAATGAGAAACGGTAGACGATCATGATTTTGCATAGTAATAAGATTTCCTAATGTAATCTGATATCTTTCAGTGGCAACAACGTTCCACTTTCCAATCAAACCGAATTTATCTACACCGTTTTCGTGGGACAGAAGCCTGTTCTGGCGGTCACAGCTGCGGATGACATGAAATTGGTGACAGAACAGGAAATGATAAAAGTGATGGAGAACGATGTGTATACAAAAGCTGAGCGTAAGTTGTTAATCAATCACTGCATTAATTATGATATTCTTCATCAGCGCCATTTCTTTCAGCATACTTAAAGGAGCCTCTGGCCACACCGCTGATCCCCTCGATTTTAGCAAACGGAAGTACAGACATTTTCCAAGTTGCTACTGAAAATCCAATTATGTTTGCAATTATTTGCATGTCGTTTTTCCTCCTCATAATCCTCCTAATCAGCCTGGTGTTAATGACGAGAGCCAAAAGGAAACGGAGTGCCGAAGTTCGAAGGTGAGAAAGTACCGAATATGTGGGGGAATTTCATGTTTGAATCACGAAGAGTGTTAACACTAACTAAACAACAACATCGTGCATTCTTTTCACTTTTTCTGCATGGCGAATGCTCAGCAATTATGGGGCAGTGTGCTGTCATAGAGCTTTTATAGGGGCAATAAGGAAGTCAAACTTTCTGTTTGACTTTCATTATTTATTGATTCAACTATGGGTGTTTCTTTATGGGAATATAGAGCACTATATTATATGTTTCATTAGATTCTCTAAAGCCCAGTGTTTGTATTTCCCAGACTCGCTACTCAGGCATTGATATCGCAGAGCAGCACTCCATCGGGAAATCTGCATCCATCCCAGGGACATGACTTGGGAATCGACAATTTCGGTTTCCAGAAGTCATCACGCTTCGGTCAGGGTCAGAAAATTGAGAAAGGCAAGCCCACAATCCTCTTCCCGCTTCCGCCATCGTCACCGACGAGCAGGTATTTAGTAACTGTGTCATTCGTGTAAGGGAGGTATAGTTATTAATTATCGTAGCTCCACGTCAGATTCGTCAATTTACTATCCTAAGCGGAAGTCTCACCTGGATATTCAGGATGTCCTCGATGAGAAGTCCGCGTCGCTGTTCAGCAAGAAGACCGTGAAGATGGTTGATGGCAAGGACAAGGAGGAGCACAGTGATCACATGTACGCTACAATATCCAAAGGTCAATCGGGGAAGAAGAACAAGTATAAGAGTAGAAAGAGCAGAATATCGGATAATAGAGTGGGATCCATCAATGACGCCGGCGTTCAGACGTCGCCCACGTCTTCCGATCGGAGTGAAGCCACTTATGCCTTGCCCTCGCACAACGAAGACTTCAACGCTCACTATTACAGTGAGAAGTATGCTAAGAGTGAGATGTATCCTGAGCATCTCAAAACGGATGACTTCGAGGTGGCCAGCTCGGTGTTTGACTCGCCCAATGAGGCCATCAATCGGGAGATCCTGAGAGTGCTGCACAAAGGAGAAAAGTCTCCGGGCAGCGGAAGTATCGGATCGTATCTCAGCATGGCGTCAGTGAAGAGCTTTCCAAAGTAAGAATCACTTATCAGAGCCTCAAATTCAGCTAATCTTCATCACCTTTTTCGTTAGGTGTGGCGCTCCTGAGCCTCTAAGTCGTATTCTGGAACCAGTAACTGTGACGCACTTTGACTTGTACGAAGCTGAAGAACGAATGAAGTCTGGATCCAATGGGAATGGTTTGGAAGACATCCAGCTGATTAGGAGTCACAGCGATGGAACTGATCCAGGCGTTACAGGTCCAATAGTTTGGGAAATACACAGGAAGGAAGTTCTGCGGAAAAAAGGTAAAAATGTTATTTTAAAGAATTCATATGACGTATAATAAATTATTTCTTTATCAAAGGAATAATGAAAAAGGATACGAGTTTACCTGAGGATGGAGAACTTCCACTGAACTCGAATCAAATGAAAGGCGCAGTAAAGATGGAAAATAGGGGAAAATCAGCCACCATTTCCAGTGAAAACGAACTGTATCAGCACAATCCGACAGATCTCATGCGACCGGTGACGGCAAGCTTCCCACCATCCACAATTGCCGAGGAAACTTCACCCCCAACTCCTTCGAAGAAAGCCTGGAGCAGCAGCACTCCATCTCCATTGGTGAGGTCATTTGTGCTTCAGAGAGAACATTAGCAGTGATTTGATTTTGCCTTTTAAGGTGAGGCCTCTCAGTGCTGGACCTTTTCATCGACCGCCCGCTCCAGTTGTTGATGTCGCGAGAGTCCTTGCTCCGCAGAATCCTGACAAGAATCTATCCTCAGCCCCCCTTATCGAAGCGATACAGAATGAACTCAAGAAATTCAACAGAGGAGACAAGCAGTAAATGAAAACCAGCAATATTATACAATAAAACCATTACTAAAGATAGAATCTTCATGTGAAGAGCTTTCAAGGATTTTCACCAATAATATTAGCGATAGGATATGAGTTATAGAAATATTTTACACATGTGTAAATATAAGTTTTTGTAATTTTTTTTTGTAATTCTCATATTTATTTACTGCATAACTTTGGGTGATTTTGTGTGTTTGAAAAAGTGTTTTTGGATTGAAATTCAATATATGTAAGAAATAAAAGTAAGATATATTGTTAGTCGAGTAATTGTAATCTATAAAATAAAAATCTTGCAAGGCGATTTTGTATGCAACTTTTCGAATAAAAATTTGCGAATAGAAAGAAATGGAAGTTTCATGCATTTTTGCATTTATTTGCCAATATTTATACATATTTAACAATTATCCATTTAAATGCAGAAGTAGACGTTATTGCAACTCTTCAGCATAATAAATTTGGGAAATTCCAGTTGATAAACACTCCATACAGTTAGATTTACAAAAATTCATTTAACTTTTATCCCTTTATCTTCAATTTGCAATAGAACTTTGAATTCTCTAAAAATTTCTTCTTTGGTAATAAGAAATTTTCACCAGCCTTCGTGAATTCAAAGTTCCATTGTCGCAAGAATGTTTTTCCGTGTAGAATTTTTCATTTATACAGTGAGAAGTTAGATGTCATTTTTTTCCATCAGATTATCAAATTAACTGAAGCTCTTAAGATTCGGTAAAAGGGTTAGTAATTCGTCGTAATCTGTGCTCTCCAGCTCGTCACTCTCGCGCCCAAGTCGCGGTGTGTAAATATCATGACGACTCTTTACTGAAAGAGATGAAATCTTTAATTATGTAGGCCAATCTCGGGGTAGATAAGAAGCCACGCAGCGAAAAGAGCATCTTCGCTAAGCCCCTTATGTGAGGAACCTGGCGAAATGCCACTGTGAATTTAGACTGTTTTCTCATCATGTCATAGCCAGAAGCGTTTTAGGTATTTAACATCGATAATTCACCTTTACACCTTGTTTTGTTCACCTTGGATTGTGTCGTCATGGTTGGGACTGCGCTTTTGAATCCTTCCCAGGCGTGGTCCGAACCAGAGACCTCCGTTGGCACCCACGCCTCCTGTCCGCTTGCCGTACTCCTCCCGGGCGATTTTAGCCCACATCGGTCCAGCCCTAGCTCGTCCAACTCGCGGAAACGGTATCAAGCCCTGTCGCTTCATCTCGTATTTGGGAACATCTGGAACGAGGATTTGGCGATGGAAATTTATCCAAAATCCCGGCGGAATGTGCATATTTATTGTAAGAAATACCATAATCCTCTATTGAGTTCATAACGTTCTCGTAGGCAATCATTTCGGGATCAGATCTTCCGACTCTTGGGAAGGGGAAAAGACCCATGTTTCCAGACCGACGGGGCTTCGATTCTTCCATGTCTCCTTTGAGTGATAAGAATAATTTCTATAAATGCAGTCACACACTCAAGAAGATAACAAATTTTGAAACTTCTTTTTGCCAAATTACAGCGTCACTTTCAATATTCAAATGCATTTTCTCTAAAACTCTTGTATAAACTCACTGCATTTCACTTGGGGTTTTCTCTCAACTCAAGACATATGTTTCAAAAGCAATCTTACCATCTGCAGCGTAGGCAATGTGCGTGGTCAAGAGGATGCAGAAGATTGTGTATAAAATGACAAATTCAAATGCTGATGACGATCTGGCCATTGTATCCGAATGGAATTTTCCTAGAAGAGTTCCTGCCTGACTTCCAACAAGGATTACACTGTCTGGGGTGAGTCTTCAAGGAACACAAACTGTGCCACTGAAAAGTCTCCAGGTGTTGCTGTATCAGACGAGATGCTACAAGTCGTTTAATGTTGGAGCATCCTCGTCTCAGCTTTTATAGCATCCCGCGGGAATATGGCAATTCGGTATTGGCGGTTGACGCTTGCGCGCCTTCGTCCTGGCGGTGGAACCTCGATGCAGCGGCCAAACGTGAGAAGGAGTGAGAAGGTAACGCAATTTGCGCTAAATTCATTTCTTCCTTGCCGCCGCTTACGTGTGGAGGACAAATATGATCTGATCCTTTTAATGCCTCTGTGTAGGCTGACGAGCATCATTACTCGGGGCTAATGTGGCAAAAAGAACTCGTGGAGAGATGCAATAGTGCGAGGCCACCATCTGGAGTGTTTTATGCGTGAAGAATTCAATTTGCCTTCAGTTTCCATCACGGAACAAAAAACGAAGAATACTGCTGCCCATGGACATATTCTTCTAAAAATACCTCAAGCAGCACAAATTTATGTAAATCTTATAAGAGAAAATCCTTCATTGATTGGCAAGAACACATACGGTGCTGCACATTTTCATTTTACCCTCTTCGACCGGTCATCTCGTCGCCATTTTATTCACCACCCACGCTTTTCGTCACGGTGAATCATATAAGAATAGAATTAGTAACACTTTCAGTCCCCAAAATGCTCTCTCCTTTTCCACTTGAAAGTGTGTAAGTAATTTCTTGATTTTCTTGACCTTTCGCCTCTCTTCTCAGCACATCCATCATTCATCGTCTTTCATTAGGGGAATCGTAATTTATCAAATGTTGGGATAAATGTCCTGATTTGTGTGCGGATTGATTCATCAGTCCGAAATCTCAGAGACGAAATCGCGCCCAGGAATGTCCTTCTTCCGTTCAACCTGAGCGTGAAGACGTTGCAAAGCTCGGCCGCCCTGCAAAGTGGGTGGAGAGAGAGAGAGAGAGAGAGAGAGAGAGCAACAGGGCGTCGAGCACTTTTTCTAAATTAAGCCTTCGAGTTGTTTGGAATGTCCTGATGACGTCACATCCCTCCAATCTATTCCCATCAGTTTGTTGATCTGCTGAACGGGGAAGAGTGTATGGGATTAGTCAGCGAGCACAACGGGATTCCTTGAGATGTATTAAAGTTTAAAATACTTCAGAATCGGGTGTAAATGGTGTGTGTCATTAAAAATAGAAGAGGAAGCGTTTTTTTTTGCCAGTAACACTGCGTCTTGTGAGCTTTAAAAGCACACATTGCGAATCCATTGAGATACATTTCACGAGAAGAAATCCTTTTGTGTAATCTTTTACCACGCATGAGGGCGGGTGGTAATCTCACCTAATCGGAAAAGTTGTTCGTGCGTCCCTCAGTTCTTTGGCAGAAGTGCGATTAAAAATACATTTTGCTCCTCACACCAAATCAGATGGCAAAAACAGATAATCTGGCCCAGAGAATGGAAACATTTATTGCAGAGAAATGCTCACCACATCAAATCAATAGTTATAATCTTTCACTTCTTCGCTCGTGTTATGCTTAACACGTTTTGTCTCATCAAAGTTAGAGACTAAATCCACCCCGAAACGCTTTCGCCAGTCACTGAGGACTTTCCCTTTGATGTCGAAATGGTGACGCGCGAGCGTTCCGAAGGGTTTGTCAGTAATCCTCTGCTTTCCAATGGAGACAATATTGTCTTCAATTCCGACACAGAAGCCTCACTCTGGACAGGCTGCAACGCTTGAGGTGAAGACTGTAAAGCAATAGATAAACTGGATGTAATCATGATTATATGCCAGCAATTAGAGCTTCACTAACGTTGCAATCTTTATTTGGAACTTCTTCGATGGGTGTTCTCGGTCGCTGATGTTTCAAAGATGCTGTTTTTATGTCTTCATCCACCAGTGAGATGTCCATAACACTTTGCTATGCAGAAAAATACACGCCATGTATTGAAAATATTCCAATATTCACAATTTACTTACCTTCTCAGAAACCTCTTCTTGGACATTATTACATATCGCTTCTTGACATTGCATCACTTCAGGCAATTGTGGGAGTTTCGATAATGTAGTTTGATGTACATTAGATGATTTGGCATCTTTATCCTTTTGAATGGTGTTCGCCATAAATTTCACATAAGCAACACGTGTCTTTGGAGTGACTTCGGAAAGTTTAGGATTGAATTCTGGAAGTAAAAGGATACAGAAAACCTGCTATTTTTAAACCACCTTCAGTCCTAAATATACCAATGATTTTTTCCGTATCCACTGAGATTCCTTTCTTCACGTTATCCGCAATGTGTCTTCTGATGCTGTTTGTGTTTCTCCTCACTGAAGATTTTTGCACACTTCCTATTGGATCTGCAGCGGCATTTTTGGTCGCAATAACACTGTTCCAATCCTTGCCGCTTCTGCAAATGCAATCATTGAACAAAATCAATTTCACCGCTTTTCCCATTGCCATTATAAATACTCACAATCTCTCACTCTTCTTGCCGCCAATCACTTTAGCAATCTGACTGAAGACATCCTTCGGTTCGCGACTATTGAGACACTCACTTAATAGCCCTTCGACAAATCCTATTTGGAAATCCTTTAGAATCCGCCTCTCTATGACACGTCCTTTTTTCCCAGCAACTAATTAGCCCGTATTAGAGCGTGCAAAGACAAGAGATACAATTTCATTAGAGAGATTAAAACAGCGAAACATCAATGGTAATTTAAAGTGCAACACGCCTCTATTAGATTTTCTCTAATTATAAGGACTTCTTCAGAGTGTGCAAACTCACTTGCAGCGTCTTTGGGATCTATTCTTGGTGTTTTCATTCCATTCGTGTGCAGGATGTCAATGAGTTCGTAGCGGAAACTGTTGATGTCCTGCAACGCAACATAGAGGGACATTATTAAAATCCTGCAAACATTTAATTACTCACCTGGCGAATCTCCATTACGTCATCCTCTGTAATTCCGAAATCGTCACGTTTCCTCTGCTCTGCAGTCACATATCGTCGCACCAGCAAACGCATCACGTTATCGTGACGCTTTCGCACTTTTTCCCGTGATTTTTTCTGCAATCATCGATGTATAATTTCACTTAACAGAATTACAATAATTTAGCTTATAACTTGCCATTACGCTTCTTGAAGTTCTTGACTTCTTCATCAGACCCAGAAACCTGAAGGCAATTTTCATGGATGGAAACAGATTGAATGGAGGCGGCAAGGTTGTTCCATCCTCAAAGTAACTCATCCACAGTTGAGTGCGAGCAAACTTCCATTCGACATCGGATCGTTCCTTGGTAGAGAACAAAGTTATGCAGACAGAAACAATATAATTAATAATAATGGAAGTGCTTCTCATACCGATATAATCTGATAAGAATTGCTCATCATCGCAATCAGCATGTTGAGGAGGACAATAATGTTGATCACACTGTACGAGCCGAACATGAGGAGAGCCCAGAATCGAGTGAAGCTCTTGATGCCTTGCAATTCAAATGCCATCAAGTCCACCAAGCCAAAGGATGCCCAGAAGAGAGACTGGGAAGTCTCGAATAGGCTGCAGAAGGAGAACATCATGAGCAATTATCCACGATGATTATCTCATAAAGTTTTACTTAGCAAATCTCCGCCAGATCGAACAAGCTTTCTCGTGATTGTCAAAATCAGGCACTTCTGTTGAAATGTGATAGCATTTATTCTTCTCCAAGTCAGCGTAATACCACATCAATTGGTTCAATCCTGGCGAAGGAGAATTGCAGAAGAACAACAATTTAGAGAAAAAGTCATTACACAACTACGCAATTTAAACTTAAGATGTTACCACAGCCGAAGGCAAACAGGACGAGTGTGTAGATGAAGAAGAACTTTATAATGTCGATAATCATCCGCCCGAGGGACACTTGAAGAGGACCCAAATGCGGATTAATTGAGAAGATGTGAACTAATTTGAGGAAGGAGAAAATCATTCCGGCTGCAAAAGCTCCCTCTGACAGTAGCATCGGATCGAAGGGATCCCATTGTTCTCGAGGATACCAAGGATTCAGTCCCGCCCCGGCGTCTCTCTTCATTACAGAACATCATTAGACTGCAACATCAAAATGCATTTTGCTCAAACATCTATCTACCTGAACTGTGTACCAAGAGGAGAATCTCAGGCAAATCCACATGACGTAGAACACATTGGATATGAAATCGACGATATTCCACAGATCCTGAACATAGTCCAGCAATCCGCCATTCCACAATTGCTTCATTTCGCCGTAGATGAGACTGATGATGTACAAGATGACGAAGCATTCGATAAAGCCAGGTGCTGCGCCTCGTTCGTGCTTCTTCCACTCGTCCAACAACGACAGAAGCCATGGAGTGCCGATTAGTTCCAAAATCAGATACTCCACCCGCTGAGACGCTAATCCCAGAAGCACTGCAAAGAATCAGATCGCCTCAATGCGAACCCACACACACACACACATTCCGTGACGCCACACTCACGCAGAAAGAAGGCATAGCTGGAGGAGTGGCAGATGAACTTCACAAATGGCTTCTTCATAAACTTGCCCATTTGCGAATTCGGGGCCAACATATAAATTACACTGTAGACGGGAAACATTGCTCCGAGCTTCGCCACTTGCATCGCCTGTCCTATCATTCCTTTGCGCCGAAAGCCAGGGAGACCCTCATACCAGATGGCCGCCAGGAGCTGTTGAACATTGGGATGGGCGACGAACTGGTGGGGAAGACGGAAAGATATGTGAGGAAGTGAGACTTTTCCAATTATTGCCAAATTGAACAAAACGATGTGAGATTGAATAAGTGATGGCAAAGTTAGTGAGGCAAGACGAGGAAACTATATAGTGTAATTAATAACTCACCTGCTTCTGTTTATACTTGATTGCCAACTTGAGGCGCTCCAGCGTCTGCCTCTCGCCCGGCTCCCAATTGTCGTTCCCCATCGCCCCATTGTAGTTGAGCATGATTTCCAATTCGTGTGATGTCCTGGTGTGATCCAGCAGTGCTGTGGAGAATTCCTGGCAATTTTTCTTCATATCCTGACATGAAACAGAAAGAATATGCGTTGGTGTTTCACTGAGATAAATCCACCCCCAAACCCCACGGGGAGCGCAATAAATATTTCTTCACGCGCTAAGAAATCATGCATAATAATAAAATGAAAGCCTCACATTGTATTCCAAGCGGAACTCCGTCTCCATTCGACTTAAGCGCCTCAGTTCCCATGACAATTCAAATGTAGTCAAAATAGGATCCCGCGAACTCAGTGCTATAAGGGAGCTCGACGACAAGGCCTTGTATGCATTTATCCTCGACTGCGAGTGCCGCAGAGAATCTTTCTCATTGGATACCACGCACTCATCGCAACCACACCTGGAAAGTGGGAATCAAATCCACGTTAATTACATTCTATTTTTCTGCTGTGGCTACATAAAAAATAAATCGCGCGAGAGAAAAATGCTCTGTTAGCCACTGATTTACCGAGAATTCCTCTTTTACAACTTGCTTATAATTGTGGTGTTATCAATTTGTTCATCCCTTCTGTCCTCTCTTTATGCAAACAAATATGCGTGTTCAATTCAGCGTCACCGAGAAACCCTTCAGCAAACACTGTCCTTAATACTTTCATCTAGCAATGCAGAAGAAACATTGACAGAGAATTTCATACACACTATTTATACGTGACAGTATTTAACATAAACTTATATCGACGATGTGCTTTGCTTGCTTTCAATCTCATGTAAATTCACAATATGAATATAAGCTTTTCATCTGTTTTTGTGACCTTCTAATGAGATAAAATGCCATATTTGAGTGGTGGTTCAGTGGGCGGTGAGACATTAATAATTACCTAAATTAATATTGAGTTTATCTCTTATTCCTCAGGGTAATTTCATTTTTTTTCACTCATTATGCGTCATACTCAACATAATCAAGATTAAAAATCTCTCACAACGACAAAGTCTGATAAAAACTGAATAAATTCACCTGACATCGTGTGGAACTGGAAGAGTTGCTCCTCGATCCAGGAGTGTTTTCAGGATCTCATAGTTGTTTTTGTGAGCCGCGAGAATAAGTGGCGTGATGTCAGGGGTGAATGTACTGGTGGCCTGATTGACAGCCTCCCAACTCTGGTGGAAATGAGTGGAAAACAACCTTGTAATTCACGAAAAAAAATCATATGTCCTTAAGCCATGGCAATTTACATAAGGCGTTCCAGGTTTGTGATGTTGCTCTTCCCACAGCAGTAGAGTTTCTACACCCTCAACGTACTCCTCCGATATGGCATGAAGAAGAGCGTCCTGGAAAGTATTCTGAGCTGCAGAAAGACTGGACAAGGACATTTCTCGGTGGGAAGAAATACCTTAACCTCAATGCCCTCTTCGAGAAGCATCCTGATGAGGTCGATATTCTCATTTTCAATTGCAGATATGAGAGCTGATCGCATAAGAGGATCCACACAGTTGATGTTGAACTCATCAGGTTGATCCTTGAACTGCGTAATAATATTCTTCACAGTCACTGTGTCGCCTCTTTCGGCGCTGAGGAGGAATTTCTTCTCAATGGGACTCAATATAATATCCTGAATGTCAATTTCGGCATCCCTCTTGCACAATCCAACAAAATCTTCGGTTGATTTCTCCTCCAAATCCACCGAAGTGGAATTCACTAGTTGCTCCTTTGACTCCGATATTCGCCTCATTGTGACACTGTGACGAATAAATTGTCATCCAAATGAACATGTAACATGAAACTTAGTGGCTAATGTATCGCATTTACACTAATTTAATTAATTTTATCGATTGTCTATTTATAAACCGCCACATTGTAGATTATGCACTGTCCAATTTGCATCGATTACACGGAACATGGAGGAGTGAAAGCGCACGAAAAGAATGGTTTTCCCATGAGATTAATCACACTATCTGCCTAATTACATCGCGACCAACACATCAGCAGCACTTCTCGACGCATTAAAGTGAATTCCTTCCATGGACGGCCTTTTGGAGAGACTCTCTTGACCGTCTTCCACCGTTGATCGAAAAGAACTGAGTTGATATATTGAAGACCAAAGGTTCCAAAAGACACACACTAATCATATTAGTGGGTGACATAATTGTATATATTACATAACACAAATCCAGAAGACCTTTTCCACCGAATGTGTAAACATGGGTGAAGTATTTGGATTAGAGGGTTAAGGCGCCTCGTCTCGCGAATGTCTGACCAGCAGAATGATTATATGTGCTCGAAGGGTGGCGGCGAGTGTATCAGAGCCACCAAAAGTGAAATTGCGATGTCCGCATTTCACACTGGATTATATATACTCCTTCAAAATTGAGCTCTGAAACTCCTCTCAACCTTACTCAATACAATTTATCGTCAAAACATCGTCATTTCTCAAGTCCCAAAAGTAAAAATTTTCACTCATGCTCATTCCGCTAACGCGTTGTTTATTTTCACAACACACTGTTGATCGCTGTGTTGTGGAAAACACGTGTTGAGAAAGGAAACCGTACAGCAGAAAGTGGAGGAAAAGAAAAAAAAAACCTTATTATCCAGAGAAGATGGTTTAATAGTAAAGGCGACAGTGGCACATGTGCAGTTGTGAGTACGAGGAGAATCATTAGTCCGTCGCGGCGGTTCAAAAAGTCGCGTGCTCGCGAGATTTAAATATAGCACAGGCCTAAAAATAGGCCTTTGACAAAGAAATATGTGGATAATATGCGCTTTTTGCTGAAAAATTCATCCCGACACGTTGAGAGTATGCAGACGGATTTCATGCTGAAGCACTTTGCAAAATGCTCGGACGTCAGCCTCATGAGTAATTCATGGATTTCATGGATTTCCGCCCGATGTTCTCCAGCGCGGGAATTTCTGCTGAGCAGTCAAAGGAGTGGACAGGAGGCTCGGCGGTCGAATGACCTCACAAAACCTGCGTATTGTTCCATGTGTGGGGCTTTTAAGAGGCAATTTCGTGACAATCACATCTGTATGTCACTGCGTACGTGAATATATTTATAACTATATATGTGTGTTTCTGACGAGCACGCTCTCAATATAACTCTAATATCTTCTTACAAACAGTCGCTCCGCAGAACTATAGTGAACCGGTGAAAGGCGAGAATTCTTCCCGAGGAATTTTCTCAAAATCACTTCATTCTCCCCATTCATTCGCGATTATTAGCAAATATCTCCGCCATCGATCCGCTGTTTAGCGTCAACCGTGTCATGGATGTTTCTCGTGCAATTTGTTGTGCTCCACTGCGAATAATCTGTTAAATATCAATTCACATCGACTGAGTGTAAATGAGATTTTCTGAATTTAAGTTAACCATTTTAGAGTGTGTGTTGATTGTGCTGCACAAAATTCCCACCCAATTGAACTGAAACGAGGATTCTCTGATTGGATCATTCTTTCAACCTTTGCGCTGGGCTTCAGTAATTCTAAACTAATATTAATCATATTATTAACTAATTCTATATGGTATAAAAAGTGCCTCAGGAGGAAGAGAGAGAGAAGGAGAGTTTGAACTCAATAAATTTTTATTGGTGAACTAAAAATAAATTTTTGTGGTGTAAACATGTATTAGGTGTATAGATAAATATTTTCACTAAATTTATCTCTTCTTTTTTACCAACTAAAATCACCCTGCATTGGACGCTACACTCCGTGATTTATAAATTCAATGTGATCACACCTACTAATAAATGTATCGCATGCCTTGCAAATTCACCGAGAAAAGCAGACACTTTGTACAAATATTCTAACGATGCAACGAATTTTAAGCTACCAAACGGCAATGAGCATGAGGGCAACAAGTGGTCGAGAAGCTCGAGAGTACATCACGAAGAGAATATGCATAAGTTTCGTATTCAGTATTGGATTTTTCACCCTCATTGCAGGTGAGTCAGCACACTGTCGGACTGAATAGCCATTTAAGCGCCACTTTCAATTTCTTCTGCAGGATTTCTGCTCGGCAAATTCACCACAGATCGCCAATACTACATAAAACGTTTACGAGAAGCAGATGTTTCGGCTGTAAAGGAGCTCGAGCACACTGTGGAAGATTTCTATGCCACAGCCAAGAACATCACGGCCTATCAGTCGACGATGCTCCAACCCAACACGAATGCAAGACTCTGGGAAGTGTACACGAAGTGCGGCTGTTCGCTGCAGAAGAATGTGGATTTTGACGAGAAAGTGGATGATTTTATGGAGCATCTCATCAATGCACATCTCAAGAGCTTCACCAGCTGTCTCAAGACACTAGATGGGCTTTTGCACACAATTGACGACTGATGTATCACAAATCACAACTATTGAATACAACTTTTCCATTAAAACGATAAAAAACTCAATTAATTCGTTTGATGATCGTTTGGCAAGAGAATGCGCTTCGAATTGGAAAGCAATTCGCAAGCTGTCGGCCACTGTTCTTAGATGGCGCCAGTGCGCTTGGATAGCAATTTTCCAGTTGTCGGATAGCGATGAATTCGTGGAATTTGTGGAATGTGTCAAAAGGTGTTGTGCGGACGAATCTCAATCGCTTGGGGAGAAGGCATTTTATTTTGTTTGCTGTAGTATTTGCTCTTATTTTTATTACTAGAACACTCTCTGTTTGTCCAAGATACGAGCGTGATTGAATTCTATGGTGAAGATATCTGTGGTGCTAAGAGAAAAACCAGTGTGAATTTGTGTGGTAGAAAAAAGCACCTTCGCAAAGAAGGCAAGGCAAACTTTGATGTTTTTCGAGTTTTTTGCGTGAAAATGAAAATGAAATCAGCGTAAATTGAATTAGGACATCAAATTGCTGTGGTGTTGCAAGTTTTCTGGCTGACGAGCGTGAGAAATGAGGGTGAATTTTGCAAGGTGAAGCTCTTAAGACCGTCTTCGAGGGACTCTCTCGCTGTTGTTTTCGGGGACAATTGGACACACCATGGACAGGTCAGTGAGGTCAGGAGGGGCGCCAGGCGAGGTCAGGATGTGTGACGTGTGATCTGGACATTTGTCTCATTGCAGGAGGAGCAAAATCAACAAGAGCACAGAGGAGAAGAATGCTGGCAGTGAGAGCATTTTGCCCGGCAATGCGTTGGATAAAAATGAAAGTGGTGAGTAACACGACCTTATTCCGCAATGGGAGCTATAAAAAATCGTGCACATCGCACCGGAAATCACAGGCAAACACACAACAAACGCGCGTTTCGATGCACATCAATACTTTTTTCGCTGGGTTTCCATGCAAACGCTCAAGCAGACGAACAGCTAGTCTAGGTCACGACAGGTGGGATTCTTGTGGGTGTCTTGAGTGAAGATCATATAGGAATCGTAGTGGATTTCAAGGAAAATATTCCTCAGTTTGAGAATTGGGAGGATTTCGTTCATGTCTCACGACTAAAAGAACTAAAATGAGCAGTTGTTATTGATCCTGATCTTCAAATCATGATCCATAGGCTATAAAAGATCAGCTAATGTTCCTTAAAACCTTGAATTCTGACGAAGAAAAGCTTCTTCAGCAGATTTTTGCCTAGAACAGAGACAGAACCTTTCCGATTCAATCACAGTATTTGTGACTTCTCGACGTGGAAACGCGCCTTGACGTTGTTTTCATGCTCACAACAATGCCACACACAGTTCTTCGGCAGGTTCTCAGTCAGTCACATGATAACTGTCCTGTGTTGTCTCTCTGGCAGGTGCAAATTGCCTTGGGAAGCGCAAGAAGTCATCCAGGAATCGTCAGCCGGCGGGCAGGAGCAGCACCAATTGGAGCCTGGATCAGTGGCTGGAGAACTGCATGCATCCCGACAGTGGAATAGTCAATTCCACGGCAACGGGGCCGCTGATTCTCAGTCGCGAGAACAATTCATCGCCGAGAATCTTTCCCACAATGTCGCAGGCGTATCCAGCTAATGTCTACGAACCGGTACTTTGCGCTGTGAGAAAGGTGTATGCCTAATGCCACTTTAATACTCTCTCTCTCCCCATCTCTGGCCAGATCTACAATCACACGCCGCTCAGCTTCTCCACGCCTGACGCGTCGAAGAATGGGCCATCGCATGTTCACGGCTCGGATCTCGGCAGTCCGTCCAATGAGCTCGAAAGGGAGAACGCCCCGAAGTCGCTGCAGGAGAATCTCCAGGGGGCGGCGGATGTGGAGAAGAACAGGTGAGAATGGGTTTTCCTCGACGCGATCGCGCTTCACTGGTCACAGTGTGAAAGTCAATCGATATTTTCCCGCTCTTGCCAAACGGAAATCCATCAACTGTCGCGTGATTTGCACAGTTTTGCCGCCAAACGGAGATATCGCGCTTTCAGAGGCACTTATTGATTCCTCCAAGCGTAAGTTTCCAAGTCTTATCGATTGATTAATAAATGTTTGTGGGGTTCGTGGTTGAGAAATCTGACTTTGTGGAGAGAAGCATGTGGAATGCGCGCAAGGTTGTTTCTCAAAAAGCAGAGAAAAATTATATTTCGGAAGAAGGGTGGCGAAGAAGTGGAGAAAAATATAGTGTAACATGCTTGAAATTCAGTGAAATTTATGGTAATTAAGCAAGATCACAATCAACACAGCGTGTCTTCCATTAACTGTATAGTTATCATTTGGCTGTGCGGGGAGAGATATTAAGCATTTTTGATTTGCAAATGCAATTAAGAGAGCGACTCATAAACATTGAAGAGAAGGCGCACAAGCAAAAACCAAGCATTGCTGCTACATGTGAAACATATCATGTGGCATTAGCATACAATGCCCATCATGCAGAATGTTCTAAAAACGTCAATCTGGAGAGGGATTACAGTCATCACTCGCTTGATAACTTTTCATGACGATGATATGGAAACAGTTAAACTGCAGTCAAGGGCAATTGCGGAAAATGTCGAATTGTTTCTCAGTGTGGCGCGGGATTTCCAAAAATATGTGTGTGATAAATAAATCAATGCTTTTACGGTGGAATTATAAAATGTGTTTAACGGCCTCTATGAAGTGCCATTCACCAAGATACATATATCATTAGTAACACCCGCTCTTCAAGGCCAAACAAAATTATAGTGAGAAGCGCGTCTTTTTGTGAAATTTCAGTGATTCGAGGGCAAAAAAAATTACAATTGAAAATATAATATATTATTCAAAGCAGAACATTGACTATGTAGGTGTATAACTGGTCGCTGAATCGGGAAAGGTGGAATTGATGCTCACAGCAAATCTATGGGGAAATTATTCATGAAAGCATCTGCCATTCCACACTATTTCGCGCCAAGTGGACTCTTTTTTACCTCTCGCGAGCGCGACTCTTGATCGAAAAATCCGCTGACTGTGTCCGCGCTGGCGTGCTGCGTGTGCGTGCGTGGGGCGAAAGAAGAGGGGTGGCAAAGAGCCGAGGTGAGGTGTGATAGCTGTGATAGAGTGATATTTGATTTGGGGTTTTGTGGTGTTGCTCAATGGGTCGGTTTTCTGTGCGCACTAAGAGACACACTTCCTCCACTTGCAGATTCAGTGACTTGGGCATGACGAGCATGTCGGACAATGACTCGAAGGAGCGCGACGAGGAGGACGAGCTCAGCCCCACCAGCTCACGTGATCACTCCAATGCCAACAATCGTCCCGCAATTGAGGCGAAAGATGGAAAACTGCTTGCGACGCTGTTGGAGCAAATCTCCCTGCTTCACGATACCAATGCGAAGATTTGTCGAAATTTGCATGAGACTAAAGGTGAGATATATACTCTGCATTTTATTTTAAATTTGCCACTGTGGCTTTTCTCAGACTATCTCTTTGCCATTCACCACACAAGATAAAAAAAAAGAACTTTGTATGCAACAGAGTTTTCCAGTCTGTGTGTTGTTGTTGTTGTTTTTTTGTATTTATGTTGTCTGTTTTTTTCTCTCTCTTCCCGATTTTTATTCTCTGTGATCATTCAGTTGAGATTGAGGCTTTGAAACATGCACCTAGTTGGAGTCTACGTCACCGTAGAGATAGTAGCGTTAGTGGATTTAGCACCCACAGTCAACCACTGGGTTATGTCTTTGGCACACACAGTCCAGCACCAACGTATCACTCAGGTATATCTCTCTTTTTTCGTCTTCTCCCCATCATGACAATGTTCTGCGTAAGTCTCTTGGCTGGCTTGTCTTCACAAGCGTGTGCGCTCAATTCCCACGATAAGCATTTTATGGCAATCAACATGACCCACGCATCATAAAGATTCAAATACAATCTCTCTCGGGAGGTACAAAACGGCGCAAATTCCACTATTTAGAACAAATAAGCCGTCATTCTATTTCTTTTATCCACCAAAGTAACTCAAATTAAGACATTTATATTGCGAGATTTCAAAATCAAATAACCATAAATAATGTGCTTCAGATTCGATCTTGACGTATTTTTAGTTTTTAGCTTTTCCAATTTACCGCGTGTTAATTGAATTTATTATTCCTAATCCAATCTTTCTTATTATGCCGCGTAGCGAGATTTGCTAATTGGTATTTCGTTTGCAAATTTAGGCAATGCAATGCATGAAGGCTAATGCATTTTTCTCTGGTAAAAAAACACATTTGAGAATTATAATCATTAATAGAAGTTACATGAAATTCAAAAGAATTTTGCATTTCCAATTGATGAATTTTAACATTCAACGCTTAGAGAAAGCGCGCGTATTTCATAATAATTTATCGAAGTGAGTGGTACAAATCGTAATTGGTTATTATTGCAAAGTAAAAAGCCACACAATTAGCATTTAAGAAAACCCATCTATTATTATGTATTATGTATTTTGCTCTATATTCATCCGTTATAATTTGTGTAATCTGTTTATTTTGTAATTCTATCGGATTTCTTTTATACCTATAAATAACGCTTTTATATTGCGTGATAATTTCTCTATCTTTTATCTAGCAAAATGTTCAATTCTGCTTCTCAAGAAATTGAGGAAGCGAATAAAATCAGATTAAGACTTTTTGTGTGTTGTCAAATTTGCACATTTAATTGAATATCAATATCAAAATATGACAGATAAATATCAAGATATTGCCAAAGACACGTTGGCGAGTGGAGTTTTTCTTCTCAGACACTCTCTTTGGGTGTCTTTTTTTTTTGGGGATAGAGAAGAAAAAAGGCCGCGCTTTGAGGAAGAGTGTGTAAATGAAATTGCCGAAGAGGAGATCTTGTCTAAGTGAGAGTGTTAACAAATTGTTTACGCTTTTGTTGCTTCTCTCTTAGGCATGTACACACCCGGAATGGTGACTGATGTCATTCGCGAGGTGCGCGATGGAGCTCGAATACGTGAAGAGGCGATGATTCATAAGTGAGTTTATATTTGGGCAATTTCTCTCCCCCAAAAAAAAGCGCTTTTCACAAAACAATGCGCATTTTTTTCTCTCTCTCTCTCGACAGAGTGAAATCCATGCTGGAGGAGAACTCGTGGGCCATGAGTGAGATGAAGATCAAGCTGATGCGGGAGATGGAGGAGCTGAAGATGGAGATGCAACACTTGAGGACGGAGAAGAAGGAGCTGAGCAATAAAGTACTGAAGATGGAGAATGAAATGCACACCTTGAGGGTGGCAATGAACAATAACAATTCTGCCAAGGTGCAGAAGACCAATTCGCTGGACGCGGAGAAACACCTGAACAGTGCTCATGTGAATTATGGCGTGGTGAAGCAGGAAGATGGAGAATTTTACGAGGTTGACATTGTCAATTCGCCGGCAAAGAAGTATTCGACGGCCTTTGAGAATCGCATCGCCAAACCGGTGACAATAAATTCCGATCAGAATCGCTTCTATGCAACACAAGTGCTCAATAATGGTAGCAATAAGCCGTTGGATAGCATGACGAAGAGTCTGTCGTCGGGACATTTGGTGCAGCAAGAGAAGGACACGTTGGAGCTTAGGCGAGAACTTCAGGATGCGATTGCGGGGAAGAAACACGCAGAGAGGAGGATTTTGGAGTGAGTTTGTGGCAAGAAAATACAAATTTCTTCACAAATTTGTCATAAATCTCTTTCCTTTCTGGTTCTTTCAGCCTCGAGCGAACTGTTGCAAATCTGCAGAAGGGAATGAATCGCTCCAGTCCAACTGTTGATGGCTCGCAAGAAATCACAACAAATTCCACTATGACAAAAAGCGCTGAAAGACACTCATCACACGTTAAGATTGATCTTGAGTCACCAAATGGCAAGAATTCCACCATAATTCCTGTGGCATCGCAGATTCAGACTGTGGGACAGAAGGCGAAGATTTGCCTCACGGGAATGGTGACGGATCTTTAGAGGAGGTGTTTTATTAACCATTCGAAATTCCTCTCGAATATTGTGCCATTTGAAAACATTCTTTCCCCTTTGGATTGAAATGCATTTTATTGCGTTTTTGCCCTTAATATTTTTCACATTCACATTTTTTGTCACGTACAACAATTCATTCAAGTATTTTCTTTTTCTTTCTCATAAGATGACTAATATTTATATTAACGCAAATAATAATAGTGCCTTTAATTATTGCCTTACTTAATGTATGATGAAAAAAAATGTACATTTGGAAAGAGATAATATGATTTTTTTGGATGAAATATAAGTAAGTATAATACGGAAATACTTTTGTACGTTTGTCTGACGGTGGGAAAACGAATTCAACGGAAAAACTCAAATTTCAGTGGTCTCTTAAAGTCTCTTAACTTAAAACTTTATCTCTACTTGATATCATTTTGCAAAATGTACTTCATCAGGCGATCTCTGGACTCAGTATACGTCGGCTCTCTCTTGCGCAGACCAGACCTCGGCTGAGTGGTGTCGACGAGAGTGGTTTTGCGGGAAGAGTATCCGTGATTTATGAGGAGATTGTGGCAAATGCACACAGAGTAGATGATGTGCATCGCCTCTACGGGAGTGAATGGCAGTGGTTTGTCATTCAATAGGCACTTCCACTGTCCTCTGAGCATTGCCCAGCACTTGTCCATCCTGCTCCGGGCTCTGGCGTACAGTCGGTTGAATCTGCGCTCGGCCTCGTTGGCGGGACTCTTGAATGGCGCGATCAGAAACTTTTCCTTGCGATACGGCTGATTTCCCAGCAACCACGTCTCTGGATTCTCCACGTGAAGCTCTCTCATTCTCTCGATGTGGGGATCATAGATGTACGAGGTTTGATACAAGCCGCCATGAGTTGCTTGACAGCCAATGACTCGCATGTCCGCATCGCACATAATCTGGGTGATCATAGAGTGATAGCCAGACATGTTTTTGAACTCTTGCGCATTAAATGTTGGCTCAACGATGGCGACGTGGAAGCGCTCGAGAATCCCAACAATTCCGGGAAGTTGAGTGCATTCTTGAAAGCGATTCTTGAGCTCTGTTGCTCTGTTCTGATCCGTCGGAAATCTAGCAATGTATGCCCCAGCGCATACTGACAATGCAACAGTAATCTTCCTTACGAATCCCATCACTTGTTCCTCTGAGATCTTCTTGAAGACACCAATATTCCGTGGTATGCAATATCTGCCCATGGTCAGGAAGTTCAGCACGCACAAGACTTGAATGTAGATTGGAACCACCTCGGTTCTATCAAAGGACTCCTTGCTGAGATAGCAGGAAATCATCCTCAACACTTCAGGCACGAGATCCGCAGGGAGGCCAAACAGTCGTCGGAATCTAAACAAGCACACAATTCAGAAGAATCGCGGGAGGAGAAGTTTACTAAAATCTCTTACGTGGCTTCCGGCAGGTGACACGGATGCTGGAAGTCCTCCATGAAATTAACCATTCTGTGGACTTTCCGAAGAGCGTAAGTTAGCAAATCGCGCAGCGCTAATTCGATCATTCGGTCATCTCTTTCCTGCACGTGAATATCCCTGGGCAGGCGACGAATGTACCCAGCAATGCGGGTCCAGACCGGAGCGTAATCGTTGAGATCCATTTGCACTTATTTTTGCAGAAGTCTTTCGCGGAAGATGACTTGGTCAAACGAAAAGAAAACATGTCGGATGAGTGAAAAATCAGACGACAAAGCAATCAAGGATGCCGGAAAGCATGTATTAGAATTGAATTTACCTCAACTAAACACGTATCACTAGTGAATTAACATAAAAACAAGTATTATCAGACAAAAAGACGATAAACGGCAATTGAAAATTGATTGTCTGCGAAAAACGCGTCGCGGAGGCACAAAACATCGAATGGACCAGACAAACATAGAAAGATGTTCAGCTGGGTTGCATTGTTTTGATTTCAGTGTTTGTCATTCAGCGGCTCTGAAAGGATGGAATTGCGACAAAATCATTCTCCATGCCTTCAGAATGACACAATTCTTCGGCCAAACGCCGGTATAAAAAGGGAGAAGGTCCGTATGTTAAAGGACGTGGAGTCCAATCGGAAGATGATTCAACTCGTGAAGGAATTTCCCTTTCTCTACGATCGAAGTCACAAGCTCTTCTTTCACCCGCAATCCAATAAGAAGGTTTGGGATGATATTGGCGAAAGACTGGGACGGAGTGGTAATTATGCTTATTCATGCACATGTATAGTATCCTCAGAAATGTCCTGCTTCCAGGCAAAGAGTGTGCGAAGACGTACAGAGTGTTGTACATCAGGTTTGGGATTCACCACGTGATGCTCAGCAGTGTGGAGGCTCAGAAGAAAGGCTTCCCGAGGAGGCAGTTTCCTTACTACCAGGACATGTTGTTCTTAGCGAATCACATCGATCCAATACGTGCGCAAAAGCGTGCCAGGAAGATGCTGAGGACGGTGAAACTTGAGCAGGAAACTGAAGACACTCCCGAAACACCGCCTCAGCCAAAAGCACCGCAAACAAAGAAGAAGAAAGCCACAAAGAAGTCGGCTCAGACGAATAGTGTTCCTGTGCCTCTTGTCTTTCCCAACACCACACTCAGTTCTCCCCTGGAAGCCATGGAGGATGAGGAAGATAGTATTTATTGCGACAATTACTCTTATGTGATCGAACAAATTCCGTCAAATGTGAAATTTAACCCAGCGACAGATCAGGACTTCGCTGAAGACATTTGTCTCAACGATTTCCAAGGAAAGTGGCAGGAAGACATCCCGATGGAGAAGGTATTGCCTCTGGAAATGCCTCGCAAGGATCCTGCGAACGCTGAAGAAGTAGACTTTTTCTTCAATAGCGTCTCACAGCAAGTGGTGAGAGCTCGTCTGACGTCTGCCAATTTCTCAGATCTGAAATCATCAATTAGAAACGCTCTAAAATTCAACGGGAATAAACTGTAGAAATTGAATAAATTTTCTCAGTGCAAAAATCAGCTGTTTATTCAACCAAAGTTGGCAACACTTGTGTAGCCAACTTCAGTACGAAATTGAGTTCGCAGTCACAACATCAAAAATGAAGAGAAAAAGAAAGGACAAGACTGATTATTTTTTCAAAGATACTCTGATAAAAGCCGTGAAAAATTATCCCTGTCTTTACAATCCGGCAGACGAAGGATATGGAATTGCGGGTCTACAGGAAGAATCGTGGCGGCTTGTCTCGATTCAGTGTGAAAGACCAAGTAAGAAATGGATCCTCGACTGTCTTTCCTTATTTTAATTAATAACCCATCGTTGATTTCTTAGTTATTGACTGCAAGCACATGTTCCAGGAGCTCTTTGACAAATATGGTGAAGTCTATATGTCAAGGAGAAGCTGTAGACTTGGACGGAAAGAGAGGTTTAGGTTTTTCAAACCCATGCACTTCATGACACGCTTCATTCCATTCAATCAGGTGAAGCGTCGTCTTCTGGCAAAGTCCAAGTATACACCCGCAGAGAAACTGCTAATAGTGAACTATGTACACGACCCTAATCTGGTTCCGGACCTTGAGGAATTGAGGGTCAAGCCAGCTACAGTGCCGGAAGCGGGACATGATCCGATTTATCAGACGAATTGTGCCACAATTTCTCAGCCAACTCCATCAAGACCTATTCAACAGTATCAGCCTACGCGTCCGCAGCCAGAGCGAACAAATCTCAGTCCGAACAGGCAGACAAGTCGTGAACACGAGCGGTCTGCATCCGGAATCAATGCGACTGAATCTGAAGTGCAGCGATATTTCGCCAGTCTCTCTCAACAAATCATCAAATCTGACATCTCTCAGGAGGAATTCATTGAAATCCAGACGACAATTCTGAAAATCCTCGCTGAGAAATTGCCCCAATACAATTCTTAATCAAAAAATACAATGTTTTTCTATCAGTGTTTTGTGTTTATATGAAGCCGGTTTATTTTTATGCACACAAGTTGGCAGCAGTGTGAGAAGTGTCAGAAAATCTCAAGCACAAACTGAAGCTGTGCCATGGAAAATAAAGATGAAATTGGGGAGAATTTGGACGCTTCAGTGGTGGAGATTCCCAGAACAGATCCCATAATAGATCTAGTGCAGGATGAAGATGAATTAATGAACAGAATGGAGGAAAAGGGGAAAAAATCTGAAGTGATAAAGAGTGTTAATGGAACAAGCATGACAAACAATATAAAACCGGATGAAGATTTGCTCTCCCAAAATCTCCAGCTCACTCTGATACAGTTGGTGAAGAAGAATCCCTGCTTGTATGATCGAAATCACGAGAGGTACTCTGACACGGAATACAAAGGTCGTCTGTGGGAGGAAATTGCGAACAAGATGAATAAGAAGCGTGAGTGTTTATAATCTCTTCCTTCCAGTCAATTCAGTATGATTTTGTGCGTTAAATCCTTCCTTCTCAGGAGCCCTGGTGAAGCGGAAGTTTGCTAGTCTGTATCAGAGATTCGGGAATATGTACGTTATGCTACAAACTCCGGATTTTGTGAAGCAAGGATACCCGAAGAAGAAGTTCTTCTGTTACGAGGAAATGCTGTTCCTCAAGGATAAAATTGACGTTGAGCTGGTGAGGAAGCGAATCACACAGATGATAAAGAACGACAACATGCCACCAACTGAGAGGGTGAAGAAGAAGCCGAAGGCGGGCGATAAAGGAGGTCCGCCGTCCAAGACCAGGAAGTTGTCTTCATCAAAGCCATCACAGACATTTTCCAGGCGTCCTGCTGGTGGTCCTCAAATCTTCCAGAGGCGAATTGAACCATGGGCAAACATGTCAATGAACAGGCGAATTGAGCCGTGGGAAAATGTGTCGATGAATAACTTTGGTCCGGACAGAAATATGCCGCCAAATCCGGAGCCTCGACAGAATTTCCACATGAACGACTTCGGCAGAGACAACTGCATGCCAAACTTCCCAAATAACATGGACTCGGGCCCGGGAGGTCCAGGATTTCGTCCAGATCGCCCAGACTATATGATGGGCGATTTCAGAGACAACAGAATGCCAGACAGAATGTCACAAATGGATTCGCAGCCAAATTTTGGCCCGAACATGAATCAGATGAATGATTTTCCTGATTTCCCAAGAGACATGGAGAGATTCCCAAATGAGAGAATGCCTCCAAATGAGTCGAATCGAAGGAACTTCGATGGAAACCCACCTGAAATCAATTCAATTACCGACACTCATATTGATTTCTTCTTCAAGAGCATCTCACAGCAAGTGAAGAACTCCAAAATCTCTGACAGGGACTTCCTGGACTTGCAATCGACCATGCTGAGTGCACTTACATGTAAATTGGACATGTACAGGAAATAAATCGATGCACTTAGTGAATTTATTGTGTTCATTTATTTATTTATTTGACTTTATTGGGACGTCATCCATATGGATGGTTTCCACAGGCATGAAGTTTACAATAAATGTTGAATTTTTGAATCTTTGAAAAATTTTAACAGTTTCCTTATTTCACTATCATCGTTTCCTAATGCTATTATTGGGTCTTGATTAATTCTATTTCTAATTCTATCTTCTTCATATTTCTTACATTTAAAAATTATGTGATCAATAGTAATTACTTCATTGCAAATATTACATAATGGAGGATTTTTTTCTTGTCCACTTTCCATCAAATATCCATGTGTCAATCTTGAATGGCCAATTCTTATTCTTGTAAGTATTGTTTCTTCTCTTCTACTTTCTCTAATTGATGTGGCCCATGGAGATACATCCTTTTTAATCTTATGAAATCTCTTCACAGATTCTGAGCGCGGATCATTTACAATGTTATTCCATTCTTGATTCCATTTTTCTTTTATTTTGTTCTTGGCTAAAGCTTTTAAGTCGTCTGCTGGAATCAAGAATTTTTCATTTATTTCGTGGTCAACTGCTTCCTTTGCGGCTTTATCAGCTTCTTCATTGCCGTCAATTCCTGAGTGACCAGGAATCCAGATTATTGATATTTGTGCGTTTATGTTTTTAGCTAAGTATTTTATGTTATCAATAATTGGAGATTTGTCAGCCTCTCCCGATTGGATAGACTGAACCACGCTAAGAGAATCTGTGAATATTACAATATTTTCTGCATTTTGAGTGTCTTCTGCCAATTTAATTTCATATAAAACTGTTTCAACTGCATATGCTTCTGCAGAGAATATTGAGCACTCTTTTGGAATTCTATGTGTCTGTGAAATTTCATCATTATAATAAATCCCAAATCCTGTATATTCATTGGCCTTAGACCCGTCTGTAAAAATTATATTACTATTTCTGTGTATAGTGAAAATTTCCTCCAATTCTTTTTTATATTTTACAATGTTTTTTTGATAATTATTTACTAATTTCATTTCTGTGTGAATTGGATTTGGCCACTGTGGATTCCAACTTATTCTATTGATTTTAAGTACATTTTCTATTGGGATTTTAAGTTCATTACATAATGTCTTAAATTTATAAATAACTCCTCTTTGTGCTAGTAATTTATCAGAGTTTATAAAAAGTGTGTAATTTGCATGATCCTGGAGACTCATTATTTTGATACCATATTGTAAAGTTAATAACATTCTTCGATAGTGGAGTGAATATACTCCCGATTCACAAAGTATACAATAAATGGGGCTTGTCTTAAATGCTCCGATTGAGAGTCTAAGTCCTGAATTATGAACTGGATCCAACTTTTGTAGAATACTTTTGGAGCCGGAGTCTATTACTATTGATCCATAATCTAATTGAGATAAAACTAGAGATTTGTACAAAGTTAATAAAGTTTTTCTGTTTCCTCCCCATCGATAATTAGAGACACATTTGATAATATTAAGATTTCTGCTACATTTCGTTTTGATATATGTAATATGGGATTTCCAGTTCAATTTACTATCAAAATATACTCCTAGAAACTTATGAGATTCTTTATATTCAATTACATTATTATATATAGTTATTTGAGGATTTTGTATAAGTTTCCCTCTTCTTTGGAAATGAATCGCTTCTGTTTTGCTTGGTGAAAACACTGCTCCTGTATTATTGGACCATTCCTCAAGCTGATTTAGCGCTATTTGGAGACTGTTTTGTATATCTTCTAAATTTTTTCCATTTGCATACATGGTTATGTCATCGGCAAAAATAACAGCTTTAGTATTATTATTATTAGGTAAATAATTAATGATTGAATTTATGAAGATTAGAAAAAGATTAACTGAAATTACAGCTCCTTGAGGAACTCCATTCTCTAAAACAAAAGTATCTGATAGTTCATTTCCCACTGCTACTTTAAAGTATCTAGTCATCAAAAAGTTTTTAATATAAAAGGCTAAGTGACCTTTAATTCCTATTTCTTTGATTTGTTTAAGAATCTCATATTTCCAGGCCATATCATATGCCTTTTGTAAATCCATAAATACTGCTATTACATGTTCTTTTTTAGCAAAAGCTTCATGGATGTCATTTGATAATCTTACAATGTGATCGATTGTTGACATTTTCTTTCTAAATCCAGCTTGATACGGATATATAATATTGTTTTCTTCTAAGTAAAAACTAAGTCTTCTATTGATCATTTTCTCCATAATTTTACCAACACAAGAAGTCAATGATATTGGTCGATAACTAAGTGGATCACTTGCTTTCTTCCCTGGCTTTAATATAGGAATGATTATTGCCATTCTCCATTCATCCGGAAATGTGTCACTAATGTATATTTCATTTATAATATCTAATAGTTTAAATTGATCAGATAAACTTAGATTTTTCAACATATCATAACTAATTTCATCCTCGCCTGGGGAGGTATTTCCACCTTGTTTAATAGCAAATTCTAGTTCAAAATATTCAAATCTTTGATTATATATATCAGTATTATCATTTATGAATTCAATTTCTTGCTTTTCATATTCTAATTTGCGCTCAATAAAAGTCTTAGAAAAATTTTTATCTGAAGAGTTTGTATAAAATTGTTTAGCAATAGTTTGCGCAATTTCCTTAGTATTATCAATAATATCTTCATCCACAATCAGGTACTTAATGGTATTTGATTTATGTCTATTCATTATTCTACCTATTTTATTCCATACTTCAGTCGGGCTTGTAAATATATTAATTTCTGATACAAATTTCTGAAAGCTTTCATATGGAGCCTTTCTTAATTTAGATTGTGTTAAAGATTTTACTGTTTTATATTGTTCTATAATTTCATCACAGACTATTCCTTTTCTCTTATTTTTTTGCACTTTATTACTAAGCTTATTACGTTTTTTGACTAGCTCCTTTAGTTCTTTATTAAACCATGGTAAAGATGGTTTATTAATTAAATTACTATTTCGTGGAATTGCATCATTCGCACTATTTATAATGGCATCTTGAAATTCAATTATTCTCTTTGTTGGTAAGATTTCTTTCATATTTACTTCTGACATATTTCTTTTGAACTTATCCCAATCAGCTTTCTTTAAATTAAATTTACTTCTCTTATATATATTCATATTTGTACCTAATAGTTTTATACATATTACAAAGTGATCCGATCCATTTTCACCTAAACATGAGAATTCAACTTTTCCTCCAAGTTGTGGAGAAGTTATTGTGAGATCAATTGAGCTAAAACAGTTATAAGCTAAAGAGTAGTGAGTATCACAGCCATCATTTAGGCATATTAAATCATAACTATCTATTAAATTTTCAATCATTTCTCCTCTTTTATCTATTTTGTCTCCTCCCCAAATGGGATTTTTCGCATTAAAATCTCCCATTAATATAAATGGACTAGAAATTTGATTAATTAAATGCACCATTTTATCTTTAAGTCTTTTGGTTTCATTATTAGTCATTGCATTTGGTGGTAAATATATTGAGACAATATTAACTTTATATGGATATTCAATTTCTATTCCAATAGCTTGTAATTCAGTATTAAAATTATGTAACTTGTAAGAAAAACCTTCCTTTATCATTATCAAAACTCCTCCACTTGCTATTTGATTATCAGTATAATTTTGAAATTCAATATTATATCCATTAAATTTAGGTGATTTTTTATCGTTTAAAAGTGTTTCTTGTATACAAACAATTACTGGTTCAATTCTATTTACTATAATTTTTAGATTACTGAAATGGCTATAAAAGCCATTCATATTCCATTGTATAATTGAAAAATCTTGAAATTGTTGATTTGAACTTACATTAGTTGTATTGAAAGATTCCTCCTGCCTGTGTCAACCTGGTCCCCCATTGGAGGCACCATTTTGGGATCCCGAAGGATGTTGGGGGTGAGTGCATCCACTCACATTTTGGAGATTCGCCGAGAAAAATTGCTCCTGCTCTTGTTGACTAGAGATGATCGCAGCGTTTTGTTGATTGATGTTCTGCACTTCTCTCAAGCGGTTTCGAGCATCATCAAGTTGGCGGAGGAGATCACTCCGATCCCGTGGCGTAGCATTCTGGGATAAGTTATCGTGTTCTTCGACTCCTTCCATATCGTCCTGGTCTTGTTCTTGAGCTCTTGCCCTCTTCGATGATTTCTTAGTCACTTTCTTTGATTCACGTGGGCTGTTCTTCCTCTTCACTGGTTGGTTCGGCTGGGTATCAGATGTAGTTTGATAACTCACTCTGGGTGGTGGCAAAGACGGGAAATTGTCTTCCTCCGTCGCCAAGGCAGCATAAGGGTTGTCATTAAGTACACTGATGTACGTGTTGTTGTCAAATCGGCGGGTTGAGAATTTCCTGTTCGCTTCATCCCAAGATAGCATTTCTTGCGCCATTGCTAGGTTGATGTTGCGTTGTCTTATCTTTCCTGAGCAGTTGGGTGAGGATGTCGGATGATTACCACCGCATCCAGCACACTTCGAGGTCTCACAGTAATCCTCATGCTCTGGTCGTCCACATCCTTTGCATATCTTCTCTCGTACACATCTGCTCGCCGTATGGTTGAATTTGTAGCAATTTCCACACTGGATGTATCGCTTCACGAACAAGTCGGACTGGCAGCTGATACAGTCGAAGTAGACTCTTTGTGGGGCTCCATAGCCTTCCACAAAGATCTTCACTCTCCTTGCCGGAATCCATTCCGGAGCACCTGAATCTGAAATGATTCTTCGCTTCAGGCGAAAAACTTTCAGGACTTTACGTCCTCCTGGCACTTCAATGTTGTTTAGTAGCCATTCTTCTGAGATATTCGTGTCCACATTCCAAACTACCGCTGCTGTTGCCACAAAGTATAACGGTATGTACGCATTGAAACCTGCCTCTCGCACGTGGTCATTTGAGGTTAGGGCGTTGGCGATCTTCGCATTGCTGCAATATGCAATAACCCTCTTTCCAAATTGCTCCATTATGACCTCACTTCGGGTAAATTGTCCTTTCATTGCATTATTTACTTCAAATGCACTAGCACTGCCATTTGGCTTCGCAATGATCACTTTGCACGATAGATATTTTAGTCCTTCGTTGTATTGAAAGACCTCCGGTGCCACCGGAGGCCTATCAGGAGGGTCTTCCCCTCCTCCTCCTTCCGCCATCCTTGTCTACTCCTCTCAAGCTTTCTCCTGACTATAACTCTTCACCAAACCAAGAAAAACCAAAAGACTTGAAAACTGTAATTTATAGAAAATTCTCGAGTGCGGGTTTTTGCGTCCTCTCGGCAGCGCCACCAAACTCAGAATGTATTGTGTTCATTTCATGCCGGTAAAAATCGGATTCAGTTCGCATGTGTTGGCAGCACTGAGTCTCGGACACCCATCATAGTGTGTTTGTTGATTTTCTTCCAGTGCTTTGAGATGAGTGTCGCAAAATTGCCGAAATCGCCAGAGGAGCAGAAGAAGTTCGAGAAGAACTTGATTGAGCAAGTGAGATCATTCCCATGTCTCTACGATAAGCAAGATCCTCGGTTCCAGGATAATCAGCTAAAGGCGCAAATGTGGAAAATTGTGGCCACCAGATGTGACAATTCCTGTAAGTCATTGTCGTAATTGATGATTGATTACGGTTCGAATTGCACGGATTTTACACTCTATTTCAGTGACACAGTGCAAGAAGTCCTTCCAGAAATTCCTCACCAGATTCATACAGCTTCATGAGTTGGTCATTGCGGGCACAATCACCGCCGAAATGGCCCAGAGTCGATTTCCCTACTACAGATCAATGGTGTTTGCCGAGAGATTTTTCCAGCTTCGGCAGCCGGACAACAGGAACAGAGGTGGGCAGCAGAGCCAACAAGGAGGATTTCAACAGAATGCTCTCCTGCCTTCGCTCCTCGGCTTCACGGCTCCGTCACTCATTCCGCCGCGCGACATGAACAACTTTGACGACAGATTCTCCAGATTTGGTCCCAATCCAGGCATGAACATCCCCTTCCCACCGTCAATGGGCAACAACCAACACCGCGGAGACGCAAGGCAATCTCAGCCCAATAACATGGGCAACATGATGAACAACCACCGATTCCAGTTTGGCCCGGACAATGGTCAGAACTCCTCTCAGATGACACCAAATCGTCAGCAGGGCTGCAATGATGATTTCGAAGACGACGAATCTCACATTGATTACTTCTTCAGGAGCATTTCGCAGCAGGTCAAGCGAGCCCATCTGTCCAGTGAGAACTTCCTGGATCTTCAGGGCACCATTCTCAATATCATGGCAAACAAATTACAATCTTACAGAAAGTCCAAATGAACTGATGGTGAGCACTTTGCGAAGGCTTCTTGCCTTTCTCGGTCTTTCGATAAAATCATTGCCAACTTCAGTGGATAAATTGTAGAGGAAAAAATATCCTGGATTTACACTGGCAATGCATCTGTGTTGTATTTAATGATTTCATTGTGAGAACACAAGAAAATTAGTAAAATACACGAAAATTTCCTAAATCTCTTTCCCGAAATGGGTGATTTTCTTGAAAAATATAGAAAAATTCGTTATTAACGATGTAATTTGTGCCATCTTTGAGCAACTTCACGCGCAATACTGTCACAATATATTTTCTGCAATTATAAAAAACTTTCTTTCACATTTTCTTCAGTAATTTTGGTAATATTTGATACTTTCCCAACTTTCCTGAAAGAATCATGAGACGGAAATCCGAGATACACAAACACTTCGAGGCGTCCAGCGACAAAGTGCGATGCATCTACTGCAATTACGTTATCATCAAGAATGCGACGAGGATGACGGAGCATCTGCAGAAGTGTGAAAAATGTCCGGAAGTTATAAGATATGCTGAGTTTCTCACTAGGCCACAGAGGAAGGTGGAAAACAGTAAGTTCTTTTCACACACTTTTCCACACCATTCGCATTCCTAATGGATGTGCTTGAGGAGTTTGGCTGTGATTGAGGCCTGGAAAGGCGACGAGAAGGAATCCTGCGAAGGCTGCCAAATGTTGGCTTTCTGTGCTCAAGAAGGCTCTTCATTAACGCAATTCTGTGATTTCAGTCAAAGTGGATGAACCGGGCCCGGACTTCTCGGAGATCAGCGATTGGACTGTGTTCTCCAACGACGAGTCCGACGACATGATCAGGACACTGACACCGCCAGGGAAGAAGATGAAGACGGAGGACAAGAACCAGAACCCCTTCATTGAGATTGAGGACACGCACGTAGACTACTTCTTCAAGAGCATGTCTCTGCAAGTGAAGACTGCCAATATTTCGCAGCAGAACTTCATTGATTTGCAGATCGCCTTCCTCAATCTCTTCTCCTCGAAGATCAGGGAGTACAAACATCAGTAACTGTCTTCACTCGCCGCTAATCCCACTCTGATCAGCATTGCAATTCCTCATTTTGACCGCGGAGAGGGAAGAAACAGCGGCAGCAATGAGATTCACCTTCTCGAGATGGCTTTTAAGTATAATTTTCCTGGAAATTTAAGGATTTTTCGTGACTCTATGCGTAGATTTGTGGGTTTTTATATAATTTCAAATTCACTCAATATATGTATGTAAAGAGACTTCATTGCTCTTCGAGGATATGATAAAAATACACACAACAAACATTTTGTATTAGAATGTTAAGCTAAACGTGTTAGGGCCATTCACACATTCATTTGTGAACTTTTCCTTTAGCGAATAAATTATATACGATAAAAAATTGGAACTTTTTTAATGAACAAGTATATTTAGGTACACATACAAATTATTATTCACTCTCATTTGCCTCCCTTTCCGCTTCCTTCTGCTCCAAATACTTGTCCCATTTCTTCAATCTCTCCTGGGCTTCCGTTTCTGTCTCCACAATTTTGAATTTCGTCTTTCCATCCCAAATCTCAGCCGCCAGTTTCCGCTTGCCGAAGAATCGTCCATCGAGCAGCTTCACCACCAAATCCGCCTCCTCAGGATCGGCCATTGTCACCTGAGCGACTCCTTCGGCATGTCTATCGTAAATGACAACCTTGCGAACGGTTCCGCATTTGGCACACTCCTCCCTCAAGTCGTTCTGATACTCAAGGATCAGTTGAACTTCCTTGTCGAAGGTCTCGGGGGCGAAGAGATTCTTCACCACCACCACTTTCTCATGTTTCGCCCGCTCGCCGCGCATCTTGTCCGGACGCCAGTCGAACAATTTCTCCTTGATCTTCTTTATCTTCTCCTTGTCCTTTTTCTTCTTCCTTGGCTTCAGTGCCGGATTGTACTCGCCACGCATGTGAAATTTCGCTCTCTGCACACTCAACTTCTTGCCACGCAATTCATAGCCATCAAGAATGTTTAGTGCCAACTCCACGGACTCCACCTTAATGTAGTCACACAATCCGTCACCCTTAAGCTGCCCATCTGCTTCCATGTACAATTTCACTTTGAGCTTCTGCGTCTGAATGTCCCGCATAATCATGCCACACTTGGACATGACACTCACGAACTCTTCCTCCGTGATGTCCTCCGGCAGATTCGACACATAGACTTTAGTGTTCTGCTCTGGTGGCAAATCAAACCATTTCGGTGGTTCCTGCGTTGCTTTCCTCTTCACTCCGGCCACCTTCTCCTCGCACTTCGGCTCACTGGCCGGAGCCTCAGGCATAGCCAACACTGGCTTCTGGTCCTCACCCGTATTATCAACAAATCCGTAATTCATCTGGTAATGCGCCATGAAATCCTCATCGATGGCAGGGAACCAGGCGCTCTTCTCCGCATCCCAAGCATATCGGACACCGTCCTTGTCCACATACTCCCCATTCTTCCCCGCCTTGGGCACCCACTCGCCCTTCTCACTCGACCACGTGTAGAACTCATTCTCCAGCCGCTCCTCCTTCAGCACCCACTCGCCCTTCTCGGCACACCAGCGATAGTGCTCCGTCTCGTAGGGATCCTTCGCCTCCGTCTCCGTCGCCGTTTGAAGCACCCACTCATTTTTCTCCTCGCACCAGCGATATTTCAGCTTTGTGCTGGGATCCACGTAAATTGCCGCCCCACTTTCATCCCTTACAATGTGCTTCGCGTACTCCTCATTCGCTGGCTTCTTCTCACCCAAATCCGTCGAATCACTCAACACTTCTGCCGCAGTCGAAGGCACACCACTCTCTTGCTCCTCACTATTCACAGCCTTGTCCACATCCTTTGGCAGCTCAGAGGAATCATCTTCATTTGCCTCCTCCTTAGGCACTTTTTCCGCCTCATTGCCCGGCGCCTCCTCGTCGACTCCGGACATGCTGTGATGTGACAGAAAGACAGCTTTCTGGTGCAAAGTCAGTTCGGGCTTCGATAGAGAGAAGAATCAGGTGTTTACTTCCAGGAAATCACTGTGAAAGAGCGGTATGATTTTCCAAAACAATAATACGATCAGCACGTCCGCCAATCGATTAAAACATAGAATCTGTTCGATGAGAGCATTTGAGGTTAGGTGTGTGTAAATAAATCGCGCGGCATCCTCTCAGAAATTTGTGGATTTCTTGGAAAATTCTCAATAATTCACTTGATTACTTATGCCAAATCATCAAGGCCGAAGAATTAGCAACGTCGAATGCTCAAGAAATCATCAGTGCTTCCGCAAATAAGGAAAATGTCTCGAAGGAGAGCCGCTGCGAAGACAGTAGCTGCAAGCACTTCATCAAAAGCCCCGGAGGATGATGAACCTCAGCCGGAGAAGGAAGCAAAGGTGGTAAAGTGGGAGCCGAAGAATTGGCAAGAAACTCTTAAGAATCTACGCGGCATGAGGCAGGACTTCAAGGCTCCGGTCGACACCATGGGATGCAGTCGATGCTGTGACGATGCGGAGGACGAGAAGACCAAGAGATTCTGTGCACTTGTCTCTCTCATGCTCTCCAGCCAGACCAAGGACCAGGTAATTGAGAAAGCGGATGAGTTCATGGCAAATCTTACATTTTTTCGGTGTTCAAGGTTACATACGATGCGATGAACAGACTGAGGAAGGAGGGACTGAAGCCGGAGAACCTCGTGAAGTGGGAGACTAGCAAACTGGAGCAACTCCTCGTCCCGGTGTCGTTCTACAGGGTGAGAAATCTAGTGTTTGACTGAGAATTTGGTGAAAGTGTAGTCGGGAATTGATTTATCCGGACTGAAGACAGCTTTGTCAATCTTGCTCTGAGGACTTCCAACATGCTGAAGCCAGTCTTTCCTGCAATTACAGAATTTCCTCAGTAATCTTCATCAATCGTAAATAATTGTCTATACATTTTTCTAATTTGGTCAGGAGATCCTTCCATGACTCCCTTCACAGTTCCATCATATGTATTCATACACCATCCCTTCAGGCCCAATTCTGAGGCCTGTTTCTGCGTGTGCTGCAAGAGAGAAGATCGTCAACCTCATGAACATCGCGCAATCCCGAAAGATTTACCTTCCTGAAGAAAACACCCTGAACAATCCCGAACACTTCGAATTCACAGGAAATAATTCCTGCCATTTCCGCCTCTCTACACTCACTTATTGACTCTGCGTCACTATCGCAATAATTGCTTGAAAAGACTGGCGCCGTGCAACAGAAGAGAAGAATGATTGTTTGAAGTAGTTTCCTAGGATTCCGAAATGAACTGTTTGACAGCATCTCTAACCTATCTGTTCTGGTCATCTTTCAGAACAAGGCGAAGTTCCTAAAGCTGACATCGCAGATTCTGCTGGACAAGTATGACGGTGACATTCCCAGAACTGTGAAGGAGTTGATTGCTCTGCCCGGAGTGGGTCCTAAGATGGCTCATCTCTGCATGAATGTCGCCTGGGGCGAAGTCTCAGGCATTGGCGTCGACACGCACGTCCATCGAATCGTCAATCGGCTCAAGTGGACGCAGAAGCCCACGAAGGATCCGGAGAAAACCCGGATTGCCCTCGAGGGATGGCTTCCTTTTGAGCTGTGGGACGAAATCAACCTGATTCTGGTGGGATTTGGGCAGACTATCTGCACTCCGGTGGCCCCAAAATGCGACTCCTGCGCCAACAATGCAATCTGTCCCTCGGCGAATATTAAGAAACCCAAATCTAAGGGAAAGAAATGAATTTAATCCTGAACTAAGGTGCAGTTTTTCCTATATCCTTGCCCAGGGATATTTTTGAAGACCTTAAAGACTGTTTTTTAACAGTGTATCAACGGTAAAGAGTGCGAAAAACCTTCCAGTTGACAGAGGTGTAAAAACTTCATCGTGTGTGTCAATGAAGGAGTGAAAAGATGGTCCTTTGTGAGTGAAAATTCACGAACAAATAGTTAATAATAGGGTTTCTTGTGATACATTGTTGCAATTAGTATGGCTGTCAATTGGCCAGTCGTGTATTTGGGCTATCCGGATGAGTACGTGTCGGAGAAGCATGCTTCCTCGGTGGATTTCACCACAAACAAAATAGGAGGGACTCCCGTGAGTGTTTTGTCTGCATTCGGGGTGTTTTCGTTAACCCATGTCTGACCTGATTTTGTGTCTCATGCTTGCAGAATTGGCCAATATCGGGCATCACGGTGCCCAACTGTCCGCTGTGCGGCCTCGCGCGGCCCCTCGTCCTCCAAATCTACGCCCCACTGGAGGGTTCGCAATTTCACAGGACGCTTTACGTCTTCTCCTGCTTGAACTCCTGCTCCAGCCAGTCCAGCAGCTGGCTCTGCGTGCGCTCCCAGACGCTGGAGAAGACCTTCGAGAAGGACACCACGCGTTTCCGCGGCGCCGAGAGTCACACGGTGAACGTGAACTGGTGCGCCGGAGCCAATGACTGGGACGTGCCGGAAGACACGAAGCTGGCAGACGCTGAGAACTGCAATGAGGAGAATGGCAACACCATCAGCAAGAGCGACAAGATGTCTGATGAGGACGACGAGAGTAATTCCACGGAAGTGGATCTGCTCAATATTATCGAGAATGTCCATATCGATGAGCGCAATGCCAACAGTGGGGCGCAAGAGGGCGGAGCCGCTGCTGTGAACAATTCGCCCAAAGCGTCGGCGGAAATTGAGATGGACGAGACGGAGTTGATCATCATTGACAGTCCGGTGGTGCCACAGAGAGATCTCATTGCGCTGTTCCGGCAGAACAGCGTGCTGTCGTCCGAACAGGTGAATCTCACGCTCAGGAGCTTCTTCATCAACGTGGCCGAAGAGAGTCAGTCAGCAGTGGAACATTCAGATCACATCAGAGATCTCATTCAGGAGTATCAGAAGAAAGACGAGGGTAAGAATTGGATTATTTGGGGAGAGTTTTGGGCATATTGATGAGCGCTTTTTAATGTGATTTCCAGATCTCAAGAAGAGTCCAGAAGGCGCCGGAGGCGGTGAGATCCTGGGAGATGGAGAGCACTATGAGAAGGGTGTTCCTGCTCATGGTGACGTGATGTTTCACGCATTTATCACGCGAATCCAGGAGAATCCTGGACAAATCCTAAGGTAAGTGTGCTGCGCAATGCTAGAGAACATCCCAAGCTATGATTCTGTCCATTGATTCCAGGTATTCCCGGAATACAGTGCCATTACTCATAAGCTACTTGAAGGAGTCCATTCCCAAGTGCACATACTGCGGAAGTGATCTAATCTGTGAGCTGCAACTGTTGCCAACGATTATTCCTCATCTCCAGCTGGAGAACTGTGATCAGGCACCCATTGAGTTCGGCAACGTGCTCATCTACACCTGTTCCAAGAGCTGCTGGGACACGCCAGACAAGATGCGCATTGAGAATGTCATCGTGCAGGAGGAGACATAAATTATTCCCAAATCAATTTTACCGATAACACGTCAGTAGATGATCGAATTGTAGCGTGTGGAAGTGAAGAAGGAGTTCAATTAGGTCGTTTTGGAGTCAATGTGTAATACTAGAGATTGAGGAAGAGGATGTGAAGAGAGTAGGATCTTTTCGGAATTGCGACACTCGCAGTAGAAATCTATATTTGAATTTTATCTTGTTCACGATATTTCTGTACGGATGTTCAAAAAGTAAATTTATCACACACACAGAGTAGATGTGCAACAACTTTCGAGGAAAGTCAGCAAAAATAAACTGATAACACAGTGAAATTTTCACTTTCATTCTTTACGCGCGCGAGCTCGGAATCGATTCTCTACGTGACGTGTAATCAATCAGCATTGGCCCCATGTGAGCGCAGCTGATTGCGATAGTGAGTCTTCCTGCATTTTTGCCACAGATAAGAGCTTTAAGAGGACGGCAGGTCCTCAATCGTACCAGAAATAGCATTTTCAAGTGCCTGAGTGTGTGATCAGTGCGTAATCTGTGATAAACCAGCTCTGCAAGAGGTTGTTTTCCCCGTGAGAAAATCTGTGCAAACTTGTGTGTCAAAAGTCAAGTGTGGCCGCGCCATTACGTAATATTTGTGCAAATTTGCGACAGGAAGACAGCGAAAAATGCTTCATTTTGGCCAGTCAATGAGGAGGTCAGGTGGTTATCCACACACAACCTTGTCCTGCATCTAACAGAGTTGTTGATTCCCCAACAGGTGGTTCTCCACGGCTGCCCAGAAGATCGCCACGCAACCCATCAATAAGATCCTCATCGCAAATCGCGGCGAGATCGCGTGTCGAGTGGTGAGGACAGCGCGAAGACTCGGCGTCCAGACGGTGGCGGTGTATTCTGACGCCGATGCCAATTCCCTGCACGTCCAGGTGGCGGACGAGGCTTACCACATTGGGCCTCCGGCTTCGCAGCAATCCTATCTGCGGGCAGATAAGATAATACAGGTGGCGAAGGCCGCCAAATGCCAGGCCATTCATCCGGGCTACGGCTTCTTGTCGGAGAGCGTGGAGTTCTCTGACATGTGCCAGCGCGAGGGGATCATCTTCATGGGCCCACCGGCGTCGGCCATCCGCGACATGGGCATCAAGAGCACGTCGAAGCACATCATGGCCGAGGCAGGAGTGCCGATCATCAACGGCTATCACGGTGAGGATCAGTCGGATGAGAAGCTGATTGCCGAGGCGCGCAAGATTGGCTTCCCGCTGATGATCAAAGCGGTGCGCGGGGGCGGAGGAAAGGGCATGAGAATCGCCGAGAGCGAGGCTGACTTCCTCACGCAGCTCAATTCGGCTCGCACGGAGTCCGAGAAGGCTTTTGGCGACAGTTCGATGCTCCTGGAGAGATTCGTGCGCTCGCCAAGGCACGTCGAGGTGCAGATCTTCGCCGATAAGTACGGCGATGCGGTGTATCTGTTCGAGAGGGATTGCTCTGTGCAGCGCCGCCACCAGAAGATCATCGAGGAGGCTCCAGCGCCTGGACTGTCGGAGCAGCTGCGCACAGAACTGGGCGAGGCAGCCGTGAGGGCGGCCAAGGCGGTGGGCTACGTCGGCGCAGGCACGGTGGAGTTCATTCTGGACAAGGAGGATCTCTCCTTCCACTTCATGGAGATGAACACGCGCCTCCAGGTTGAGCATCCCATCACTGAGATGATCACGGGAACGGACTTGGTGGAGTGGCAGATCCGCATCGCGTCGGGAGAGCCTCTACCAGTGACACAGGAGCAGATAAAGCGTCGTGGACACGCTTTCGAGGCGAGAATATACGCTGAGAATCCTCGTGGAGGATTCTTACCGGGCGCAGGACCGTTGGATCACCTCTCCACGCCAGTTCCTGATCAGAACGTGAGGGTGGAGACTGGCGTGCGTCAGGGCGACGAAGTGTCCATCCACTACGATCCCATGATCGCGAAATTAGTGGTCTGGGGAGAAAACAGAACTCAAGCTCTGGACAGCTTGATTGCCAGGCTGAGAGATTATCATGTGAGTATTGCCAATGCTGATCAGAAGCCCTAATTTGACTGTCTTTCTTCCTTTCACACAGATCACCGGACTAGAAACGAATGTGAACTTCTTGCTGGATCTGGCCAATCATCCCTTCTTCCGCGCTGCAGACGTTCACACAGGCTTCATTCCTCAGCATTTCGACACTCTCTTCCCACCTCTTGTTGTCTCCGACTCTCTCCTCATCCAGGCGGCAGTGGCAGTGGTTGTGAATGAGCTGAACGCCGCCCAGGCCAATGGTGTGGCTTCTGGAGGATTCTCGAATCAGTTCAACGATGCCAATAACTTCCGTCTCAATCACGTCGCCGTGCGAGAAATCAAGTTCAAGAGCGGCGACAAGGTGAACAGCGTTGAGGTGACCAGCAGCGATGGTCAACTGAAGGCCAGGGTGAATCAGGGCGAGTGGAGGAGCGTGCAGTGGAAACCACTGCCAGATGCCAGCAGATTCAGTCTTCGGTGCACAATTGATGGAGTTTTCGGGAATTTCAGCGCTGTCATTTCACCTCAGGAAGTTGCCATCTTCACAGACGCCGGCAAGACGGAACTGGAAGTGATTCCGCCGAAGTTCCTCAGCATCGCTGGCGAGGGAGGAGCTTCTGCGCACAACCAAGTGGTATCGCCAATGCCCGGAGTGCTGGACAAGGTGTTCGTGAAGGCGGGCGATAAGGTGAAGTCCGGCGATCCTCTGGCTGTGATAATCGCCATGAAGATGGAGCACATGCTGAAGGCGCCAAGGGATGCGGTTGTGAAGAGTGTGGGCGGCCAGCCGGGACAGAACATGGCCAAGGGAGCCGTCATTGTGGCCTTTGAGAGTGAAGAAGAGGAGGCGAAGTGAGGACTTGAGTAGAGATTTCTTGCTATTTACACCAGAATTGCATTTATTCCAAGTACAAACACTTTGGTGTACATATTGACCAAATAAAGCAACCGAATGTGACATAGGAATGACACAGAAATGGATCTGGGCAGTTCCTGGAGGAATTCTCCTCCGGATGATCCCTAATTTGTCAGTTGTGATTCAAATCTCACGATTTCGATGTTTTTTTATACATCGAGGAAAACACTTCAATATCATTTAAAGCAATTTTGATATGAAATATTAATAAATCTTACTTGACGTGAAAGGACTTATGCCGAAGGTGCAATGAAATATGTTGAGTCATCCTTTGGGGGTGAGAATTTTCAGATATATTGCATAAATAGCGGGATATTCTGTTTGTAAACAAAAAGCCGCTAGAACCATTTCAATTGCGAACATAGAAGTGTCATCGACGCGTGTTTTGTGTGATCAGCAAATTTGTGCAGAGACTCAGAGAGATCCACAAAATGCCTGGGATTGCAAGTGTAGCTAAAGCTAATCGAAAGCAACGCAATGCTGAATCAATAAACAATAAGTTTGTGGGGCTCTTGAAAGCCAATCGGTGTCTGTGGGATCTTAATCATCCGGGAAATCAGTGTACTGAATTGAAGAGTGTGGTTTGGGAAGATGTGGCTTTTCGCATGAAATGGAGTGGTGAGTTGTCTTATGGCCATAAATTTCATATGATTAATTATTTTCATCTTTCTCACAGCAAGCCAAACTAAAGAGGAGTACGCCAAGCTCAGAGCTGTCTATCAATGCAATCAGAAATTAAGGAATTTAAGGAATTCAGGAAATCTGAATCTATTGGACAAGTTGAGTTTCTTGAGCAAGTCTTTCCCTAAGAACGTCGTCAAGAAGCCAATTGCAATTAAAGCAGATAGGGGAAGTCCAGCCATAGAAGACAGTCAGAACTCCAGCTATTCTGGGAATCATGAGAATAGCACGGGCAGTTCGTTTGATCGAGTGAATCCGATGGAATTTGTGTTCCTAGATCCGAATGATATGGTCAGTATTCCTGGGCAGACAGAAGGCCTTCAAGAGCAAGCGATTCCGAGAAATGATGACTTGTCGATCAGATCAGTTCACTCCTTGTATCCCAACGCATCCAATGGATTCAGCAACCAATCCACACACGTGGAGGAACAGAGTCTGCCCCAAGTGGCTTCTGTGGTAGTTCCTTGGACACTGCCAAGTTCTCAACCGTCTGGATTCACGCTGGCGCTGGACGAGAAGCTGAGATTGTTTCCGCCCAGAGCCAGGATTAAGCTGGAGAAGGACATTTTCGAGATTGTCTCCAACGAGGCAGCCCAGTTATTCCATCATTAACGGTGAAAAGACCGCCAAAATTCATGTCAATCTTCCATGCTGAAAACCTTTTAACTACCATTTGTCATCATCATCAGTAAGAAGAATAAGAATTTTGGCGTCTTGTGTCTGTGTTGCGATTCTCAGGCATTTGCGATTAGACATGTATATTGACGAGAAATTCCTGACCCTCCTGAAGATGCACAACTGTGTGTGGGATCCTGATCATCCGGAAAACAGGAATCCATTCATGAGGTACAAAACGTGGAAAAGAATTGGTCAACAAATGCAGGGTTGGCAAGGTAAAGTTCGCTGCATATTTCCCTATAAATTTTATTGATTAAAATTTCTACAATTCCTGTTTTTCCAGTTACGAAGTGCAAAAAGAAGTACCGAGAGCTGAGAGACGAGTTGAGAAGGATCTACACACAGAAGTGCGAAGAGAAGGATTTGCCACTGAAGCGCAGGTTGGACTTCTTGAAGAAATCTTTCAGGAATTTGCCTCCGGAAGTGCCTCAATTGGGAAGTCATAGAAGCGGAAGTGTGCGAGGACGACCGCCGGGAAGCTCAAACCGCGTGGTAAATCTGCGTAATCGTAGTGTCAGTCTGCTGGAACCGGCTGTGGATCCACTGTTTCTGGATCCTGATGAGATGTACGATGATTCAGAGGTGAAGACGGAGGACTTTCCCAGTGACTTGGCGACTCTGCGGATCGTGGAGCCAAGGGAGACCACCACGAGGAATGAAGACTTTGAGATTAGGTCAGTGCGCTCGATGTTCCCCAATGCTGTCAATGGATTCAGCAGCAATTCCAGGGAAGTGGAGGAACAGAGACTGCCCCAAGTGCCATCGGTGAGGTTACCAAGCCCGAAACCATCGGGATTTACGCTGGCGTTGGATGAGAAGCTGAGACTGCTGCCGCCCAGAGTCAGGATCAAGCTGGAGAGGGACATTTTCCTGATGGTCTCCGATGAAGTGGCCAAATTGTTTGATTAACTCATTTTTCTCTTCTCTCAAAATCCACAAATATTGTACAACTGGTAGGAAGACAAATGTTGAATGTATTGGACATTTTATATGTAGAAAAAGTGGTTTTCTACCTCTATTAATTCACGAATCGATGCTATTAGTTATTCAGAGTGAACAGGAAAAGTGACTGAATTCTCACACCGTGTCATGAAGTGCAAATTTATGGTTTTCTCATTTGAATGTATCTCTTATCATCTTGGGAATGACGTTGCAATGTCTGAGAATCGCCAAAATAATTATAATTATAATACACGGTGGAATTAAATGCTACTCAAATAGAATCTAATTTGATTTGCAGTTGATTGTTTTATGTCATTTATCTGTGTATTCTGGATAATCTTTTCAAAGACTGTGTGAATAAGATTTGCATAGATTTCCTGAATACACTAAAAGTTCTATTATCAGTAAGTTCACGGCTAGAAATGAATGTCTTTGAATATAAATGATTTACCAACTTCATGGCCTCTTTTTGTGGTGATACTATAGATAATACATGAATTATGGACTCATAATTGTTAGACGTTTGCGCACAGTGATTTTCTGCGGATACGCGTGAAATGTTCTGAACATTTTCTAATTTCTTTAGCATATAATTCGTCAATTTCTCAAATTTGTAATAAATTGATTTTTTGGGAAGAAATGTGCTTTATTTCTCTCAGATTATAGGTCTCTGAATACTGTAATTTTGTCAGTGCACATCTCTAATGCGCCTAACTGTTGGTTTTCTTGAGGTGAAACACAGTATGGAAAAGAATTTCGGTGGAAATCTTGTGGGCAAAATGTTTGATCTGGATCTGCTGATTCAGAAAATTTGGTTCTCTGCGGTGCTGTTTTTGTTGCATTTACCTCGCGGGCTTTTCAGAAATTGCCCAATTGGCGATTTTCCTCATCGGCAAATTCAGCATAACCATGGCTTTTATCACAATATTCGTCTGCTTCATCTGCATGTGTGAATTGTTTCCCATCGAGCTGCGACACACTCTTCTCTCCCTCTTCGCGATGTTTGGACAAATTGTGGAGGCCAAGGCTCCCCTCACACTGCTCCTGGTGAGGCTCTTTGCGATAAGAAAGCGCGTGCTTAATCTCAATAATTGCTTTTGGGTGTTTTACATTGTCAGGAAGGATACGTTAACGTCTTGCACATGATCCTGTTTGGAACTGTCGTCATTTCAGCGGGGATTCTTATCCTCTTCCCACCTGAAACACATCAATAAAACCTTTCCAAACACTGTGATAAAATAGCATTCACAATGTAAAATGTATTTCCAGATCAATTCACAATATTACTTCCTTCAAGTAATATAAAGAAGAAAAACCAGAATGCAGTCGTAAATTGAGAGCTCTAGAAGTGTGATTCAAGATCAACAATTCTATTTGATCGTCTCGCAAACCCACGCGTTAAATTGTTGCAAGACGAGATTATAATTTTTCTACCGAGAATCTGTACAAGAGAGCAAAAACGAGAAATACACGAATTGTTTACATATGAAAATCTCAAAATATATAACGTGAAAACTTTCTTTGTGCATTCGAAGCGACTTTCAAGAGCGCCAATAAAATATTCTCTTCACAGCCCAAGTGGAAATGTATTCATTTTCACTGAATTGCATTAGTATTGCTGTGTAGTTTTAAGATATTTTCAGGGTGATTTTACTTTTTAAAATAAAGAAATACTCTGCGAATCTTATCTCTCTTTTTTATCACTTAATACCGTCAGAGAAAATCTTGATGTGTGTGTTTGTGATTAATGGGCATTTCAATTCTCAAGAGTCATTCAACTTTCTAACTTGAATTACGACCCATTGTCTGATTGATTTCTGTTGCTATTCAGCATTTCCTGGGAGTGTTCTTGCGAGTCGCTGCGGAACCTCTGGAGCGACTCAGTGCGCCTCCTTGAGCAGCTGGGAAAAGCGTCACCACGTGACCAGGAGAATCGTACGATTTGTGCCAACTAAACAGTGGGTCAATACCATCAATCACTCACTCTATTTTCATTCCGTGGGGCGCCAGTAGTGGTGACCCACGTATGCTCTGCCGAAGTGGTCTCATTCCCGATTGAATTGTTCCCCAATGGCACAATAGTAATTACCATTCAATGTGCCGGTCAATTAACTCGCTCTCGATGGTGTGTTGTGAGATCAAAGTCTCGCAGATCAGCTTTTCTCTTTCTCTATTCTTTTTTTCCCTGCTAATGCCCAGAGAGTCTCTCTCTCTCTCTCCTTCCAGACGCCCGATGGATTGCAACCCCGTCTTCTGGACCCATTGCCGAATCTCGCCACTTCGGGCAGTGACGACTGTGATTATGCAACGGACGAAGTGATGGGAAGATTCGCCGCGGTCTCACGACTGCCGCACAATTGTGACCACGAAATCAGTCTCTCGCTGAGCGTCGGCGCGTTGAGGTGTGCTCGATATTTTCACCATCAGACACACCATTAGTCACACCACCTTTTTTCCTATACAATCTCTTCCCCACTTCAATGGTTCAGTGCAGGAGCTTCTGAAGTGTTGTGATATCGAGAGAGGTGAGATTGTGAGTTTTTTGTTTCTTTCCTGGTGTGTGATTTGTGGGGTGTGCGGAGGAACAGCCTGGGAAGATGGGCTACGATGAGGTTTTGCCCCACTTGGGCTCTTTCGGTCCGTATCAGCGTCGAATATTCTTCCTCGTGTGCTTGCCGGCTATCTCGTGTGCCTTTCACAAGCTCGCGGGGGTGTTCTTGCTGGCGAAGCCCGATTATCGATGTCTCATGCCATTCGAGGCCAGCAATGCCACATTCGCCACGAGTCCAGACTTCCTCTACAACATGTCCTATCCGTGGGACGCGCTCAACAATAAGTGGAGCACGTGTGAGCGTCTCGAGACAGATTTCACGGCTGAGTACTTTGACTCTGGGCGACCGGCTAACACCACCGTGAGCTGCCAGAAGTGGGCGTACGACGATAGCAAGTACGAGAGCAGCACAGTCACCGAGTGGGACATGGTGTGCACCAAATCCTGGCTCACAGCAACTTCAGACTCCCTCTTCATGGTGAGTGTGCCTTTGGAGCTGATTCTCTTCTCAGTCTCTCACTTAGCACTTCTATGCTTCCAGGTGGGTGTGTTGCTGGGGAGCATAATCTTCGGCCACATGTCTGACAAGATGGGAAGGAAGCCCATCTTCTTCGCCTCCCTCGTGATTCAGGTGGTGTTTGGCGTGCTGGCGGGAATTGCGCCAGAGTACATCACCTACACAATCTCCAGGATAGTCGTGGGAGCGACCACGTCTGGGGTGTTCCTCGTGGCCTACGTGCTGGCCATGGAGATGGTAGGGCCGACGTGGCGCCTCTTCGCCGGCACTATCATGATGATGTTCTTCTCCCTGGGATACATGCTCACGGCCGCTTTTGCGTACTTCTTTCCCGGCTGGAGAGCACTGCAGATTGCCCTCACGCTGCCCGGTGTGCTCTTCCTCTGCTACTGGTGGTTCATTCCCGAATCCGCACGCTGGTTGCTGTCGAAGAAGCGCAAACAGGAGGCAATTGACACCATCCAGAAGGCGGCAATCGAGAATAAAGTCACCATTCCCACTGAAGTGCTGGACAATCTGATTGAGCCGGAGAAGAAGGAGGATATGGACAAGCCAGCACCGTCACTCTTTGACCTGTTCAGGTATCCGAACCTGAGGAAGAAGTCGCTGCTCATCTTCTTCGACTGGTTCGTCAACAGTGGCACATACTATGGACTGTCGTGGAACACGAATAATCTCGGTGGCAATGATCTGCTCAACTTCGTCATATCTGGAGCTGTGGAGATCCCAGCGTACTGCTTTCTGCTGCTCACGCTGAATCGCTGGGGCAGGAAGACCATCCTCTGTGGCTGCATGCTCATGGCGGGCACCATGCTGTTGCTCACGATGGCCGTGCCAGACACGCAGAATTGGCTGATTGTGCTGCTGGCGATGCTGGGCAAGCTGGCCATCACGGCCAGCTACGGCACAATCTACATCTTCTCGGCCGAGCAATTCCCCACGGTGATCAGGAATGTGGGCATCGGCGCTGCGTCGATGTTCGCACGAGTGGGTGGCATTTTGGCACCGTACTTCAATCTCTTGGGGGACATTTGGAAGCCCTTCCCGCTCATCATCTTCGGCGCAATGGCCTTCGCTGGCGGATTGCTGTCGCTCTTCCTCCCTGAGACGCTCAATCGCACGCTGCCGGACACAATTGCGGACGGCGAGCGGTTTGGGAAGAAGGACTTGGTGGAGGGCACGGCGGAAGAGATGGTGGAACTGAAGGCGGACACAAATGGCGACGTGAAGAAGACCGAGGAGGCGTAGAGAGCATCTGATAAGCAAAGATATCGTATCACCAAGACGACAGTCTGGCCACTTGTTCTTGGGACTTTGACTCCTGCGTGACGTGGCACATCTGGCGTCATCGTTTGCATGCCTTCTTGCGCGCGCACTCGCCAATTTCACCCCGCGTCCATCATCGCGCGCGTAGCTCGAGCACGTGGCCGGTGGTGTGACTCGTAACAGACAAGTAGTAGCGCATGCGACTTATTCAGCTACTTAATTTCCCTCCCAGAACAATTCCATTTAAATATTGCACAACTTTTCATTCATGTCTGCAGCAGACAACGATCACTACTTAGGGCTATGATTCGTGTGTTTTTTTCTCCTATTTATTTCAGCTGCTATTTTGCTCTATTTTGGCGCTTTTTACTGTTTTTTATATATATATGGTATAAATAGACGGTTTTTGTCCAACCAATCTCTGATGGTGGCGAATGCGTAAAGAGAAGTTGACAAATATGAGTATTAAAACTATTTTAATTATATGTAGAGACTTAATTAGGTCGTTAAGTGTTTTTAGATCGCATCCCGGACTTGAGATGCCTCTTTTCTATACATGTACTACTTGTGTAAGAATCTTAATCAACCAGATGTACTTGAAGAGGTCAAATGGGCCACACAACTTATCGCTGTATAAATTTTTTGGAACCATATGTAAAATCCACTGCATTTAATATCGGAGGAGAAAAGAAAAAAAGATTGTGGATTTCCTTTATTCTCTTATTTTGTAATAAAATCTATTTGTATGAATGTTTTGGTGTGTTGATTTTGTCCGCACAATCAAGGAGTTGTTGACCCGGAATTTTCCATGCTCCGCTGATACTCATTCTAATTATTTTCTTGCGATAGTGACGTGGTGGCAAAAAATGCTGAATCTCTCTTTATTTCCTTTCTTTTTTGTTCGCCATCCCGCCAAAAATGTATTGAATTGCCTGACAGTATGCAAAGTTTGCGTAGTGTTTTCAATTTAGGGTGCATGAAATGTTGATGTTTCAGTGAATATTTCATGGTGACAAAGAGCTGAAGCAAAAACTACTTAATTGAGAGATTTTTATGTGTTTTGAGATTAAACAACTTAATTACTCATTGATTACATACTAAAAATACACTTTTCTTGCCTTTTGGAGTTGTAAATATTTCCCTGAAGTGAAAAAAAAATCTAATAACTCAAAATGTTGGAAAGACGTTGAGGAATCGCTTCAAAATCAGAAGACATCGAAATAAAGGGTTCTTTAACGATTTCCTTGGGAGGAAATGGTAGATTACGATGTAAAATTGAACATAATCTTCCATTTCCTATTATTTCTGTCTAAATTTATGACATGTCTTATCAGATAAATGCATGTATTATCGCCACAAAGTTCTATTTCAGAACCATTCTATTCAAAAACTCTCAATCACGCACCCGAAACAATCAAATGGTTCTTTCATTTCCCAGCACCACATCCGTCGTGTGCTCGAAACGTGACTATTTTCCTATTGAGTGGGAATGGGAAGAAAATAATTTATTGGCGGATTCAGGCACAGGTCATCCCATTTCAAATGATGCTTGTCTCAAATCATGCGGCCGCTCAACCATGAAATATTCAATACAACACGAGTGTAGACTTCAATGTCAGCTTTTTACTTTTGCTATTTGTATTTGCGGCTTTTTTGCAACCAAAAACCACATTTCAAAGTGCTTTTATCGTGGATGATCGCCGAAAATTGAAGAGACGCTCTGAATGTTTGATTAAATCGCATGAAGTTTATCTGCGATGGGACAATTAAGTGTCAATTAATTGACACTTAAGGTAGCTTATCGAGCATTTATGATAAAGAATTTCATGATTTATGACAATGTGTTATTTGTAGGCAAATGTGCGGATAAGAAGACAAAACAATTCTTTAAATGGGTTTCCTATTTCAGGTGCCGCTTCAGTGTGTAAACTTCTCTATTGATTACAGACATGTTTGAGTGTGGAGTTTCCCATGAAAAAAAGCGCACTTTTCTTAAGGAATTAACTTTCAAATTCTGCGGAAAAAGTCTCACATTATTAATTCATAAGATGGCTTAGAATGATTTCGTTCGCATGACTGAGGCTCATTTTCTCGGAAAATCAATGCAGAATATTCCTCAATAATTAATTTCCTATCCCGAATCAGATATCATTTTTGGTGTCGAAAATTCTGCGAGTATTGAAGCAAATATCCATAGTCAATTGTACAATACATGCAGCGCACATAAGGTCATGTTTCCCTCCACATTCACACATTTTCACGCCATGCCGAAAAGTCATTCAGAAAGCCCACACTCTCAGTGCCTCTCCAGAAGCGACTTATCACCACCGTTCGACAGTCAGTTCTCACTGACTCGTCGTGGCGATGAAAGTGCACCCGTGAGGAATTGCAGTGTCGATTGAGATTCTGTGCAGCTCGAGTGATATAAATAATATCACACGCATTTCGGGAAGAGTGAAGACGAAAAGTGTGTGAGTTTTCGCTTGAAGGAATTGGATAGCATGGAAGCTCCGCCAGCCAGTGAAACCGGCCTGAAGCCCATCATTCTCGATGAATTGGCGAAAATTGGCTCATCTGGACCTTGGCTTTGGTACATAAACATTTCCATAAGTCCGTCATTTTAAGCCCCTTCCGCGGGTGAGAATTTCTGGGCGCGAAAATGCGGTCATCCTTGGCGCACTGAGTGAATTTTCCATGAAATCAAATTGTGCTTTGTTGCAGTTGCAGGGAAAAAAAACACACACTGTTAACTAAATAATTCCGTCAAATATCCGTCCCATTGTGCCCTCATCAAATTGAGATGCGTGGAATATTTGTGGGCCATATTTTGAGAGATTTCGAGACGGTCTCGTCGCAGTGAGAAAAGATCAAAAAAGTTACACGCGCGCGCTCTGTTGTGCTCTCTCTAATTTTAAAGGCATTGTACTTGATCAGAGTGGGGCTTAGAGGAAGTGGTCTCCAGATGTATAAATAAGTGGCGAGGACTCCCGAAGAATTCACTGATAAATTCCCGATAAGTGTGAACAAAAGTGCCCCAATGGAGAGCTTAAGTGGAACATGTGATGAGGTCGCGAACGCCACTAGAATCCGCCTCGATAGTGTCCTGGCGCTGCCAAAGGTCACGCGTGTCGTGAACCTGATAAGGCGACAATTCCGTGGCCATATATAGATCATCTCAATGTGTACTTGCACTGGTGAAATTGTAAATAAACGCCTCTTTCTCTCTCTCTCTCTCCCTCTCGATGATGTGCAGGAAAATATTCATCTTGTGCGTCACGCCGAACATTTTGAATGGATTTCACGTTTCGTCGTACGTGTTCCTCGGCGCCCTCCCGGACGCTTACTACTGCGTCGTGCCGGAGCTCCTGGAAGCCGGCTGGACGCCAGAGCAGATGAGGAACATCACGACGCCAGGGTAAATATATGGCACACATTATAGTTAAGACATTCTTCTCGCGAATGCGAAAGACAAACACACTTGTGGAGATTCCGCAAATTGGTTAGTTTTACAGTCTCTAAGCTTTCACTCGACTTGAGAAACACGCGTAATTACTCTCCAATATTCCAAGATTGCTCACTTTGGCGATAAGTGGTGCTGAATTCGCCCAATCTAGAGCTATTATATCGCAATTTGCTCCTTTATCGTTCCGGGTGCAAAGTGTATAAATCCAATACATGAACACAGTCTTCGTTTGTCAATTAGCCATGCACTGGTCTATTTTTTCGCCAAAGGTCATCAGACTCTGTGGCATATAAAACAATGAGTAACACTTGGAAAAGTCACGAGACGAGATTCAAAGGTTTCCCACTTCGGAATGCAAAGCTTGCGGGTGAGCTTGACCCAGCGCATGACTGAAAATTCAATGCTCGCAGAACAGGCGAGTAAACATTTCAATCGCAAAAGTGGTGGAGAAAAAGCATAATTGTTGGATAAATAAAATACTTGTCTGTCTCTTGCAAAATACCATTGCTTTTTATCACCTGTTTGTTGATTAATTTGTTAACAAGCCGAAAATACGTCATTTATTTCATTTAATGCATTTCATTAAAGTTCACTGCAAAAAATGAACTTGAACAAGGACAAATAGATACAAATTTTATCCGTGGTTCACAAATTGAGACTTCTTGATATGGTTTTCCAGGGTGATAATGCGAATATTTGCCTTATTACATAATATTGACTAAGTAATCGTTTGCATAATATTTTACTGAGTTGCTAAAAGTGTGTATAAAATACCTTTTAAAAAGATCAATAGAAGTAAATGAAAACATTGTCATACTACTAATAATATCATTAAGTCTGTAGCTCATAAAAGCTCTTTTATGTCCATTTGGATGAATAGTAGAAAATTGCTTTTAATTGCACTGATTGCTGCGGAATGTTCGCGATTGAATAATGAGGAAGCTGATAATGTCCTCTGGACTCAAATACTTCTAATAATTATTGCATTGAAGCGTAAATTTGTGCTGCTCTATCTAAACTAAAACGACGATTTCGCTCCAGAGACACTTTGCCAGCGCACAGTTGCGGAATACTGAACTGGAATTACAGTCAGTTGAGCAGCATGGATTTCGACGAGGCTCTGCACTTCACGCAGGAAATGCAGCAGCCCGAGACGGTGTCCTGTCGCAGTCGTCCTGAGAATTACTATCACTACGAGCAGGACGAAGGGACATCCATTGTGCCAGAGTGGGATCTCGTGTGTGAGAACAATGTGTGGCGCACAACAGTGCAAGTCGGCCTCAGCATAGGGAAATTCATTGGAGCGTCGCTGTTTGGCGTGATTTCGGACAAGTTTGGGCGCAAGAAAGCCTTCGTGGGCGGCGCCACTCTATATATTGTGAGCGGATTTCTCACTGTCTTCACCAAATCCTACTTTCTCTTCCTCCTGGGAAGAATCGGACTGGGAAGCTCAGCTTCCGGGCTCTTTTATGCAGCCTTCACACTCTGTGAGTCATTCGCAGTGTGGATTTTAGGCAGGATTTTGTATGATTATTTTCCTTTCCAGTGACTGAGAATATTGCACTGAAGCACAGATCGTGGATGAGCATCATGTTCACCATTTCTTATCCGATCGGCATGCTGATTCTAACGCTATTCGCTTATCTTCTGCCCCTCTGGAGATCCCTTCAGCTGGCTCTGATCCTCCCAGGACTTCTCCTCATTGTCCACTGCTAGTGAGTCCCATCCAGGATAAGTTCTCATTAGAATCCATCGTGAATTTCCTATGCTTTCACAGTTTCCTGGACGAATCTCCACGGTGGCTGGTGAGCAAGAATCGGGAGAAGAAGGCGTACAACATTGTCTTCGGGAAGAAACCCAGTGTTGATTTGATCTTCAAAGCCAACAAGAAGGCAGAAGATGCTCCCGCAGACAGTGATCCATCGACTTCGAGGCTCGTGTCCAAGCTGAGGAACTCCTTCAGGGAATTTGCCGGACTCTTCAGCACCTGGACACTGAGGAGGCGCATCTTCATCTGCTACTTCGTGTGGTGCGTCACGTCCATGTCGTACTACATCACGGCAATCAATGCGGACAATCTGTCTGCCAACAGATACATGTACGTGGCCGCCACGGGACTCGTAGACATTCCGGCGTACATCATTCCGATCTTCATTCTCAAGTACACTGGCCGGCGGATGTCGTCGTTTGCGCTCTACCTCGCGGCAGGATTGAGTTTGCTGGCCGTTTTGGCGATTCCCAGAGGTGATGAAATGGATTTTTTTCCTATGAATGTCTTCTGAAATTGCTCTGTTTCACCTCTTTTGCGTTAGAACATTCAACCCTTATTGTGGCGTTCGCGATGTTCGGCCGCTTCGGCATCAGCGCCGTGTATGCCGTTCTCACTCTGCACACCGCCGAGCTCTTCCCCACTGAGATCCGGAACTCTGCCCTCGGCACAAGCTCCACCATGGCTCACGTGGGCTCAATGGCAGCGCCGTACATTGTGGATCTCCTCGGTATGGTGGCCTGGTACATCCCCACGACAATCTGCGGCTCTTCCATCTTGCTGGCCGGCTTCCTGTCGCTCCTGCAGCCCGAGACGGGCAACAGAGATCTGAAGGATCATGTGCAACAGGAAGAGGAGGAGAAGAAAATTAATGCGTGATTCACTGATTTTCATTTTATATCTGAAGCGCACACATAATGTATATTACATTTCATACGGTTGCGCCACAACTTGATTAATCCATTGCAAGTGATGTTGGACGTCTGTGTAGACTCCCGGAAGCCCTGGAATGCCACACGATGAGCCGTAAGACACAATGCCAACAAGGGTGTTTCCCTCACAAATCAGTCCAGAACCTGAATCGCCCTGACAGGCGTCCTCTAGTCCGCCACCAGCGCAAAACATCCCGGAAGAGTAGTCAGGTGCGTAAGGCACCAGTGCTTCTTCGCACTCTTCGGCGGGCAGAATGTGAATCGGAGCCTCTCTGAAACTCGCGACAATGTCCTGCAGGAAGCGCTCAGATCCGTATCCGAAGATCGAACAATTACTGTGCTCCGAAATGGGGACAGTGCTTTGCGGGAGAATCACATTTGAGGGCAGTTCGCGATGATCTTCTGGCAGGCGAATCATGGCAATGTCATTTGCATATGTAATCGTGTCGAATTGAATGATGTAGAAGTCCTCAAGTTTCACTAGCTTTTCCGGATTATTGTACAGATCTTTTCGCCCAATTTCTGCATACAATTCATGCCTGAACACGTACATAGTATCAAAATGTAGTCTAGTCTGTTTAGCGGTACTCGAGAGATTAGAAATGAGGGAAACAATAGAGATTCAAGGCCCTCAATAAACATGATTTCAGGGAATTTTCTATTGATTTTGCACAAGCTAAAATAAACTGCAGTCAAGCAGAAGAGGAGATTATCGCTTTGATTAGAAATTGATTCGAAAGGCGAACTCTGCGTGGGAAAATTCAAGTGCAACGCAAAGTGTTTGTTCAGTTTCTCATCTTCTTTCTGCGGAATTCCGCCAAGAAAATTCCCTGAAATACTTCCAAAAAAAAATGCCATACTTTTCATAGTCAATCAATGTGAGACAGTGAGAAGCGGTCAGAATCCATCCACGACCCACATAAGTTCCTCCACAGAAATGCTCCAATTGCTTGGTTGAGTTAAGATATTGAAGTGAAACGGCAGAAGAGAGTTTTTCTGAGACGAGAAACAGAAATTCACACGTTGACGCGCAAATATTTAGTCAAGATGCCACTTGTTATACCTTCACTCTCAACTGCACTGCCGCGAACGATGCGCTTTACTCTCTGTAAGCCACACTGAACGTGGTTCGTGAGTAGAATAATTAATAATGGAGCTAGAATGTACTTCTGGTGGCACATTATGGAAACTGAGATCTGTGTTTTTTTGGGTAAGACTTCAATATCTTTTATTACTATCGATTCTCTTTGGCAACCGACACTTGTTCAAATAGTGAGAATTTGAGAAGACATTTCGTTTAAACGTTAAAAAAAACCAATTTTAGTGTATGTAAAAGAGAAAATTTCGCTCACAATTATTTTAGCTGAGTCACAACGTCGGCGAGAAGGCTGACAAAGTAGCCTTTGCTACCCTTGTTCTCAATTTTCTCAGCCTTCAAGATGGCGTGAGTCTTCTCGGAAATCTCGTGGAACTTGGCGATGCGCTCCTCTGGCCACGGCGTATCAAAGCCTAGAGAAGAGAGAGAGAGATTTAGTGGTAAAGAATAGTCAGTCAGTAGATTTTACTCACCTTCAATGAATGCATAGATCAGAGGACATTCCAGAAGCACCAATTTTTGTTCCATCTCGCGAACATTCTTCGCCGCAACTTTCCCATAATTGCCAAAGTCAATGAAATAAGCCAAGAAGCAATCCTCCTGCTCGATCTTCTCATGTATCACCACACGATACCACACCTCATCTGCATCATCTCCGTAGGCGTACTTCGCAATACAGAGTTCCTTCATGCTCGGAGTGTACGGAGGACTCTTCTCGCCAATCTGCTCCGCGAGTGTCGTAATGTCGGCAATCTTCTGGTATTCACGCTTGAGCACAAAGTGCAGATAACCATCCTTCAGCAAGTCATCGTACTGAATGATGAACTCCACATTCTCAATCACCGTGAAGATTTTCAGTGGAACAGAATCTATGGTGAACTTCAGCTCAGGCATGTGACGCACCTTCTCCAGTTCTTCTTGAGTGTTGAAGAACTTATTAATGCACATGTCGCTGTCCACCTCATAGAGATTCACTTGAGTCGCCATCATATCTGGCTCTCCCTCGTACTTCATCACCAGAAGCCTCTGCGTCAATTCCGTCCTGTAGCGTCTGGCCTTATCGGAGTCTTCGAAACTGGTGATTCCGTTCAATACGACACGGAATGACACGCGCGGCAACTGTATCATCTCATTGGGCATCTCCTTAAGACTCGTCATCGGCACCTCGTCCGTATTCCCGAAGTCAATGTAGGCCACAATCACCGTCATCGTGTCGGGCTTGAATGTCTTCGCCAACACGCGATACCAGTTGTCATCGTTGGGCTCCGTCAGGAAAGGTGCCAAGTAGAGCTGTCCATACACCGGAGGCTTCTGCAGGTCGGGCAGTTTCTCAGCATACGTTTTGGCTGTGTCCAGAATCTTCTTCATGGTGTCGCGAGTCTCTTGAGCACGGATGAACATTGCATTGTTGTTCTCCTTCTCCGGCACGTAGACAACGGCAATTGTGGTGCCACTTGGCGGAAATTCCACGCGTGGAATGTCAGCCAGAATCTTACGCATTGTCTTCACAGGCTGTTCAGGAGAGGCTGCTGCCAATGCTGGCTGCGGAAGAGTCTCAGGCACCTCCGGCATTGCACTGTGTTGCTTTGGAACATCTTCCTTAGGCACATCTTGGCTCTGATTGCGCTCATTACCATTGAGAAGAGTGGGAGTCTTTGGTACGCCATTCGTGAGGACCTTCTTGGTAGGCTTCGCAAAACTCTCATAGGCATTCTTGTCACTCATCGAGTCATTGGATGGTGTCGTGAATTCCGGAAGACCTTCAGCGATAATCTCATCAGAGTTCTCAAAGGGAACAAGTCGTCTGCGGAAGAAAGTGTTCATTCAAACAGAGATTGAGACACAAAAAGCTTAGAAAACTTACGGCTTTCGGCGGCAGATCGCACGATGGGAACTCCAATGCACATCCTGGCAAATCGCCGAGCAGTAGGGATCCAGGCAACGCTCGCACATGAACGTCGCGGGCTTCTCGCACAGCACACAAAGTGGCATCTTTGCAACACTCTGTCTGGATGAGCTGACACTGATCTTCTGTGAATCCGAACGCCTGCGAAATGAAAGTGTCATCAGAACTTTATCTCTAAATTCACCAACAGGCAATCGTACAAACCTGTTTTGCTTCTCGCTCTTCTCAACACACATTTTCGCCCGGAACGTGAGAGAGCAATCGTTGTTAATGACTTCAATGGCATTCTTGCAATCATCAGCAGTTTCGTATTCCACAAAAACAAGAGGCGTTGGGTGGTCTCTTCTCAATCTGTCCCAGCGACGATATCCATCGGGTGGCAATTGTAGCAAAAAGGACTTGTCGTCCTTAGGGACATTTTCAAGAATTATCTTCGATCGCGGCATCGAGCTAGTCTCTGAGTGAAGCGAGGGAAACGAGGAAGTAAGATACGCGATAAATGAACAATGGAACGAACAAGCCTTTAGGTTATTTAGAAGCAACAAGTTGTACTCAATTTATAGCTATTTCAGTGCATGAATCTATAGTTCTAAGCATAAATATGATACACAACATGTTTCTACTTACCGTGGAATACTGATCTACTCACAAATTACACTTTTTTGCACGGAAAATATGGTAAAATTTGGAGTAAAAAGCCGGCCAAAGACGCTTTTTGGATGCAAATGAGAAACATCGAATGGCGGCTGTCAACGCAACGATATTTCGATATATCGAAACTTTGAAAAATCAAAATATCAAACGGCATAAAAATCATAGAAAAATTATTTTCTTTTACCTTTTGAAAAATTGCTAAACAAATGCCAAAACTGCATTTTCTCAGAGAAAATGGATCAATGGAAAAGCGGTTTGAGATTACTTTTATGGATATTTTATTGGAAAAATTATGATTTATATTATGTAAGTATATATTACAACTTACAAATACATGATTTTACCTAACTACCAAAACGATTGTCATTATTTTCTGTACAGAGTGGCTAAAACTAGTAAGGGTGTCTCTTATCGCTTATATGCACTCTTTTTATCATCCTTTTTGTCTTTTGAAGGCGCACAGAATTCTACTCTCACTCACAGAATTTTTTACCATTCTCGTTCTCTGGCAATCGATTTGTGAAGCATAAGCAGTGCAAAGTGTCTTACATTTGACGCTGCAATAAGTTTGCATTACATTTTTCTTTCTTTATTAATTATAGTTTCTATAAAGATTCACATTTCGTTATGGTGAAGACAAAAAAAAATACAAATTCAATCTAATCATTTTCAGAATTATTTTAAAAAATTTGAACTAGTAAAAATTTTGTGACCAATTTCGTGAAAAGAAGTTCGAAAAAAATTCCTTTAATAATATAATATATATTTTTTTTAATAATATTCTTCGTCCAATTTTAGCTTGAAGACATTGAAGTTGTTTTTCTTCAGAACAATTTTTTTGTGCCTTTTACATGAGATGGAAAGTATTGAAAACTTTCCCACACAAAATACAATTATAAAAAAATTGAATTATACGAAAACAACTCTTCAAACGACATTAAAATCATAGAATAAAAGGAACGCTCACACTGCACAAAACATAATGCTTATTTAGTATTCTTTTCCCTTTACGCGCCAGGTACTTTTCTAATTTTGGAAACCAACTGTTTTTCTTTTCTTTTAACGTGATAATGTCTTTCCATTTGTCTTTTCTTCGCACTAGTGTTGTCGCACTTTATCTTGTTTCTTTTTTTTACATCACAATCATATCTATTATTTACTTTTCTTTTTTAGAATATACGCCCTAAACATTTTCTAAATACATATAAATTTCTATTGTTGCACTAACGAAACTTTTTAATTATACTCTCCATTTAGTCTTTTTGCTTCACAACAAAATACAAGTTTATGAAGCTTCATAAAAATTATAATTTCTTCCACGTGTCACTAAAAAAAAACTTCTAATTCTTGGGGAGAAGAACCTTTAAAAAAATTGAATTGTAAGTCTTGTAAATGTTCTTTGATTTTTTCATCTCTTCCACACAGTTTCTTGATAATTTTTCTTTTTTCCCTTTGTTGTCCTACAAATGCGCTCAAATAGTTTGTCTAGAAGTGAACATACATTATTATTATTATAAATTTCGTGTCCAATTGAGAAGTTTTCCTCCAATGCTTGAATCCTCTCTTTCATCACAGATAAATCGATTATTGAGATTTTTTTTCTTCTCACTCACACAAAGTCATGGTTGGTAAAAGCAAAGTGAAAAAGTTTGTTGAGAGAGAGAGAAAAAAGGGTGGTATATAATAAGTTCCTTAAAAAAGAATCAATGTATAATAAAAAAGCCTCGACAGTTTTCTCCCCAAAATTTGATGTAGCAAAAAGGATCCTCTAATCTCTGTACACTACTTAATGTCTCTTTTTTCATTTTAAATTAATTATATATATATATAAACTAAATAGATATTTGCACTTCGAAGTTGGATTTATCCCTGACTGTCCATTGAGAGTGCGCGAGATGAGTTGTCTCGGTGATCGCACGCAAGATCGCCACGCATGTAATTGTGAGAGGCACAGATCCTGGTCCTGGGATAAATTGCATTTTCCAGACAATTAATTTGAAAATAAGCGCACTGTTTTTTTCTCTCTCATTCTGCCAATCGCCACTGGATTTCCACTCTCTTTCCTACAGCATCAGTCGCGATCTCGACTTCATGACACGATTGGACGCGGTGGCTTTGCCCTCTCCAGTCCAGCTCTTCGTCTTGGCCCTGAAGTGCTTGTACTCCTCACTGAAGCCCGGATCCAGCATCTGTCTGTACGTTTGTGGCTCGCACAGGTCAGGGAAGATCTCGTAGAACTCCTTGTAGCCGCCGTGGAGGAGGTAAATTTCTGGGTAATGAAGTGCCGGATAGGAATTCTCATTGCAGTGTCGATCGTGATTTCGCAGAAAACGAGATCTACACAGAGTGAAGAGAGGAGACCCGTCAGTTGATATTTTTCATAGCGAGAGAACAGACAAAAGATATACTCACAATTTCGGACCGCGCTCCGATGAGAACTCACAGTGGAAGACCAAGATGTGCCTCTTCCCATCACTCATGTCTGCCACTTCAGTCTTTGTCGTCACCAATTCCTCCAGAATCTGCTCCTGCGTGTAGAGATTCATGGAGCCCGCTATGTGACCGCCTTCGTACTCGTACGGGTAGCGACAATCGATAATCTTGAACGATGCCACGGAGTCACCGAAGGCTCCATTGAGCAGCTTTGCCATCGTCTGCACCGAGATGGACTTGAGATCCTTGTGGCGACCACTCTCCAGCAATGGCAGGCAGAAGGGCTTGCTGAAGTCCCCAATCAGGTCAGGATTGGTCATGGCTGAAAGACAACAAAAGGCAATGCTATAGAGATTTCAAAACTATCGCAAAGGGTAAAGTTTACAGCATAATCCCTCTCTAAGTCATGGTCAAATGTTGAGAAGTCATTTGGAAAGTCCAGAATGCCCTCTCCAGGTATATTTGATTATATCTTTAGATATTCAATTAAAACTCACATCGCGTAAGGGCGCTCATGATGACAGTCTCATTCAGCGAGATGGACTTCTTCAGGATGTTCCTCTTGGGCAGGTTGCTCTTGTCGCGTGCATTCTCCTTGTCCTGAGCGCCGAAGATTGGCGTGAGAGGACTCATGTCCATGCTCACATTCAGCTCACTCTTGTACCTTTTGCTCTGTACTGGACTGCCGACCAATGGCTCAGGGCGCTTGAAGGCCTTCGTGGACTCCTCGGAGCGGATTGTCACATTGCGCACCATCGACATTCTCAAGGGACTCATGAAGTCCGGTGTCTTCGGCTCGATAGCCACTCGCTGACTGTCCGTGGAGTCCACCAGTGAGAGGCAGCGTCTGACGAGTGGTCTCTTGCTTTCTGGGGTTGACCTGAGCGTCTTGATGTCACCACTTATGAGCGACGTAATATTGCTAGGCATCTGAGATTCGCAATCCATTGTCTCGATGTCAAACAACTCCATATAATCGTCATCCATTGACTCCATTGAGCCGGACGAGAGGCTGCTGAACACGCGGAATCCCCTGTTCGTGGGCGTGCGATTCTGCGGCGACGAGAAGCTCCTGGAGGTGGTGGGTGTCTTTCGCGGTGACGGATCCACACGTCTCGGTGCCAATCCCAGCGGCTGGGCGAACTCAAAGGCTCCCTTGTTCTCCGCGCCACCCTCAGATGCGCCGAAACTTGCACTGTACCCACTGTCCATCGAGTTGGCGTCGATCTCCTCGAAGGATCGCCGTGGGGCCGTCTGAGACACAGAGACCTCCTCGACGGGCATCCGGAAGCGCGACGGGCTCACCTCTGGCGACAGCAGACCGCCCATCTCCATGCTGGGACTGATGGAGCAGGGACGCGGACTAGCTTGGGGGCTGCTGCCGGCATACAGCGAGAGATCCTCCGTGGACATAGCCTCCTTCTCCGGCGAGTCATAGGAAATGCAGAGCGGCGTGATGTTCGGCCGTCTGCTCCCCCGCACGCGGCTCTCGCCCCGCCGCATTGTGGCTGATCGCGAGCCAGTGCTCAAGTTGAAAGAATTGTTGATGAGACTGCAAAGAGAAGAAGCACAGAAAAATGTTGGTTATGAGTCCATCAAACAATTGAGCCGAAGGAGCCACACAAGGATAAAATGGAGGATTGCACGCGTGATGGAATTATCTACCTGAAACTAGTTTCAACCATCGTGCAGACCTTCACCAAGAGCCCTAAAACACCACGAGACACTGGGAAAATCTTCAAACTCAAGAAAATACGAAACATCTAGTGAAATCACAAGTCAGACCCTCAAATTTTCCTCATTATGAGTGGGAAATCAAGTGAAAATAACACGTCTCTGGCAACTGAGGGGTTTCCTTCGTCTCAATGCATTCGGTAAATGGAAGAAGGCAACTGCAGTCGAGACTCTTTTTTTGCCCTCCTTCTTCCCTCTCTATGTGTGTTATTCTTCATCAGGCAATGAGAAAGAGACCCCATACTGCTGTCTCTCAAAACTCAACTCCAGAGACACACAAATATATATTGCGTTGAGTGATTTTGTGAGCACATTAGTTGCTGGATGGAATAGAAAAACTCCCTTCAATCTTCTTGATAAGCACAAAAACTATGCCAAATTCTAATTTCAAGGAATTCTCAAGCACCCACTGCCATTCATAAAATTTATAGACTCGCGACGAAGGAAGAGATATCTACAGAGCGACAATTTGATAAGACGCTGACTGACTACAACATTTTGTGCAAATGGCATTTCATTGAGAAACTCTGCGGAGTAAATGTAAAAAACGAGTCAGTTTAACACACAACCATAAAACGGGGGATTTCATTTATGAATTTTAGGGGAAATGCTGTATGATAAATGAGACAGACAGAACACTTTCAGGAGAGGGTCATCATTTACCGCCAAAAGCATACATTCCTCACTATTGATTGCTGATGTTGCTGATTGCGTGAAAAAGGATAATTCATCCTTACTCATCATCTCCTTGCAGACATTCAATTTGGTGGTTAAAAAGGGTTGAAAAAATTCGCTAAAAACAGACGAACGTTACTGATAGCTTCAAGATAAGAGTGTGAAACTGAAAATAGATTTTTTTCTATCACCTCATCTCGCGTCATTTCCTCACGAGACGAGAGCAGTATTGCCATTGATTGAAAAGTGTCGGTTTACAAGAGATTCATTTCACCACAAAAAGGTCACTGACCTTCTCACTAAGGACACTTTGTGATGTTTAGCAGAATCAAGAGCAGAATACCACCTTGAAAACTTAATGGAATGTCAGCAGTCTGCAGAGCTGAAAGCCTCTCCACAGCCCCGGAACAGATTTATCAAGAGTCTTTTTTTGCCCACCCAAAAGACCAATCATTGCAGATTCCGTGAACGTCCAAACTGGGCGTCCCAGAGACAATCTGACACAGAAAAAACCCACCACGAGCCACACATAGACCTACTGAACGGATCGAATGAAAATGAATTTCTTTTCTCCTATTAATTCTTGCGCGGCACATATAAGAAATATTCGTCCCAAGAAGAGGTGCTTCACACATCAATGAAACGGCGCGATATAGCCGCGCATATAGAAGTATACTTGGGCACGTCTCCGACCACTTTCCATCTCATTTTGCGGAATTTTTTACTTCTTCGCCTCGTCTCACCATTAACTTTGGATTATGTGGCGCAGACACTTGTAGACATGGTATAAAAGGTGATGCACAGGGCACAAAAAATGTGTGAATAAGGCTCTCCAAGAGTTAAGACATTTCACCCCGAATAAAGAGATTTCCTGCTACACTTTGCAGTACATCTTGTTAAGTAAATAATTCATTTTGTCACACCGCTCGGCTGATCTTGTTAGTCTCTCTCTCTCTCTTCCTCTCACTCCTTTCATTAAAGTCCGCGCAAATAGTGGCCGACAAATAGACATGACCTATGCCAATTTTTCTGTGGTCAAATTAGCCCAAGGAATAATCTCAAAGAATATATCATCGTGTCTTCGACATATTATGGACTCATTGGCCATCACACCCTGCCATCGTCCCGTGAGTTCATTTGTCCATGGATTGGTGAAGAATGTGAGCAGACAGTGAATCCCTTTGCGCGTATCACCCTTATTTACCGCAAACTCAGTCACACAAGACAACTTTTTACCCAGCTCTTCAGCTGTCTTCCACACATTTTCGCTTTTGTTCAATGCACTGAGACGGTCTTTTCCTTAATTATCATTTCTGTACATTATGTACAGAATAGTTTTTCCATTAAAATGGCGCTCTCGCAGGAGAGGAAGCGAGAGACACACAGCCCCAGATCGTACCAGGACGAGTGGCTATTGTATAATGCTATCATTTTGTGCGATCACATCTAAATTATGATAATTATGTAAATAATTCCACAGAGAGCGAGAAAACGAAGGGCGAAGAAAATACTTGAGAGAAGTAAGAAGGAAAAAAAAATGAAACAAGGGGGAGGAAGTGTGTATGTGTAGCAGAAGTTCATCACTGCACAAAAGTCTGTGATATCGAAGGGAGATTCCTACCATTCGCCTGATAAATACATCCGACACTGCACAATTAATGTAAAAGTTCGATAAAAGGCATCGTAAAGAAGATAGTTTCGTACCTTGTACATTCACAGACATCGCAGGGATCTTGAGCAATTCCCTCCCACATGATGATGTGCGTTTCAATTCCACTGAACACTTTTGAAGATATTCTAATCGAAATATATTCACAGAGGTTCCTTATTTTGCCCTCAAACTTCACAATTTCATCTCGTAAGATAGCATTTATGATGATTTTGGTATAAATTTTTGCAAGTCTATTCTCTCAGTTAAATCAGTTGCTGATCACGCAACTAAATTCATCCATCGCTCAAATTGAAGTCTTTTGTTCTCAAAATTGTCCACTTATAAAGTGCATTTCCTATATTATATATATATTTAAAATCTTTTATCGTCGCAACTGGACACAATTTACCGGCCAGAGGCCATCGTCACGAAACTTGAGTCCGGTGTGTACTCAACATCAGTCACTGAACAACTGAACCCATTTGTCCGTTGGAGTCCTTCGTAGAGTTCTGTGTTGGCACAAAACTCACCACCAACCGGAATAGCGCAGTTTTCTGGTCTTCTACAGAGTCACCGCGACGAAATGTTGAGCCCGACTGCCGGCTCTCAGTATACAACCCGAGGATTTTATCAATTCTCCCCACTCTTCGGCCACCACCACCACTGCAGGTCTCACGCACATCTCCTAGTTGTCAAACAATGTGCCTCTCATCCAGCAGCATATTATGTATTCCCTTATGTTCATGCTTTTTTATTCAATTCGGGACATCATACACACTATGCCCAATAAATCAGAATATCTCTGCTGTGTTGGTGCCATTTACCACCAAGTTTTTCCTGTGAAATCGTCAAATTTGAGAGCTTTTTGTCCTGCGGCAGCAAAGCAATTTTCTTATTCAACTCCCATTTATTTACCTGACACTCCTTCGGGCAGGATCAGAGTTTGCCCCAAAAGTGATAAGCAATTGTTCCAATCCACCATCGATATTGAAAGTGCGAAGCCCTTTGGGTGTGCAGCTCAACTGCTTTTGGGAAAATATTAACTTTAATGAGGTGACCATATACCATAAAATAGTGCATGGCATTGTCTTTGGTCTAAGAAAAGCACCCAGTTGGGCTAATGGTTGATCTGCAAGGCAGAAGAAGCCAAAAAGTGGTATTTTCCCTCCTTTCTGCCACAGGGTGAATGTTAAAATCACGCAACTATGAGTTTAGTTTTCTTGAAATGATCTTGATTGCGCAAATATGCGCTCATATGTAGAAATGAGGAACTTCTCAAAACCATTCAAGAACTCTTATTGCGACTAGTTCTGAAGTGATGATAAGAAATTGAATAATTTTTCAGTATCTTTTGACCAATTCAACTGTAAATTTTTAAAATGTAGTTTTCTTCTATTTCTTCTGTAGATATCTTAGAATTCCCTTTTAATTTGGCATAATCTTGATGATTTTGCAGAAGGAAAGAGAAGTTACAACTTCTTAAATTCCAGGATAACAATCAGGATCATAATTAAGAGTGACATCATAAGACTGTTTTTCCCTTACATCGGGAATTAAAGTATTATTTTTATAAATCGGATGAACATTATATATAAAGAGCCTCAGAGTCATCCTATGCCGAAATGGGCGCGAAATATGTGACCTGCAGAAAAAGTCAGACAATACAAGCCAACAAATACATGGCAGACGATCGCCTTTGCCTCTGTGTTGAGCGAATTATACCGGCAAGAACCCCTCAGTCTCTCTAACATATAAATGAGAACAATATTTACCTGCTCTTCCCTCCATTTACCTCGGGACCACGTATAAAAAATAAATAAATGTACATATCAAAGTTTTTTTTTCACTTAGCAGAAATGCGACGATAGAGAACATCGGAAAGCGCAGCGACCTTGTCAATCAGCTGATTGATTTAATATTAAGGGTAGCTCTGGGGAAAGACCGGGCATTGAAAAGTGTCTCACAGTTCAGACGAAGGGTAGATTCTTGAGACATTTCTCATCGCAGGACATTATGCAGGGGACATAAATAAGAGCAATCCCCGTACGGGCTAATGAGAAAACATCCTTTTTTCCTCGCTCCTTTGGGATCTAAGAAATTATAACGAATCTCCATTCTTTCGAGTGAGTTAAATGCTGTAATTGTATGATTGTCGCCTTTTTGTTCATATGTGAACATTTGACCTGCTTTCGGGAGAGAAAGATCTCAACCAAAATGGACTATGTATCCACTGTGTGTGTTGAGAGTCTTTCTTCTTAAGAGAGGTTAACGCCCAATCAATGTGTCGCATATAATTTGCCTCTGATTGTGTTCTATCACATAAAACAATAGACTCTTTCATCCAGTTATCGAGTAATACAGCATTTGGGTCATCACAGACATTTTTGCCAATAAGTGAATGCAGATAAATCTTGTCCTGGCCCTTCTTCAGAAGAATTCTATGCATTATCAGAAAAGGGCCTTTTGTATAGTGATTTTTTGCCATACAGTCT